TCCTCTGATCCAGCATGTCATGATTTAAGTTTGACAGCTCTTTAAAGACAAAAGAGGGAGAATGAGAAGCAGAGACGACCACAGCGTCCTTCACACTGAGACACCAGAGCAGCTGGGAGTCCCTGACTGAGGCCTAGTCCACACATAGGCGGGTACAAAAAATCTGTTTAAAAATATGATCCCGTCCCCACACGCTCAGTTCTCTGAAACATCTTCGTCCACATGAAAACGCAGAAACCATTACAGCTGTCACAAGCACACCAAGTCAAAGGGGGGTGTATCCTCTTTAATGACCATTTTCAAAGTTGTCCCACCAACCCAAAGTCCAACTAGGTCTCGTCCAAAACCGCAGAAGTTGGCGACTGGTTCTGTGTGCGATGAAGCTTTGTGACTAATAATGAACTCACTAAATGATGATAAAAAAACATACATACTGCACCGTCACAGAGATAGGAAGTACATCCTACTTCCTGTAGCTCTGCAGCACAAACCAGGACCCCACATCACCGCGCACGCACACACACACACACACACACACACACACACACACAGTCCATTGTGTGGATCAGAAAGCTCTTCAGTCACAGCGGCCCTTCGCCTCCGGCTGCTCGTCTTCCTCCATCACTGGAGCAGAGTCGCTTTGATGTGCCTCCACTGTGTGTGTGTGTGTGTGTGTGTGTGTGCGCGCGTGTGCGTGTGCATGTGCGCGTGCATGTCTTCATGGAGCTCATATATTTCAGTCAGAAGACATAAATCAGATTAAGTGTGGTTCAGTTTCCAGCTTCTACAATGATGATGATTGAATGTTTTCATATTGATGTTAATTTAGAATCTGATTGTTGTTAATCAATTATTTGATTATTTGATGAATTTAATAATTAGCAATCAGTAGCAAACTGTCACATTTATAATACATCTCAGACCCCCATTCGTTCTTAAAGGCTTTACACTTACATATAATAGAAATCAATGAGTCATGACTGTCTACAATGGGTGTAACACCCAAGTCCCACTGTCTGTGATGTTTTCTGAGTTTTCCAAATCATATTTTCAGTTTGTTGACATCGCCCGGACGGCGGCTAATTCAGAAGAATAACATACTGTACTCACTGCTTAACTGCGTTTCTAGATCACGCTCATTTCGGGTAAATTTACATGCAGTGTGAAGATACGAGCATAATAAAGATCGCTAGCATTAGCATGCTAACACAACAATGCACCGCAAGTTGTTTTAGTTTCATGCTGGTGCTCAAGGGCGACATCTGCTGGATCAAAAAATATAAAGCATATAAAGCCTTTAAAGGTGAATATTTTCCTCTCTGTTTGAAGTCCTCTGATTGGCTCTTTACTGTGAAGGACCTGAGCTAGCATGCGGTAGCTTACAGTGTACACGCTATGTCCAGCGTCTGTCTGTCAGTCAGTGTCTGAAGTCACCATGGCAACAGCAGGCATGCCTGTTTGATGTGTCTTCCTCCTCCAATCACCAAGAATATGAACGAGAGAAACGCTGGCAGGAAATATCTATTAACCCTCCAAACCCTCCATCTGAATATTTGTTCAGATTTAGCTGCTAGTTAGCTCGTGTTTGTTGGTGATGCTGTGTGTGTGCCACGCCTTTCGTCCAATCGTACAGAGAACGCCGATTTAACAGTATTTATCTGATGGAGGATCTCAGAGTTTAAATGATCAGATAGAGGAGGAAAAACAGCTGAGAGGAGTCAGAGAGAGAAATGGGTCTGAATCCTCAATCCCTGGATCAATACACACACACACACACACACACACACACACACACACACACACACACAGAGCTCTCTTTATTGATTTCTCTCTCGGCTCTCTCACCATGAAGACGCTGAGCTACAAAGCGTCTCACGGACGTGTTTTGATTCATCCAGATTTTAGACAAACGGGAGAAGATAAAGGTATAGGTTTTAAGAAGATAAAACCTGCACGCTCTTCATCAAGACTACGAGAAAGTCAATCAAAATGTTTTACCTCAATGATCTCAGAGAAGACGGCTGACAAAGACCAGAGACCAGAGGCCAGGGCTGAGAAGACCACGGCGAAATGACGTTTTATAAAAGTCCAAAGTAAAGCTCTGTCTGTACGGAGCGCTGAGGAGACATCGGCAGAAAATAATAAAAATATGTTTCTACATAACCAGGAAGTATCTCATGAAAGAAGCACATGTAGATTTATCATTTCTTTGTTCCCATGTCCCCTTCGGGCCTCCATAGGTCCGTCCTCAAGAGGAGAAGGAAACTAAATGTTAAAAAAAAGATACTTGCACCCGTATTACGTTCTGACACGATGTGGATTAAACACAAAAGATGTGCCCATCCTTGAGGCGCTGGTGGCACAGTGGTTGGTGCGCGCGCCCCATGTATGGAGGCTGTGGTCCTCTAAGCGGGCGGCCTGGTTCGAATCCCTCCTGTGGCTCCTTTCCCGCATGTCATTCCCCACTCTCTCTCTTACTGATTTCTGACTCTATCCACTGTCCTATCTTTCTATTAAAAACACAAAAAAAACAAAATATGAATCTTAAAAAAAAATAACACACACACACACACACACACACACACACACACACACACACACACACACACAGTCTCTCTCATGATGGTGGGTTTGTCTCTTGTGATTATTTCCTCCGGAGGTGAATCTCTGTTTGTTATAAATACCAGCACATTCTGCTCGCTGCTCCCCGTGAGCTGCAGTGTGAGGTCAGCACCGAGTGTGATGAAGAATAATCACATTATGAAGCTGAAACACATGACAACATGGCGCTGTGTGTGTGTGAGTGTTGTCCCGGCAGGCCCTGAGGCATGCTGGGAGATCTGCAGGGTTACACAGCCACTGTAATCCCCTCAGGTGACACACACACAGACACGCGTGCTCACACAGACTCCGCCCCCCCTGCTCGCTCGCCCTGCGGGTGTGGAGGTGTCAGATTTCTGCAGAGACGGTTGAGCATCAAACATGGTTTCAGCTGATGAAGTAGCTGTTCGCCTGCAGACTCAGAGAGGCTGTTTGTTTATGATGATGATGATGATGACGAGGACGGTGTCTGTGTCCCTCTGCCTCCTGGGAATCGATGACTAACCGCGGCTCATTACCATCAGCCTGTGAGGTCACATAAACACAACGACACACTCATTATTGATCCTCTGAGTGCTTCACTCAAACCTCTCGCTCTAAAGAGCCGTGATAACCAGCAGACGGAAATATGTGAAATCCATCAGATGATCGCCGATCGATCAGTCGATGAATCAAACAGCAACCAAGCTGAAACTCTGACTCTCGTGCTGCAGGAAAGTGTCAGCTAACATTCAGCTGAACAGATTCAGACGTTTGTGTTCACACATGGAGCTCTAAAGGACAGTCAGGAGATCTTCATGAGCTCAGAGCGTGTATGAACAGCCTTCTTTAGTTAGCAGGCAGTGATAATGTACAGTCAGCATGCAGACTAAAAGACCTAACCTCCCAGAATGCATTGTACAAAAATGGAGTAGCTGCTAAACAGAGAAAAAAACAGAATTCACTTCACCAGCAGTGAGATGGCACCACACGGAGGAGATCGATACAGGTCGACCTGGTCTCTGTAAACGTCATCAAACATCATCAGGATTCTGAAACAAGCAGCTGTCACACCTTTAGGATCTTAAGTCTGTCTTAACGGATCTTTGCAGGCGATCACGAGTCCTCCGGGCTCATCCTGATCGAACACACGACGGAAATAATCATCGACTGTGGAACAGATCCATCGATGAAGCAGTCATCGTCATCGACGGTAAAACAACAACTATGACCTCATTTATTCACTCTGAAAAGCCCACAGAGACTCTGGAGGCTCTGCTGGTCCAGAGTCCAGATCCTCCTCACTGCCTGAAAACTCCTAACACGTCTGAGAGACAACAGCAACAGTTCTCAGCAGAATCACCTGGAGGGATTATACATCCCGCCCTCCTGGCCAGGGAACACCTCGGATCCTCCAGGACAATGTTAAAAAACATCGCTGGACTGAGAGACGTCCAGGCCAAGTTGCTTTTATGTGTCTCTAAAGAACGTCCACCTTGACTCTCTTTTTACTGTAAATTAATGTTTTTATAAACGATTTTAGTCTTTTTTTTTTTTTTAAGCTGTAAGATTTGCTCAGTGTGTGTGAGCTGCTGTGATCTCATAACGATGAAGACAGTTCAGAATTAAAGTCTTTGTTAGATTATTTTCTGAATCGACTCAAACAGAGATGATGTCACATGTGCCAGAGATTGACTTTATAACTTCCTGTTTGCGTCCGTATTAGAGAGTTATTAGAGAAGGTTTATGAGGATTACAAAATACCTGTTTACAGTGAGAATCAACGACAGCTTCTAGCAGGTAAATATCAGAAACACACACAGAGACCAACACACTCAGCTGACGGGTCGTCAAGGTGACTTCATACCAAGGACATCCTCATCCTCCTCCTCCTCCTCCTCCTGCACAGCTGATCTCCATCACACACTACCCCCCTTTATCCTGCATCACATCACGGTCCAGCTGCAGGTAAACAACAGCTGATCACACACACACACACACACACACACACACACACACACACACACACAGTAATCCTTGTGTACACCTGTGATTAAACCCACAGAGATGTTTCTAGAAGCAGAAGAACAAAAAATACCACTTCTTTTCTTTGACTAAACATCTCTCTTTTTCTCTATGCGTTAGTCCAGGTGGAGGCTGCACGCGCTCTGACACTTTGAACTGTTGAACAAAAGGTGAGTGCACGCGGACAGATTCCTCCTGTTTCTGATCAATAAACATAAAAAAAATACACTTCAGCTTCACACACACACACACGCACACACTGATCATCATGACACACTTCACACCCTGCGCGTGAACGATGAGCTCTGTGTGATGGACTGAGAGCTTCACGTGCACTGATCAGCAGCCTGACAGGCGCGTGCCATCAGAACAAATAACACCGGAGCGGCTCTTACCGTCAAAGATCCGCGTGAAGCTCCGGACTGTCCGCGTGAATAAATCCCGGTGTGTGTCGGTGTGAAGCTGGACTCTGAAGCTGTGTTTGCTTTCAGGCTCTCCGGTGCATATCCGCGCGCAGACACCGAGCTCTCCGCCTTCTGCCTCCGGTAGGACGGAACCCCGGGCGCGTCCCCGAGAGAGAGAGAAAGAGAGAGAGCGTGCACGAGGACCGGGTCCGGGTCTGTCAGCGGGGACCGAGCCGAGGAGTCTGCAGAGGAGAGAACCCGGGATATAATATTTAATGAGATAAACAATAAAATTAAAATAAATAGCCTAAATATGTTTATAGTCCATTAACTATTTTGTCTCATATGTGATCCTGTTCACGCTCATTGTTGACTCATAGTTTGAACATTTAACGATTTAATAAAATAAAATAATCAGGTCATTTTGTGTGATTCTAATTTCATCAGGAAATAAAGAGAGATATGAATATGCAGCCTGCAGCTCCCCCTGCTGGACAATGTGTAATTTAATTTATTAATAATCTCAGATAAAGATCAGTCATGTAGGAGAGTTTCATTTGGAGTAAATATTCAGATTAATAAAATTAAAGATAAACACGTCAGTGCTCCTTTTCTGAGCACGTAAGAGAACTGATGGTGGCCAAAGGCAGATCACTGCGTGGGCAAAGTGGATGGGAGTGTATTTGATACTTTTTCAGGGATGGGACAGCCAAAGAGAGAGAGAGAGAGAGAGAGAGAATAGGAAGTAATAGAAAGGAACAACAACTCTGAGAGACTGCTCAGACATAATTTGGGTTGTCGACTGTTTTACCCGTTAAGATTCTGCTAGGACCGGAATGTAGACAGAAAGTTTAGAAGAAAAATATCAACTTTATTAATCCCACGAGAGGAAATTCAGTTTTACTCTCTGTTGTTGAACACACACACACACACACACACAGGATGTGGACGTGCACTGATTGAGTGATGTCAGAGTGAGGGGGGCTGCACACGGAGAGCGCTGGAGGAGGGGGCAGCACCTTGGCAGTGCTTATGATGTGAACTGGCACCAGATCTCCGATTCCTTCCAGAATGAACCACTGCCGCCCAAACGTTTCATCATGTGAGTGTTTTCTGGTCAGATCCCGACAGGTTAAAGCGTGCTGTGTGGTGGGTTTCTCCGTGTTATCGTGCGTGTTTGGGGCGGACACACGCAGTGCACGGGTCATATGCTGTGTGTATGTAGGACTGATAAAATAAATCACATTTTATAACAGAAGCCAAAGCTCTTCTTTTTTTTTTTTTTTTTTTTTACAATATCTCTTTATTAAGACAATTTTTTTTTTTTGGTAGCATGACACATACCCCCCCCCGCCCATACACACGCAGACATGCACACACACATAGACACTTAAATTAGAATAACATAATCATACCAGGGGGCAAAAACAAAAGACAAGCACAAAACACAAAAAATAATAAAAAGAAATAGAAAAGAAAAGAAAAAAAAACACCTTCCTTCTTACATTGTTATACAGAGCATAGATAGAGAATCAACTGTCCTGTAGTGTCTTTAATTCTGTTATATAATTGAGCACAAGGCCCCAGACAGATACACATTTTTCACATGAACCCCTCAAGTTGCACTTTATTTTCTCCAAATTTAAGAACATCATGAGGTCCTTTAACCAGTCCGAAGCTTTGGGGGGAAACGGTGATTTCCATTCCAATAATATTCTTGTGCGAGCTAAAAGAGATGCAAAGGCAATGCAGTCCTTTATTTTTCTACTGATTATTTGATTAACTGTAAGTACTTCAAAAATAGCCATTTCTGGACAAGGTGTCAGCAACATGTTTAAAGCCGTTGCAAGGTGTTTAAAAATAGTTGTCCAATAGCCATGCAAGCGGGACAGGACCAAAACATGTGTGACATGTTTGCTGGAGACATGTGACATCTATTACAAGTGTCTGAGATACTGGCGTACATTTTGGAGAGTTTGTAGTTAGTAAAATAGGAGCGATGGACAATCTTAAATTGTATCAGGTTAAGTCTGGAACAAGACGAGCTGTCATTCACTCGGGCTAAAACACCACACCGGTCATCGTCATCTGTAGCTTTACCAAGTTCCTCCTCCCAGTCTTTTTTGATATTGTCCAGAGAAGTTTTTCTGAGCTGGGATATTAGAGTGTAGATTTTTTAAATGAGGCCTTTCTGATTTGTGGGCATATCCAAGATGGAGTCGATCACAGAGGTAGGAGGAGTATTAGGAAAGGAGGCATTGTTTGCTTTAACAAAATTGCGGACTTGAAAGTATCGAAAAAGATGAGAATGTGGTAAGTTAAATTTTTCACACAGTTCACTGAAGCTACAAAAGATGTTGTCAACATAAAGGTCCTTTAGTCTGGCAAGACCTGAGGTAAAGAAAAGGCCATATCAGTGCCAGGAGGGAGGAAGAGATGGTTGTTATGGATCGGGCTATGGTTAAATAATCCCTGGAGCCCAAAGGCCAGTCTAAATTGAGTCCAGATTTTTAAAGTAGAAGTGACGATTGGAATACAAGTAAATTGGGTTGGTCGTATTGGGAGTTTTGATGTTAGCATAGCCAAGAGTGAGGAAGAGGGGCAGGATTTGGCTTGAAGTTCACACCAGCTTAATGTTGGTTCCTGGACCCAGAGTGAAATTTTGTGAATATTAGTTGCCCAGTAATAGTTTCTTAAATTAGGTAGTGCCAATCCACCTGCAGATCTCTGCCTTTGTAAGAACTCTCTCCTGATCCTGGGGGTCTTGCCTTTCCAAAGGAAGGAGGTAATTAGTTTATCTATTGCACAAAAAAAGGATTGAGGTAAGAAGACTGGGAGACATTGGAAGAGATACAGAAAACGTGGAAGCACATTCATTTTTACACAGTTAACCCTTCCAGCAAGGGATAAGTGTAAGCTGTTCCACCTTGCCTTTTTGAGCTGATCAATTAAGGGAGGAAAATTATTTTTGTAAAGGTCTGGTAGTTTTTAGACAGATATTCACTCCTAAGTATTTAAAACTGATTCTAGACATCTTAAAGGGGAGGTGCCTATCGGGGATCTGAAAGGCTAGATTGTTTACAGGGAAGCATTCGCTTTTGGAAAAGTTAAGTTTATAACCTGAGAAAGATCCAAACCTATTTAGTAGCTTGATTGTCTGGGGAATAGATATCAGATCAGAGATAAACAATAATAAATCATCCGCATAAAGAGAAAGTGTGTGTTCCGAGCCACATCTAAGGATACCTTGACTAAAATTGGCAGATTTAAGTGCAATCGATAGGGGTTCTATTGCAGTTGCGAACAACAATGGGCTCAGAGGACACCCTTGGCGCGAACCTCTGCTGAGTTTAAAATATTGAGACTTCAACCCATTAGTGCTTACGGAGGCCTTAGGTGATGAATATAAAAGCGTTATCCAGGATATAAATTTGGACCCGATGCAAAATCTCTTAAGCACCTTGAACAGGTACCCCACTCCACTCTATCAAATGCTTTTTCCACATCCAGAGATACCACCACTTCTGGCGTCTCACTTGATGCTGGAGAGGAAAGAATATTGAGAAGTCGGCGAATGTTAGAGAAGGAGTGTCAGTTTTTCATGAACCCGGTTTGGTCTGGTGATATGATGTGTGGCATGATAGGTTCAAATCGACGAGCTAATGCTTTGGCTAAGATTTTATATTCGGTGATTAGGAGGGAGATGGGGCGATATGAATTACAATCAGAATCTTCTTTACCTGGTTTTAGTATTAAGATTATTGAAGCCTCAGTGAGAGTTTGAGGGAGAGCGCCACGGTCCAGAGAGTCCTTGAACATTTTTAAAAGGAGGGGATTTAGTTTGTCAATACATTTTTTATAGAACTCTATAGGGTAACCATCTGGGCCGGGGGCCTTACCACTTTGTATTAATTTAATAGAGTCTGTGATTTCGCTTGTTGTTAATGGTTGATCCATCTCATCTGCTTGCATAGGAGATATGGATGGAAATTCCAGGTTGTCTAAAAAACGTTTCATGTCTGTGTCCTCAGCAGAGGATTGTGAGGTATATAATTCAGAATAAAAAAAATTAAAGGTTTCGTTGATGATGGATGGTATTACTGTGAGATCGCCCGAGGTGGTCCGAATTTGTTTAATTTTCTGGGCTGCCAGTTGACTTTTGATTTGGTGTGACAGAAGATGTCCTGCCTTCTCACCATGTTCATAATGAAGTCCACGTGACCGTAACAGGGTCTTTTCAGTCTCTTGTGTTGTGAGTAGGTTGTGGTTCATTTGGAGATTGTGCCTTATTTTATCTAGTTCAGGGGATGGAGATACTGACAGCCTGTTGTCCAATTGAGTTATGTTGCCCAAAAGTTCATCTTTTTGTTGTCTTTTTAGTTTATTTTGCCAAAGAGCCAAAGCTCTTCATGACACACACAAGACTTAAAATGTTTATGACGAGGTTGTCATGATTTGGTCTTATTTTTGTATTTCAGCGTTTAGGTTTCCATGTTTTAATTTCTCCTGTTTATCCTAGTGTTGCTTGTTTCCTGTGTGTGTTTTTGTCCTAATGTTTCATAGTTTAGTCTTTAGTGTTTTGTGTGTTATTTTGTAACTTTGTACCCTAGTGTTTCTTTATATTCTAGTGTGTTTTTGTTACTTTCTTGAGTTCTCTGTGTATCTTAGTGTTTCTTGATTTATGTTGTAGTTCTAGTCTCCAGTGTTTCTTGTGTTTCTTCCTGCCTCTGTGTGTTTCCCTCCAGTGTGATTGCCCTCATTGTCTTCACCTGTCTCATTAGTCTCACCTGTGTCTGATTACCCATGTCTATTTAGCCTCTGTGTTTCTTCCCCTCTGTGTCAGTTCATTGTCGTATGTTAGTTGTCAGTCTGTCGGTCATCAGTTTACTAATGTCTCCTTGTTTTCTCCTGTTGGATTTTGATTTTTGGATTAAGTTTTGTTGTGGACTTTTGATCTTTATTTTTACATAAATCATTTTTGTTAGCTTCTGCACTTGGGTCCACTTCCTGATTTTCCACACCCATGACAGAGGTCTCGTTTGTGTTTCAGGAAAATTGTTCAGTGAAATGTTTTTGCAGTTGACCTTCAGGGCCACCGTACAAAACGCCTTCACTGTCTTTGTACAATAAACAACCACATGTTGTTTACATCGGTGCTGATCACATCAGTGAAATCACATCTGATGCATCGTGAAACAGTCTGTGACGTCAGGATGTTTGTCTGCAGATTGAAACAAATTTGTATTATGAAAAAAACTATTAAACTAAAATATTAAAGGATATTTAATCAAAGTTTTCTATCTGAGAATGAAATCTGAACTAAACAGCTCACAGTGAAATCTAAACTGGGTGTTTGGTGCCACCTGCTGGTGAGTAAAGGGATATATTAAATGTGAGGAGCGATTGTTTAACTCTTTTTTTAAAGCTGAAAGAAGTTTATAAAGAAAGCAGAAATCTTAAATAATAATCCTCTTTAACTTTCTGAGTGTTTCTCTTTGATGTCTTTAAGAAACTTTGATTCTTTGAACATTTACTGAACTGTATCAGAAGATTACAGATTGTTTAATTAAATTAAAGAATACAGATGTATCTAAAAGGAACAATATGTAACTCTGACACCTAGTGTATAAAATGGGTACTGCAGTCCAAATTTTAAAGTCACCCCAGACTGCACCGGTGAACATCCAGGGCTTGGACATAGAGAGTGTGAAGACGTACAAATACCTGGGTGTTCACCTCAACAATAAACTGGACTGGTCACACAACACAGACCTCCTGTACAAGAAGGCTAATGTCGACTACACCTGCTGAGGCAACTGAGGTCCTTTAGAATGTGCAGGACTCTGCTACAGACTTTTTATGACACTGTGGTGGCGTCTGCACTTTTCTATGCAGTGGTCTGCTGGGGAGGAGGGAGCACAGAGAGAGAGACAGGAAGAGACTGAACAGACTGGTCAGGAGGGCCAGTTCTGTCTTGGACTGTCCTCTGGACTCTGTAGAGGAGGTGGGTGTTAGTGAAGCTGACATCCATCATGGACAACCCCTCTCACCCCCTGCATGACACTGTGGGGGCCCTGAGCAGCTCCTTTAGCAGCAGACTGAGACACCCACCCTGCAAGACAGAGCGCTACCGCAGGTCATTCATCCCATCTGCCGTCAGACTGTTTAATCAGACTCTTTAACAACATCACCACCTCATGCTACACACTGTGTGTGTGTTTTAATAACAATAAATCTGTAGTGTAGATACCATGTAATATTCTATTATCGTATTTTTTATTTATTTAACTGATGTAAATATGTTTGATTTTTAACTTCTATTTTTATTTTTAATAATTATATTCCTGTTTCCCGTTTTCTTGAGCTGCTGTAATGCAAAAATTTCCCCCACGGGGGATCAATAAAGTTTATCTTTATCTTCTATCTGAACCAGTTCTCTTGCCCGCTTCCATCGCTGCACCACCTGTTGGTTTGACCTGATAACTGCTCTCATATCTGTCAAACCGAGGGGCGTCCAAAACGGCCGTGTGGGGGTGCCTTAAAACTGCCTACCTTCTCTGGTCCAAACAAATCCAGAGCATTCAGGACCAGAATCTAAAGTTAGAAGGAGGACATACCGGCTGCTGCATTGTTGTCAGAGAAGCACTTCAACATAGCATGTTTCTTTAATGTCTGATCATACAGTAAGGTCACTAACATTTTACTCACTAAGCATTTTGATTGGACCTTTAGCAACAACGCCTTGAAAATCAGGGCCAGACAAACATTCCCGCCTCGCAACAGTTTGCAAGCAGCGCCTGGTGCTGAAACAAAGCCTCGCCACGGCAGCAACAGTTATCAGCAGAATAACCTGGGAACACCTCAGGATCCTCCAGGAGGCGCTCCACGTCACTATGGAGAGGAACGTTTGGGTCCACTTGCTTTTATGCGTCTCTAAAGAACGTCTACCTTGTAACAAACATTTCCAGAGTTTTGTGCAGACAGAGTGCAGGAGTTTACCTGGGGGCTTCGACGGACTCGTTCCTCTCCTGTAGATCTGTTGTATGAAATAAATGTTGTTATTTAAAGCTTCATCATTTTATCATTTTTAAATTGTGGTATCAAAAAGTATCAAACATTTTGACGGCCTTATTGAACAGTCAAAGATTTCACTCTGAAGTTTTTGGTAGATTTTGATAAAACTTTTACAGTTTAAAACATTAAAGTTCAAATATCCTCGAGCCCTGTGAAGCACCTCTGATGGACTATCCAGAGCTGGAACGACTCGAGCGTCACAATCCAGAACAAACAAACTAAATGTACACAGAGATTTTGTCTTCTGCTTCAGCTCAGTTTGTTTCAGTTGTCTCTTCTGGTTTATTCTGTAAAGTTTTGTTAAAGTATTTATAGTGATAACTTCCTCCTCTTTAAACTCCAGAACAACAAGAGAAATGTTCCCAAAGTTCATGAGGAGTTTCTCAAAGCCACAAGTCTGAGTGTGGAGCTTCTTACTGTGTGATCGTGCTGACTCGGGGAAACTCCAACATCTCTAACTCCTCAGGTGGTTTGCTTACACACTCACAGCTCAGACTTCCTCTTCTTTACCTGCCTCACAGTCACACACCCGCAGGAGTCTTCACAGCTTAACAGACAGACTGCAGGTGTACAGCTGTTCAGGTACAAAGAGGCCTTTTTAAATAAAGTTTCTATCTGTTAATGAAGTTCACGTGCGGACTTCATCTGTGAGAGTGTGAACATTTGAACTCACGGGACATCTTCCTGTTTCTGTGACTGACCGTCGGCAGAACCAGAGGAAGCGGCTGAGGCCAGTGTTTCCAACCTGTCAGGAGTTTCCAGAGTGGGCGGGGCCATGCTGCAGGTGGGCGGGACCAGGAAGTGCAGAGCGAGCTGCGGTTTCGGTTTGTGTCTGATAAATATGCTTACCGCGGGGAGCACCGGATACAATCTGTCAGTGAATATTCCTCGTTGTGCGGAGACGTTCAACCCCCCCCCCCAACCTCAGTGTCCGTCATGTCTGCGCTCGTGCTGATAGACCTGACCTACGGCTGCTGCCCCGCGTGCACCGGTGAGTCTCTACGGGAGGAGTCCGAGTCAGGCTCGCGGGTTTTCCTGCTGTGTGGGGAGCGTTACCGAAACTCAAACAACATTTCAAACCTGAGCTCGTGCAGCAGCAGCAGCAGCAGCAGTAATGGTAGAAAAAGCGCATGCGTGCTGGACTCGGCCTCCACAGCAGAAAGTTTGTACCGGTTTAAAGAGACCCTGGACCAGCTGGACCAGAGCTCGGTCCGGGTCATCACGTCCCCGCGGGGGCGACAGGTGCTGCAGATGTACCAGCAGCTACTTTTTACCGCCGTGTACACATTCGAGTACAAGGTGGTCGACCTCACCTGTGCCAGCTGCACACAATCTGCCCACAAGGACTCACCTGATGACGTAGAAGAAGACGTGACCGCGTTTGTGCGGCAGCTTCCGGCGCTGAGAGGAGAGCTGAGAGTCCTCAGGTCTACCCTGATCCCAGGTCAGTTCAATTAAAACACGTTAAATAAATACCGTTTAATTGTTATATCACCTGTCTGCACACTGAACACTGTTCATCTACCTCCTTTAAATAGACCACCTGTGACGTCACTTTGTGTTTCAGCATCTTTTGCACTCCTCACCTCGCTGTTCTGAAGGCTTTTTTATATCCATTTAATAGTTTTATATTTTATTATTAATAAAAGAAAGAGAGCAATGTCCTCGTCTATGTACACAAACAAAGCTGATCTTGATTCTGATAAAATGTATTTATTTAAAACGTTCATCAAGCACACAGCAAAAAGATTAAAGTAATATTTTAAACATTTAAGTGTTCTTCTAAACAGGATCAGTCTGTAGTCGATCGTCTCTGAACCTGAAGGTCGGGGGTTTGATCCTCAGCTCCAGCAGCCACATGTTCACTGTGGCTTTGGGCAGGACACTTAACCCCAAGTTGGTCCCGCTGCTTTGTCGTGGGTGTGTGAATGGATGAGTTAATACTGATGGACTCCTTACTCAGCAGCCGTTAGAATCCTGTGGTGTGAAAGCGCTTTGAGGAGTCAGAAGAGTAGAACAGGTCTTTGCAATTTCAAGTCCATTTACACATCATGATAAAGACACTTCTTTCTACAGAAACATTAATCACGCTGTGTTTATCTGACTTTTGACATATAAAGACATCATATGTTTACGTCTGCTTGTTATTTAGTCGTGCTGGCTTTCTGTCACATCGCTGCTTCTCTTCTGAAACTCCACAAACATTAAACGTGATATATATGAAGTGAGGGTCACAGGATGTGGACCCTGTACCAGACCTCATTCAGAAAAAGACGGTTTTTACTGTGAGAGTGATTCGTATTTAAAACCCTTCTTGAGGACTCGTCTGAATGAGGCGGAGTGTTACGATGTTTTGTTTTTAACTCGGTGTTTTGCTAACACGTCATGAAGAGTTGGAAGAAAAGGTTCATCTGGCCGATGAGATCAGTTCTGTTAAATCTGCAGATTTCTGAATGGAGTTTGGTCTGATGATATAAATATGAAAGAAATGATCATTCTTTGTTTTCCTCTTAGAATGTTTCGGTCACGGCTTCAGCACGCGTGGCGGTGGCGTGTCCTCGATCCCGACCATGTCCTCGTTGAACCTATTCAGCAGCCGCCGGAGGAGGGACCCCATCGCCGTGGTGACGGAGAACAGACGCCGTCTGGCCCTCCACGCGGGTTTCCCTTCTGAGCAGTTCCGTCTGGTCAAGGTACTTTCAGTCATCAGCACAGTTGTTGTGATGAATGTGGAAAACGGAAATGATTGATGTTTCTAACTTGAATGAGACACGCTACACGTCCAACAGTAGAAGCACGAGGGAGGTTATTTGTGCTTTCTGTAAAGTGTCGTCGGCTTGCCGTCGTGGAGGACGAGAAACAGAAATCATCTTCAAGGTCACAGCGTCTTCGTGTTCTCTTGTCTCTTGCAGGTCAATCACGCCTCTGACGTTTGGGTTTTGGGGAAAGAGGAGCCGGAGAGTTATGACGCCATGGTAACCAACCAGACCGGTGTGGTCATCGCCGCCCCGGGAGCCGACTGCATGCCGATCCTGTTCGCCGACCCTGTGGCTAAAGTGGTAGGAGTCGCACATGCAGGTAGAAACATAACAGACGTTCTAAAATCACCTTCCTTCTTCTGGTATGAATGTTTTTTTAAATTTTGTATCTGTGTTTCTGTCGTAAGGATGGAAAGGCACCCTGATGGGGGTTGCCATGGCGACGGTGGAGGCCATGGTGAGAGAGTTTGGTTGCCGTGTGAGTGACATCCTGGTTGCCGTGGGACCGTCGGTGGGGGCGTGTTGTTTCACTCTGGTCAGAGATCAGGCGCTCGACTTTCACAGCATCCACCCCGACTGTGTCCCCGACCTCGAGTCAGAGATGCCGCACGTCAACATCCGGCTCGCCAACAGGTACGCAAGACACGCACTGAATTTATCTGAAATGCTTCTTGCTGAGAGATGAACCATGAACAGAGGTCACAGGGTCATCCGGTCTGTAAAGCCTAAAGTCAGAGTTGAATGAAGCTCGCTCTCTTTGGACCTGCCTTTAGTTTAGTTTGACGTTGTTTCTAAATTGAATAACCTCCCTTCTCAGACTCCTCCTCCAGTGTGGCGGCGTGCTGCCGGAGAACATCCACGACGACACGGTGACAGCGCGTCCGTCTGTGACCCCCTGCACCTCCTGTCACCCCGAGCTCTTCTTCTCTCACCGCAGAGACGGGATGGAGTTCGGCACTCAGGTGGGCAACCTGTGGATCAGAGAGACAGGGACACGGGCGTGACCCTGCCCCCCTCCGAGGAGCGATCATCTGGTGCTCTGCTGTTTGGACTGAAAATAAATCTCTTTTTACTTTAAATCAAGACATGAATTGTTCAGCGCCCTGTGTCAGCGGCTCTGAACGGTGTAGAGTCTGCACTAAACTCTTCATGTAAACTAGTCTGTATCTTAAGCGGGGTCATTGCTTGGTTACCATAGAGACGTAAGGTTCGTCTTAACTAGTAGAGCGTTACATCCAAACTAAACTAAACATGTCAGAATTGAGGTTTGAACTTGACGTGACCAATCAGTGAGCAGCATGTTTCTTAAATAACAGTGACATCTAGTGGTGAAATCTTCTAACTACAACAAAAGGTCATTTAATAGTCCTCTCTGATTGGACGATGAAATTATCTGGGCTTATGGAAGAACAGCAGTTTTACACTGTGGTAGTTTAACCCCTCTGTTCTGATTTTCATATCAAAGTGAAATAAATGAAGCCGCTCGGCATAATTATTCTTTCTCTGTTCCTGTTTCACACTTTATTAATTTAATGTCTGACAAGTGTGAGCTGCTGTTAATGTTCCAGCTGAGCACATTTTATTGAACACAGCAGCAGCTGTTCATCATGAGGCGTTCAGGTGCAGCAGAAAGTGTGGGACACATGGCAATTTAAAAAATAAACACATCTGTGGGATTCAGACAGCATTTATTTATTTCTTCTCAAAGATGAATGTCTCCGAGTAGTCGTAAAAAGCAGCCCTTTTATTAAAAAAAAGAACATTTCAATAAATCTGTCAAAAGTTTCTGACACAGCAGGAAACATTTGTTTGTAGGGGATTTCAGATTTAATGTCCAACTCGTCGAGTCAGTCGAGTCAGTTGTCAAAGAAAAAGTTGAACAATCAATAAAAAGAAAAACACTGTCAGTTTGAGGTGAAATGCTCTTTTAAATCAGTCATCGCGTCATATAAATAATATTTCCATCTGTAAACATAAACACAAGCAGCTGGTCGTCTGCTCAGAAACACTAACAGAAATCTGCATTTATGGATCAGAATAAATAAACAAATAGAGAAGTCCTTCAGCGTTAAGGCCCCTCCTTCTAAAACCAGGAAGCTGCAGTTTGAAGAGCTAACATGCTAACAGGCTAAATGATGCTACACTAAAAGCACAACAGAAGAAGACAGATAGTGCTCCGTAGTTTGAGGCGAAACTTAAATAAAGCTTCATGTTTCCTTGGTCACTGCAACTGTGTGTGTGTTTCTGTGTCTGTGTGTATGCCTGTGTGTATGTTTATGTGTCTGTGTGTGTATGTCTGTATGTGTGTGTGTGTGTGTGTATGTCTGTATGTGTGTGTGTATGTCTGTATGTATGTGTGTGTGTGTGTGTGTGTGTGTATGTACATGATTTGATCAGAAATCTAAAAGAAATATGAGCTCAAACTTTAAATGAAAGAGGAGCAGCTGCCTGTCAGGATTTTCTTCATCAAACAATCGTCACAAACAGTCTGAATGTCGACTGGAGGTAAAGGTAACATTTGAAATGTCATTTGAAATAAAGATTTATTTTCTTCTGAGTGGTTTGAATCACGAGTGCTTAAAATGAGACCCGGAGGTTGTCACGCCTGTCGATTGTATGATTTCAGGACTTACAGGGCAACAACTAGTGGATATTCAACTCCACTATGAGCAGAAACTGGTGGAGATGTGGAGAGGGCTAAAAGCCTCTCTGACATGACCTCGTCTTTGAACCTCCAGAGAGGAGGAGAACGGGGACAGAAATCACTGCGGCCCTCAAACGACTGAGTTCATATCTCGCTTCTCTTTTACACCTTAAAATTTCAGCATCATCAAACTATGGCTTGTTGGTCACCTGAAACCTGACACCTCTCTATGATTGACAGCTCCTGCAGCAGGTGCGTGTTCTCATGGCTTATTCTTCCTCACCTGTCCGTCCTCTGAACGCTTCCATACCGGCTTCACTTTGTTCCATCACTGAGCTCGTCAACATTTATGAAACTTCCATACTCTTTGATTCCACGTCTTTTAAAACGATCTGTTACTGTAATGATCGATAGTATCGAAAGTACAGAATATTCAAAAATACTTCAGATCTTCTGAGAGCGAGCGGCGTCTAAACTGAATGAATACGTTGGCAACGTTTCAAACCGAAGCTTTGCCAACGTCTTTGTGCAATTTGGACAATGTGAAGAACTTTATCTGCAACATCTGGTGATTAAAAACACTAATGTTGTGTGTCTAGGAGTTTTTGTTGCCGTGGTAACAAACAGGTATCGATATCGTTAGATTTTTAAGAGAATCATATCAAAGTGTAAAAAGCTGCTACCATGACAACCGCTGTCGCCACGTTTCACGTTAATTTAGAGAGAAATCTGAGCTGATGTTTAAAACTGAACTTTGACCTTTGAGCACCAAAGGTGCTTTTTTGTTTGTTGTGTAGAAAACTAAACGTTTCAGAGGAAGAGGTGAAGTCTGTAGTAGATTAAAAAATAAAAACACCTGACACAGTGATGCAGCAGACCTGCCTCACATTCAGCACACCTGCCTGAGAGCTAAGCTCCGCCCACACCTGCCCATAAAAAGTGTCATAATAACGTCACAAGTTCTCAGGGTGAAAGATTTAAAATAGGAGCAGTTACCTCCTGCAGCCACCAGGTGACCCCACACTGCACAGGTCCTGATGCTGAGATGAAGTGCACTGACCTCTCTGGAGTCTGGAGCGGTCACTTGTTTTTAAAAACAGAAAGAATCTTTTTAAAGAGTCAGCGAGCACCCGGGAACAAGATCCAAACCATCCTCCTGGTTTGATCTGAGACGCAGTGAGGGTGACCAATCTGTCCCTCCTGATCCTCACGTACGTTTAGGAAAAACAAGGAAAGTCATTTTCTGTCTGAAGGAAAAATCCTGATTTTGGTTTGTATGATGAGCCCATCAGGGGGAGAGCTGTGCATTCTAGGTAAAAACCTGTCTGCTGCCACTCAGGGACAGACAGAGCTGAGGAGTGATTCAGCGAGTGACACCTGAATGCAGCTTCAGATGTGTCTCAGGAGGTGGGACACGAAGGAACAGTCGTCTGAGGAATGAGGAAAGAAGGAAAGGAGGAAAAGTCCTGAGGAAGGAATGAAGGAGATCAGAAATGACGACGAAGGAGTGAGGAATGAGAAAGAAAAGGAGGCGTCTTGATCCCTCTGGCAGGGAACAAAGTAGTGTTTATGTCTGTAAAAGGTCCAGCTTCCTGTGTGTGTGTGCATGCGTGTGTGTGTGTGTGTGTGTGTGTGTGTGTGTGTGTGTGTGTGTGTGTGTGTGTGTGTGAGTGTGTGTGTGTGTGCGCGTATGTATCAGCTGCAGTCGCAGAGTAGCAGTCCGGCCACTAGAGGGAGCAGGTTGAGCAAGAGGAGCCACAGAGTGAAGGCCAGACCAGGAGAGCTGGAGCAGGGGTCTGAAACACACACACAAGCTTTTCAAAGATGGAGGGGAGACAAAGTGTGAAGATGGCATGTCATCAAACGAAAACATCCCGTCTCTAACATTTTTCTTATCACTGTGTCGTCATGGAAACAGATCGAGTGATGGATGTCAGTTTAACCTCACGTTAGCGCACACATGATGGACGCTTTAACAAAAAGCCAGCTGGAGCCTCTTGTTGTCAAACTGCAAGGCGGCAAAATGAAGAATTGGCAGGAAGTTTCAGTTTGTTCTCGTCACCATAGTAACGCCTACACGCTAGCTACTGTTAGCAACGGCTCCACACCATTAGTGAAACGTCAGCTCTGTACAGCGGGATGATTCTGCTCCTCAGTGTACCTGAACATCGATTAAACACCTGATGGCACTGATGCTTTGCAGTAATGTGTTTGTTCATACTGACAGACTCTCGGTCTGCGCGCACGGTGTGCAGACTTTAAACTGGAGAATATTTATTTCTTGATTCACTCTTCCTCAAACTGACACGTCACCAGCTCTGTGGGATTCAAAGCTCTACATGGAAAAATAAAGTTGGACGCACTGACCAATGGGGTTGCTCCTGGAGGCGTTGATGGGCGGGATCTGGTGGGGGAGGGGGCAGTCTTCACAGAAGCTGGTGCAGGCGGGGCAGACGAGCACGCCGTTATAAACCCAGTCGTTGACCCGCACACTGACGCTCAGCAGCTGACCTTTACGAACGCAGAGGAAGGAACGGTCCTGAACGTACACGGTCAGGCCCTGTGGCGAGCACAGCACCTACACACACACACACACACACACACAGGGTTAAATTAATCACACTGCTCCGTGTCTGAGGGTGGATGCATGGCGGTTTAACGGCATTACCTTGTAGCAGCCGGAGCCCCAGTCTGGGTAAGTCATCTTCCTCGTGCATTGCTCCATAACGAACGCCGACTTCTGGTACAAGCACACCGAGTCGGGACCGTACTGCTCCGCCCCGTAGTTCCTCCACCAGTCTGAACACACACACACGATAACTTTAGCCTCACTATTAGCAGTGTGTGTGTGCCACTGAGTGTGTGTGCATGTTCATTTGTGTGCATGTTCGTGTGTGTGCGCGTGTTTACCCGGCTGGTTCTCGGTCACTCTGCAGTACGAGTTCCTCTGATATTCTCCGCTCAGGTGCCAGCTGAACTCCTGACTGAACGGACAGAAATCTGCAATCTCCACCGCACCGCCGAACAACGACAACTGATCAGCTGACACGTCGGGGATCCTGTCAAAATACTGACACACACACACACAGACACACAGACACACACACACACACACACACACACACACACACACACACACACACACACACACACACACACACACACACACACACACACACACACACACACACACACACACACACACACACACACACACACACACACACACACACACACACACACACACACACACACACACACACACACACACACACACACACACACACACACACACACACACACACACACACACACACACACACACACAGAGAGAGAGAGAATGTATTTACTACAAATTGTTCAACGTGGGTGCAGCAATGTGCTTTTACAGCAGGCGGACCTGGACTCACTGTGAGGGAAAACTATAATAATGAATTTGTTATTTGGTTTGATGTACCTGGTACTCCAGTGGCAGCTCCTGGGGATATTTCTGCAGGTTGCAGACGGCCACAGCCAGCTGGTCCTGTCTGCAGGTGAGCTGCAGAGGAGACGCTCGCACCGTGTCGCAGAACGGAGTCACAGCGTGTCGCCTGACACAATGACACACACAACACATCCAGGGTGAGGTTAGGGACAAGTGATCTCTGATTTTAAAGATCAATGAGAAACTGTTAAAAAGTGAATAAAAGATAAATGATGATATTTTTGTAGGGTACAGATCAGTAAAGTCCTAAAGTCTGGCGGCTGCTTTCAAACAGCATAGATCATTTGTGATATCATAAAATAGACTGTATCAGTGACCTCTGTCTCTGTCTGTCCATCCAGAACTTGCAGCTCTTCATGACAAAGTCACAGCCGAGGCCGCGGCCCCAGTCCAGCCTCTGAGCCAGGCTGTAGTTAGCCCGGTACCAGCCGCTGTCTTCCATGATGGCCAGCGTGAGTCGAGAGAACACCCGGTTCTGAGTGTGGGAGCCTGTCATCGCCTCGTTCTGACCAAGGAGGAGAAAACACAATAAGACCGATGACGTACACTGTGTGTGTGTGTGTGTGTGTTTTTTTTTTTTACCTCCAGAAGTCTCTTCTCCCAGTGGTTCAGTTCGGTCCCCGTCCCGCCCTGGTTCTCCAGCTCCATCCCCTCCAGGATGGGACAGTTATAATGTCTCCTCGCCTCCTCCTGGAACGGAGCGAGAGCACACACAGCTCAGACAAACTCGTTATATTCTCAATTCGTCCTTCAGCTGGTGAACTGCTTATGTATTTTATTTGTTTATTCAACAGGGACACATCGTGCAATGAGCCTCGCTTCATCTGTGATGTAGAAAGCAGATGTCATGCAGGTTTGTAGCCATGGCTCACTAACAACCCCTGACCCTGCTCGACTTTCAGGATCAAAACAGAAGCATTCAACTTAAAGAGACACAGAAAGAGGGAAACAAAAACAGAAACATTCTCAACTCAATACTTACAGACTAAATGTGAACAAACTGTAAAATGAGGATTATAAGAGGAAGCAGTCGATGCTCAAAGACTGGCTTCAACACATACAGAGCGAGAGAGAGTTTCTCACCACGACCCGAGGAGTGACGAGGACATGGACCTGGTGTCGAACCATTGATCCTCCTCTGATGTCCCACAGCCGGCTGACCCTCCTTATCACCGCATCGCTCCACTGGTACAAACCCAGACTGACACACACACACACACACACACACACACACACACACACACACACACACACACACACACACACACACACACACACACACACACACACACACACACACACACACACACACACACACACACACACACACACACACACACACACACACACACACACACACACACACACACACACACACACACACACACACACACACACACACACTTAAGTTTTTGTTTTTCTCTTGCTTCACAAAGACGGCTGATACTTTTAAACCCCTGATTCATCTCGGTGATGTTTTAAATCTGCGTGTACATCTTCTCCTCATCATGGAGAACTGAGGTTTAGTACTAATCTTAAAACCCTGACTCATCATTGTACTCTGTATGACATAGTCGGCCTGCATTGACCTCTCGTAGAAGAAATCCCTGACATGTTCTTTTTCATAAGGATGTACTGAAACCTGCTTCCCTCACACTGTGTGACTGTTTTCATGTGACATGCTGGAAGCTTCAGTCTTCTTCTTATCCGTCCCCAAAGTCTTAAAACATAGAAAAGAGTCTCAGGTTCTCTGCTCCTGCAGCAGATTCTGTTTCTGAGGAGCTGCTCTCTTCTAGACTGAAGGTGATGGAGGACGAAGCATCAGGTTGTAGATGCTTTGTCTGATGACCTTCTGCTCTGGGAAGCTGGATTTGTTATTGCATTGTGTTGCATGTCTGACATTAAAAAGAACTTTTCGAGATCCGTCTGTGTGCTCTTGTTTGTATTAGAACCAGCTAGAAGCCCCTCACAGGAGCTTTAACTGGTATCACAACCAGCACAGAACCAGATAGGAATGGACCTCTCCTCATCTACAGATACACTGAGCTCACCTCTCGTTGAAGGCGGGCAGGCCGCTGGTGAAGCGAGGAGTCAGAGGTCTGCCTTCATCGTCATGATAGAAGGCAAACAGACCAGCTGAAAACCCCTGGTGGACAGAAGAGGAACTGCACTTCAGTAATGTAGTTTACACCAACAGAACTCCTCAGTATTTACTCTGATGTGTCCTGATCTTTGCTCTCACATCGTTTGAAGCGTTTAAAACTTTGAAATCTGGTTACCGTAAAGATTGCATTAAAGAAAATCTGACTATTTACTGAAAAGAGAAAAATGCAGTTTGAAGGAGATTTAAGGGAAAATGTTTCTGCACTGACCAGAGCGTGGATGATCTCGTGTTTAACAGTGGAGAGCATCCCTTCAAACTCCTGAGGCTGAGACGAGATCATGGCGGGACACAGGTTGGCATAGCCGGCTATAGGTCTGAATGGGAACGGATAAACACGCACGCACACACAAAACCAGGAAGCTGAGGAAACACTCTTAAACATGTCTTAAAATAAATCACATATAAATTAAGATGGCAGAGTTCATTTAACAACATGGGGACTCCTCGTGTCGACCTCCTCACCTGTCCAGCTCGGCCTCCAGCTGGCAGTATGCAGCGTAGGCCACAATGTTTTCCTGCCCGCAGCGCTCCGTGGTGATGCCGCTGACGTAGAGCACAAAGTCAGACCCCGCCACTCCGGGTCCGTCTGGGGGTCCCGAGGGGCCACACGACTTCCCTGATTCACTGCACACCTTACATTGCTGTGAGTGAAAACAACACAAGAGCCAGTGATCAAAGCCTTAATCAGCATGTTATCTAGCCTCTCTGAGCCGTTAGCATCTGCTTAGCTCTTCTTCTAAACATCACATTCACATCTTCAGTGTCTCTTTCTGACCTGCAGGTGGTGCTGTGGCACAAGGACAGGGCCGCAGCGTGTGACGTCTGCACAGGCGTCCTGACAGTATCGGTGAGGGTCATCTCTCTTCCTCAGGTACTGGTTGGTCGCACATTGTCTGAGACGTCAAAGACAACAAGCACTGAGGTTCATTAAGTCTGCATTACGGTTTAGAAACAAGCATGAGGGGAAAACGTACACCAAGACCGAGGCCAGCTTCAGTGTCTGCACTCCTGCTGGTCTCTCCTAAAAGGGGCCGAGCTGACAGGTCACTCCTGTAGCTAAAATACTCGCAACTGGGGGCGCTGGTGGCGCAGTGGTTAGAGCGTGCGCCCCATGTATGGAGGCTATAGTCCTCCAAGCGGGCAGCCCAGGTTAGATTCCGACCTGTGGCTCGTTTCCTGCATGTCATTCCCTACTCTCTTTCTCCCTGATTTCCGACTCCATCCACTGTCTCTATAATAAAGGCACAAAAAGCCCCAAAATAAATCTTTAAAAATAATAAGCATGTGAAGCACGTCATACAACCACATTTCAAGTATCCCTTTGACAGCATTCACAGGTCAAACCAGACACTAGGCCTCATGTAAACACGATTATTCTGGATCTAAATCTTTCTAATTGAGTAAGTCAAATTTATGACATTCGCTTGACTGTATGTCGTACATAACTTGTTAGTTATAGATTCCACACACCGGAAGAGATGATCATCCACATACCTGCTGAGCAGCACTGGCCCGACTCTGCGCCTCACGCTGAAGGCTCTCTGCAGGTAATCGATGGCCTGAGGAAACAGCTTATCCTGAAACACACACAAACATAAAGTTGTGTTTCATTTTAACAACTGCAGGTCAGCAACAATCAAACAAAGTTAGACACAAACAAAAACCGCCACAGCTGAAGATGAGATCGTAGCTGCAGGAGATCTGAAGGCAACTGGACGGTACCATCAACAACACACCAGATGAGGACAACTCTTCGTATTTTCTATAAAAACACGATGACCATAAACGTTTTGCACACATTGAGATCTCGGGTGTTCCTCACCTTCACCAGTCGTCTCTTGTCTGCAGGAAGTCTGTAGAGAGAGAGAGAGAGAGAGAGAGAGAGAGAGAGAGAGAGAGAGAGAGAGAGAGAGAGAGAGAGAGAGAGAGAGAGAGAGAGAGCATCAGCTGCACTCATGAACTGTCCTCATAGTGCGTATACAACTGCACCTTCACAAGGAAACTATCAGATCCATTACATCTCATATCACTGATTTAAAGTGTTTCTAACAAGGGTTGTAGGAATTTTGATGACGGAGAATATTAACTGTTAAAGGTCACATCCTGCTGCGGAACTTACAGGTCCACGCTGTAGTCGTAGATTATTTTTATCTTCAGCTGAAGGTTTTCAGGAGAGCTTCTCTTAGTCAGACGCTCAGGCTTCAGGTAAACATGATGGACGACCTGAAAGAGTCCGGGAGGACATGAGAAGAATATTCAGACACTTTGTTGTTTTTATTTGTCATGACTCAGGCAGGGCAATATGGATGTCTGTCTACATTTTACAATAGCTTCAATAAAAAGAGGGTTATAATGTTCAGTCTGTGTTGATCCATCTATGCAGGATCACTCTGAGGATGCAGTTTGTGCAGGTGTTAAACTCATTAACAAACAGGTGTTTCTGTTCTCCACATTAAACTAATGTACATAGTGATGTATTCTAGTTTATGAAGATGCATCTCTTCCTCCTTTCAAACAGTATGTTTGTGTTTTGAATTCGGTCTACAATATGTCACCTTAATTTTGTGGGAACTTAATTTAATACTCTATCTTTTTTTTAAATGAAAAATTAAGTTTATGTCTGAATGAGGATGCCTAACATGCTTGCTTGTTTAATATTTATTTTTATAAGACTTATGTGACCAATTAAACTTTTGAGCATGAATATCCAGTCCTGAAAACTAAATATATTTCTTGTAGTTGCAATTCCAAAACTTAGAGAGTGAAAGACTCGATGCATTTTTTCAATATTACGTTTTTCATTATTTATTATTATTTCATATATCATTAAGCACAATTAAGTGCTAAATATTAAGGTTTAGGGTTTAAGTTACGAAAAGGATGAGAAGTTGGTGCTTTTATTCTGAAGAGATTTACCAGGAAGTGTGTTTCCTCTTGTTGCTAGGGGAACCCAGGCAAAAGATGGGTTCAATTTAAGTAAAATTATTTAGAAGAAAACGCTCAGTTGTGTCAACAGTTCAAACTGTATCTTTAATAAACTGTAAATTAAAATAAGTGTAACTAAATAGTTTACTTCACCGATAACTAACAACGCGTTTGCTAAGCCTGTTAGCTTCCTGGCTAACTGTTGAGCTAATCTCTTTTCGGAAGCTAACTCGACAAGCTAAAGTATTCTTAGGTTCAGATTTGTACTTAATAAGTATTACAAGACATATTTAACATCATTGTTGAATCATAATATGTTCTACTGGGTGCCATGTAGTATATCAAAATACAAGACACCGTACAGAAGTTATTTAATCCCGAATTGCAGACAAATTTAAACAGTTAATTAGACAGCACAGCTAGCCTGCTAGTTAGCCTAGCTCCTCTGCTGACATAATATTGTATTTAGCTCAGTTAGCTCAGTTAGCTCAGTTAGCTTCGTTGACAGGAACAAATCAGAACCGGGGATAACCTCGTCGGGAGCGGGGACTCGGTGTCTGCACGTCCCATGGCAGCTCACGACCACGGCCAGGACGGAGAAGACGAGGACAGGGCAGAGGATCCAGGACACGGACGGCTTCCCATCCCCGATCAGCCTCGGCTCCATCCTCCGGCCAGCCCGACAAGCGGAGCTCCGCAGCCCGACGTCAACAGAACCTCCGCCGGTCCGGTCCGCTCGGTGCTCGGTTCATTCATCGCTCGCAGGGTGAATCAGAACATGTTAGCATCCCGCAAAACGTGCCATTTCTTAATCCGTGTGTGGATGACAGTAGTGATGGAGGTCACACCGGCTGGTACACGGTAAAAATCTGCCTGACAGCTGGTCCTGGTTTGTCAGCTGAGGGGAGAGGACCTGCGCTCCGAAGATCTTCTGTAAGTAAGATGAGCCACTCAGACAACAACTCATTGTACGGTTTTCAACTCGACCAGCAGCAGCGAAAGTCCAAAGATCGCTTCTTAATAGGAGCACTCACTCAGCCACGTAGATTATTTTAAAAATGATTAAGTAACAATATGAATTAATTGATTTGTATTTGTAAAGCGCTTATTCTTTATCTCAAGTCGAGGTACTTTACAAAGAGAGAAGGTCTAGACCATATTCTTTGTTGTAATAGATATATATTTTTATTTAATAACAAACACCCAACGTTAAACCTTAAACAGAACCAGACTCATGTTGAACAGGCAGAAACGTTGAAGAGAACCAGACTCATGTTGAACAGGCAGAAACCTGAAGCAGAACCAGACTCACGATGAACAGACAGAAACCTGGATCAGAACCAGACTCATGATGAACAGGCAGAAACATTGAACAGAACCAGACTCATGTCGAACAGGCAGAAACCTGGAGCAGAACCAGACTCATGATGAACAGGCAGAAACCTGGAACAGAACCAGACTCATGTTGAACAGGCAGAAACCTGGAGCAGAACCAGACTCATGATGAACAGGCAGAAACCTGGAACAGAACCAGACTCATGTTGAACAGGCAGAAACCTGGAACAGAACCAGACTCATGATGAACAGGCAGAAACCTGGAACAGAACCAGGCTCATGTTGAACAGACAGAAACCTGGAACAGAACCAGACTCATGATGAACAGACAGAAACCTGGAGCAGAACCAGACTCGTGTTGAACAGGCAGAAACCTGGAGCAGAACCAGACTTGTGTTGAACAGACAGAAACCTGGAACAGAACCAGACTCGTGATGAACAGGCAGAAACCTGGAGCAGAACCAGACTCATGATGAACAGGCAGAAACCTGGAGCAGAACCAGACTCGTGTTGAACAGACAGAAACCTGGAACAGAACCAGACTCGTGATGAACAGGCAGAAACCTGGAGCAGAACCAGACTCGTGTTGAACAGACAGAAACCTGGAACAGAACCAGACTCGTGATGAACAGGCAGAAACATGAACAGAACCAGACTCATGTTGAACAGACAGAAACCTGGAACAGAACCAGACTCATGTTGAACAGGCAGAAACATTGAACAGAACCAGACTCATGATGAACAGACAGAGACCTGGAGCAGAGGCAAACGTACTTCATCTTGGTCCATGTTTTGATTTGTAGCACGTGACCTTTCACCCCGTTGGTCTGAGGTTGGTTCTCACAGCTTGTTTCAGTCAGACACTAAAACCTGATTAACTTACAGACTAATGAGTTAAATGTGATCAGCTGTAGACCAACGGTTCAGTTTAACTGAAGACGAAAGCGTCTGTGGCGGCCGATGAAAGGCTGCTCTGTGTCGTCCGATTACCTTCATTTTTCCTTTGATGCTTTCCTCTTTGACTCTGCTCAGGAAGGCCGAACTTAACATCATAGTGAGACTCATCCTGTCAGGGAAATTGAGTTCTGTTTAAAGTTCAAATTAGCGGGCCGAGGTCATCTGGTGAGAGCAGGTGAGCAGGCCGCTCTGTGGACATGAGAGAGGCGCCCTGTTGGAAGTTATTGTTCTTTTAGATCGATTTGAATCAACTCATTCAAAGCGGAGGATATAGTGGGGAAAATGGATGATATTCAGACGTACTTCATGCTACCCTGAATCAGTCAGGAGGCAAGTTTTGTAGCCCCAAGCGAAACAGTCTGGAAACGCCTCTGCTCTGTCAGCAGCGTTTTGGTGTTTTTATGTATCAAAGCGTTTATCTGAGCAGATTGATCCGTAAAAATCCAGAAATATATTCAGCTCTGTTCATGTTGAAAGATCAGCTCTGCAGCAGTAATAAGCGGGCGTGTCTGCTCAGACTTCTCTGTGTTGTGGTCTCTGACTGAGAATGAGAAAATCAGTCGTGTCTCCTAAACCACACAGCCTTATTAAAGTGTCCTGAACCACCACAACCCATTACGTCCTGTTTTAAATCACGACCCCAAACTTAAAAGACAGTGTTGTAAAGATTTGCTGGTTTAGCTTCTCTTTCATTTGTGTTCTCTGTGACGTTCACGTTTTATGATTCAGAAAGAATGTGACATTTTTAAAGCTGGGATTGTTATTTAAGCTTTCACGTTTCACTGATTCATATCACAAAGTTTTATAGGTCAGTTTTCCATAATGTCACGTTATTCCTTCATCTTAACTTCAGTAAACAAAATTAAATAATTTGGGTTATCCATCACAACATGCTCCATGGTGAATTCAGAATCTCGTCTTCAGGCTAAACAAGATAAATGAGGCAGAACTCAACTATACTGAAAGGTTGATTAACTTTAAGAGACAACTGAATAAACTCTTCAGAGATGTTTCATATGGTTTACTCAGAACTTGAGTGTAAAAACAGATTTATTAAAACCTCACAGACAGAATCATAAATTACAAATCAATAACAGAATCTTTATTACAAAATGATTAACAAACATTTGAGTTCCCTTAGTGGTTTCTGTTTTTGTGTTTCTTGTCGGGTAGAAACTAAATCTTGTCTCTGGATTCTCTGTTCTTTAAAGGCAGAGTCAACATTCAAACTGGGCCGCTCCTCCCCCATAAGCTCCGCCCCCAGCAGGAATTAGTGTGTATGTTTACTGCTTGTACCTACACTGAAAGCCAACGCACGCTAGCACAAGCTAACCGCTGGTGTTTGTCACCTGCCTGTCCAACAGGAAGCAGACCAACTCCACGTCCACGGTTAAAAGCCAACAGAAGGTTCACCCTTGTTTTAGAATGAGCTTTATCCGTTTAGCCGCTTGGTGTTTCTCCTCACTTTGATTATATTTTAAGTAGTATAAGTACAGTATAAGTCTGTATTTTATTTTGAAGGAGGAAGCTGCTGAAAAATGGCAGAAGACTGCATCAGAAGATTAAGATGTTTGTGTAAAAATCTGTAAGTCCTTTAAAGAAATGTTGTCATTGGAAAAAGCAGAACTGAATCAGATGTTTGTTCAGAAACACGTTTCACAGCACAGGAAAGAGTCTCTCTACAGTTTATTCATGTAGGTTACACAAGTGATAAAAAAACAGTAGCAATTAAAAAAATATGGAGTCCAGCTCCAACAAAATGAAAATTCACATACAACAAAAAAACAGTTAAGTGTAGATCTCCGCCCGCAGAAAAAGGACTGACGTCCTCAGGAGAGTTTAGGATTTCCATTACAGCTCAGTCAAAAGTGATTTTATCCTTCAAAGCATGAACTCAGTCTTTGGTTTTCTGTCTCTTCAGGACATCCTGAGGAGAAAACTAAAATCTCTCGTCTCTCTGCAGGGTTATCTGTATTTGCGCTGTTAGATCATTGTCCAGTCAAGATCGCTGATTATTCAGCCTTGACTTATCTCTTGATAGAGATAACAAGTTTAAACTCTTGGATCTGTGGTCCAAACTTAATCTCAGCTTTGGTTGAATGAGTTGTAATAACATTTAGGTTCAGGTATCCATTTCTCTCCTTGGTAAAAAACTGTTTTAACTTTGGAGATTCTCTGACACATCTCACATCAGCATTTTTATATTGTGTCTTTTGGTGAAGAATCTTGAAGTATTGAAGGATGGCTAAAGGCATTTTGTTACACCTTGGTGATCCTCTGAGTATTAATTTCCAATACTTTAATGCATAGGGCTGTCAAACGATAGATTTTTGAATTTCAGTTTTCAAACGTTTCATTTAATCAAATGTTTGCAATTCCATTATATTGCATTTAAAAGCATTTTTGTTGTGCTTTTTTTTGTATTCTTGTACTGTCTTTAACTCAGAGTACTAACTTCCTGTAGATCAAATGTTCCGACATTAACATAACCGCGGAAAAGGGAACTCGTCATGGATTGATAAGTAAAGTCAAACAGCTCAAAGGAACGGTAACAAAGGTCAACGTGCGATGTCATAAGGTGGATATTACTTTGGACTCGTCAGCAGAGCTGTCTGAGAGTTTGTTAAATGAGACATTCAAAGACGCAGCAGTGTCCTTATTTTACATCACTGAGACTACAGGGAGACACTGAGGACGACTATCTACGGTGAGCCTGAAGGGACAAAATGGCATGCGACACTGACAGCCCTAATAATGATCAAAGACCTGTGCAACCAACCTGAAACCCATTGGCTATCATCTAACAAAGATACAAACCCATCGAACTATGGACAACTTTGCAAGGTTTTTGGTGCAGCCAGCAGAAAATAATTATTTAAATCACGTTGCCTAGTCCAACTAGCAGCTTGGGAAGTGACAAGTTACTTACAGATTGTAAGCTGCACTTGCATGCTGATATCTATGTAAAGACATTGATTGAAGCTAATGTCCTCGGATGACTGTCAATGGGTTACATGATTGCATTGCGTCAGATTGCTTTCTGCCCCTCGCTCCTCATATTGCAAACAATCTGTCTCTCCTCTGACGAGCCCCAGGAGGCTGTCTCCTTAATATCCGGTCATTGAATGGTGCACTTGGTACGTGCTAAGAGCTTAAGTAATTATTCCCAATTCTGAAAAAAATACACCTGATAAAGTTTGGGATCCAGTTTGGAGGTTTGAGAATACAGTCACCCTTACACTGTTTTTAACCTGCCTGAGGCACTAGAGGTTACGTCAGTACATCACCAAAGTCTTTCGCTATCATTATCCGCAGACTATATTTAAGTCGTAGCTGATCGGCGAACATGCTGTCAGAGTGTCTATAGTGGTAAACTCCATTGGATGGGGTCGGCTTCATGGTGTCAGTCAATAAATTGCATTATTTTCCACTACAGTCAGGTTACTCAGTCCTTCAGTTTCTTTGGTCCCGTTACAGAAATACGGGAACACAGCCAGCAACAGGATGAAAAAGGCCCAAAGTGTTTGTATGATGAGGTGCACAGTTTACACCACAGAACCAGAGTGAACCAGGGAATCTTGGGAAACCTCTGTTCCTTCTGTCTGTGAGTCTGGCTGAGGGATCTGAAAGGAGGAAGAGGAAGAGGGTGATGAAGCAGCAGTGGTGTAGGAAGGACTCTGATTATTGTCTGGTGTCTCTGATTCCTTATCACTCTCTCTGTCAGTTCCTCTCCTCACATCCTCCTCTTCCTCCTCCTCCTGCCTTCCTCCCTCCTCCTCTTCCTGCTGCAGGGCATTCAAGCGCTCCACCACGCAGTGAGCCGTCAGTCTGGCCTCAGGGTCGTGATCCCAGCACTCAGTGATGGTGGAGCAGAAGACACCCATCCCCTGGAGGAAAGAGGAGAGTTAGACAGCAGAAGAGAAACAGACAGGATATCAAAGATGTGAGGTTGTTGTTGTTTCTGTCTCCGACCTGGTGCTGCGTCCACGTTGAGGGGATCTCCGGTCGTCCTCGGTCCCTGAGCACCAGATCTCTCATGCTGTCCACACAGGGCTGCTCACAAACCTTGGAGCCAAACGCTGGCTCGTAGCTCTTTACCTCTGCAACTACACGTATAAAAGTTTGTAGTAAAAAAGAACAAGCAGTGTTTTACAATTCATCTTTGTAACACATTAATTCCTGAATTCTCGGATGATAGCAGTTCTGTCTGTAGGTTAGGAACTGGAGGGTCGCAGGTTCAAGTCCCAGTACGGATTTAGTAAGGATCATTCGTAAAAGTCACATCTTCTTTTGGAATATGTCCTGAAGCTATAGATTTGAACAGTTCTTACCACCTATGGCCTCGCAGCGAGATGCTAACTCCCAGAGGACCAGAGCCATGGAGTAAACGTCCATCTGCTTGAAGGCCTCAAGGTCTTCCAGGTTCACCCTTGACTCAAGGACCTCAGGAGCCATGTAGCGAGCAGTTCCAACCTGGACAAGACAAACAAGTCCAATCAAATGAGCACCAAACTATCAGATGTGGATTCTGCTTTATGATGCCTGTATCCACTGCCAGAGTTTACCTGTCCACTGTTAGCGTAGTCGTCAGCAGTAAGGGAGAGGTCCAATCTCAATGCCAGACCAAAGTCACACAGAGCACACTCCTTCCTGCTCTTTACCACAATGTTACTGCTCTTCAGGTCCCGATGGGCAACTGGAACCTACAGCAACACAGGCAACCAGCAACATCCGTCATTAAGAAGCAAAAAATGCAACTCACCAAGAATTAAACATGATCAGAGATATTAAATAGCCACATAAACATTTTAAATGGTTCATGAGTCTTCGAAGCACAAAATAAAACTGGCAGCAGAAGGTAACGAACACGCTCACAGATCATAGACATGTATTTTCTGTCATTGTGCTCAGACTGTGAGTGATCTGAGAAGGCTTTGGGGGCATTATAAAAGTCAAAATGCAATCCTATAACCCATCAGCTTTCTCATGACAACTACTCTTTTTTCAAATTAGAAGTGGTATTAGATTAGAATTTACGAGCATATATCTATGCCAAGGAATAATCCATGGATAGATTTTCTTGTATCCACTCCAATTATTCTCCAAATAAATAAAGTATACTCCTACTATGAACAATGACTTTCACACAAGAGAGGAAGTCATGGTCAAGTATTTGACATCAGTTGTCCAGATATCAGCTGGCTACACTGGAAATCCATAAATATTGGCAATCGCGCCCAAGACCAAATCTTCATTAGATATTAGTACTGTCAATGCACTAAAGTCAGATGAACAAGGGGGTTTAACTGTTGATCTATTTAAGTATTTACCGTCAGAGCATAGAGCTCATGAGCTTAGTGGGTACCAGTGAGTGCCTGAATTCACAGGCTCTGGAGAATTTGGGAGTTTAACACTGAGCTTACCTTTGGAACCCCGCTGGGAGTCGTGTCATTATGGAGATGAGCCAATCCTCTAGCGATGCTGCCTGCCATGGCAATAAGTTCCTCCCAGGTGAGTATGTTTGCAGAGAGAAAGTCCTGCAGGTTCCCGAGGCTGTGATAGGCCAAAACCAACCAGTACTTCCTAAGGGCGTGGCCAGGCGGGCCCCTTTCCATGGCTGCAAAGAATCGCACCACGTTATCATGCTCCAGCTTTGGGTCTGAGAAGATGGAGCACTCGTTTCTCCAGGAGGCGTACTCTACAGCTGGAAACACCTTCACTGCCACAGTTTCATAACTGCTGACTCCCCCCTTCTCACCGTCAAGCAGGCATCCCCTCCACACTTCTGCAAAGCGCCCCTTCCCCACCACAGCTTCCAGCTTGATGGGCAGTGGTTCAGCCAGATGTCCCTGCCAAGCTGTCATGTCACTGATGTTGTCATTGTTTGGCAACTTGGCATTAGACTCCTCCATTTCAGCACCAGGACCTGTCACACCACCTCCACCATCACGTCTAGGCCCGAGACCCCCACATGGCAAGTCAAAAGCCTGGTAGAGATCTGGGGTGCGTTTGGTGGGCCAGTCAGGGCGCACAGGAGGGCTGGGTTTGTCAGGACGGCGTGTGCGGTAAAAGTAGAAGGCAGCCGTGGCAACTATGGCAACCAGGAAAGGGGGCACCAAACTCACGACCACCACCGGGATCACGTCTTTACTCTGCAGCTTGGAAAATCCTGCAGGAACAGAAAAAATACTGACATTTTTCAAACCATTCTGTTATTGTCCATCCATCCATCCATTCAAAAATAAATCCACCTTAAAGCCAACATTATCTATAAATTCAACTGTCTCGCTTGTGTCCTGCATCCAATAATTAGAAAAAGGGATCAGGGTTTACTGCCATTTAGGTTTTCACATCAGGGCCTTAGTCTTGGTGTCGATCCAGCCATCTTTCTAATATCTCCTTCTTCCCTGCATCTATACATCTGTCTAAAAGTTTCTTTGACCAACCAACCATTGATCCATCCAATACATTCTCTATAGATCATCCGAACACCATGTATGAAGTATTTCTTCATCAGTCGAACATACGTTTTTTTATTCTGATGATCTTTCCATCAGTCTGTCCCACAAGAGGTCCAGCCACCCTGCAAATAATTGCCAATGTTTCCTTCTTCCATCCACCCACCGAAACATAAATCTAAAATGTACCTACCCACCCACAAACCCATCCATGCATCATTACCTTTGCCTATCCATTAACCCTTTCCAACCATGAAACCAATTCATCCATCCATTTATCCAAAATTCCCTCATCCAACAACTGAGCCATCCAATCTAAAATCTTCTTCATGCATCCATTAGTCAATAATTTCTTAATCAATCCACCAATCCATTTGTCCATTCAACACATCCGTGAATCCAGCCTTCCAACAATATCCATCCAATACAGAAATGTCTCGAAGCATACTTTCACCCATTGGTCTTATACTCCATCCATCCGTCCGTCCCTCCGTCCGTCCATCCATCCATCCATCCATCCATCCATCCATCCATTCATCCATCCATCTGTCCATCAGTCCATCCATCCATCCGTCCATTCATTCATCCATCCATCCATCCATCCATCCATCATCCATTCATCCATCCATCCATCCATCCATTCATCCATCCATCCATCTATCTGTCCATCAGTCCATCAGTCCATCCATCCATCCGTCCATTCATTCATCCATCCATCCATCCATCCATCCATCCATCCATCCATCCATGCATGTTCTTACCGTTGGCTCCCTTGTCAAAGATCAGTCTGTCGTTACACTCGTGGTCTCCATGACAACCACAGACCATCACGGCTCCATCATCTGCAGGCTGTGGGACCATGTGACACTCTCTTGAGGTGAAGTTGAGCAGCAGACCGGGGTCCACGCCCTCTAGTGGCAAGGAGGGATTATGACACATTGTGTGAACCGTCATCGTGTCGTTGGTCTTTCTCCTGGAATAAAAGAGAAGAAAAACATTCATGGATCAATCCAACACAGGGTTTAAACAAGTGAATATTGTGATTGAGATATAAATGTATTATTTTTATATCATGTCACGTGACTTCCTGGATCAGCCTTTCCGTGAAACTAACATCCTTCAGGTCAGACTTGTGTCACATAATTCAAAAAACATCATATGCCAATGTTTGTTGATGTAACTTTTGACCAACATAGAAGTGATTCTTGTCGGTTGCTGATTGTATCAACAAGTTAATCTGCCTTCAGATTTTGTTCCTCTTAAAGGAGCATCAGCCCCAGGAGGTTTTGTGGATGCAGCCTCTGGTGCATTAACTGAATTTAACCCGTAGTTTGATGAAGTGAAAGTTGTGCAGAGCAGCAAACACAAACATTATGAGTCTGAAGACAGTCTGAGCTGCTCCCTATCAACTTTGATCTGAATTAACTAGAGTTTTTCTCTTCGCTCTTTCTTCTCCGTTCACTCCCTCTTATCGTTGGTTTCCTGCAGCCATCTGGGAGGGGCTGGCAGGCTGACACAAACAGGAAATGAGAGGGGAGCAGCGAGGGGGATCCCAGTGTTGCTCTGCTATCCAAACAAAAGCATGAATCAGCAGAAACTTGAAGAAAGTGATGCCAGCGGAGTCTGAATGCTCCGACAGCTTTGAAGCTCCGGAGGGTCGTCATGCTGTCTTCAGCATGGAACAACCGTGTGAACCCTTGAAATCGAATGTGAAAAATAGCAGTCACATGTTTTTTTGTGCAACAGTAGCGAGTAGAGAGAGATGACTCGAGGATGTTTCATGGTGCTGATCAACAACACTTTGAAGCAGCTTAGCTGTACTGTGGTGGACTCTGCTGGCTCAGGGATCCAGCTGAAGTGCACAGTGAGATTTCAGCATTTCTGTGGGACACCAAGGCTTCAGAACATACTGTTTTTATTTATTTTCTTTTGTTTAGCAATAACGAGATTAAGACTGAGCAGGCGACACGCTAAATCACAAAGACAGGACCAGAAAAAGGACAGAGCTCAGCACAAATCTGACTTTAAAATACAGCAGGAAATTAGAAAATAAAGTATCTCCAAGCCATGTTAGGATCATTTAGATCATTACATATTGTTTGGATGTTGATGTTTACAAGAATAGGAAGGATTCACCAACAACAATTTAAAGACACAAATCCAGCTGGAGTCCTAAAACTCTCAGGTACGATCCATCAAGTTACAGAGAGGAAGGTTTAATAAGTTAGAAAGAAATAAAACAACATGATAAGAAGTCCACTGACCATATGGCGATGCAGATCTCCTCGGTGACGTTGCAGAAGGAGTTCAGCGAGCAGTTACTGGTGCAGACGCGGTCTTCACACACAGGACTGGACGACTCACACCACTTGCACAGGTTGAAGCTCAGGTAGCTGAAAGAGCGGACGACGGCAGGAGGACCTGCAGGACAACAGAGAGAGGAAATGTTGTCCTCGTGAAAAAACAACATATCGATCACGCCTATTGATGAGGTACTAATGGTGATGGCATCGAAGATCCTAAACCTAGAGAAACTCTTTACTATGCAGCCGTCCAAACCTAAATAATAATTTAAATCATTCAAAGGGGGGTGCTGATGGTGCATTGGTGAGTGCACGCGGCCCATGTGTGGAGGCTGTAGACCCCCAAGCGGGCGGCCCAGGTACAAATCCGACCTGTGGCTCATTTCCCGCATGTCATTCCCCACTCTCTCTCTCCCTGGTTTCTAACTCTGTCCACTGTCCTATCTCTCCAATAAAGTAACAAAATGGCCAAAAATAAATCTTGTGTTGCTGTCAGTTGGTGTTGACAAAGATTGGAGCAGGAGCTGGTTATCTTTTAACCTTTAGATTTAAAGCCAACCGAACTAGACCGAACAGACGGACAGAAGTGCAGCGAGAAGAAAACTTCATCACTTGAATCAAAAGTTTTTCTGAACACTTATCTTCTCATTTGTACCTGAAGCTGTCAGGAGGAGGAGCAGGGGAGGAAAGGGACCTCAAATATGTGTTTATTTTTAGAACTTAAAATGTAACTAAACAAATAAACATTTCTGCTCTGACACGAACGAGAAACGACGGTGACCACAGAGCAGAGGACGGGCGTGTCCCTTTAATCGTTAGCTAAGAACCTGATGCTCAGGGGCCGAAATGTGGAGTTAACGTGAATGTGTGTGTATACTCGGCTCTGCCACATCATAATAAGAGTAGTGATCAGACCCAGATGACACAGAAATGTCAGTTATACCAAAACAACACACACACACACACACACACACACACGAAGTGTTGTTGCATGTATTTCTGCATAAACACACAATTACACGCAAACAAACTCAACCACATTGCATCATAGTTACATTTGATGTAGCCTATACACACAGGAGAGTACACACAAACACTTCATTAACTCTGACACACACACACAGCAGAAGTTATTCCAGATGTTTCTTCCAAACAGAGCTGGAGACAAAGAGAAAAGTGAGAGAGCTGCAGAAGCAAAGCTCTTAATTTAATTAGTCAGTGTGTGTGTGTGTGTGTGTGTGTGTGTGTGTGTGCACGCGCGTGCGTGCGTGTGTGTGTGTGTGAGAGTTAAAGACAACAGAGTCTCTGAATGTGTGTAACAGTTGTGTGCCTTTTCTGTGAAGCTGAACTTGAGTCCGTGTTTAGATTTGTGTGCTGTGTGTGTTTGTGTGTGTGAGCCTTCACACATAAATTGAAGCCAGAAGTGTGCTGCGTTCAGAGCCAAGTTAGCATCCAGGGCTCCGCCCTCAAAGGCTCATGGGAAATCTAAGCACTCCACGCCACCTGAAGGAGGCCCTCCTATCAGAGCTGCACGTTATCGTAAACACACACACACACACACACACACACACACCCACACACACACACACACACACACACACACACACACACACACACACACACACTCTGTGTTTCTGCTTTTTTGTGCAAGAGAAGTTTCATGAAGTTGAAACACGATAAAGTCGTATTCACTACAGCTGCAAGATAAACATTAGATTAGAAAGTGTGTCTACCTTCGCATGCAAAGGAAGGAAAGTGAGTAGTTCATGTGTAGACAGTGAGAGTCATATACAGCATTTGAACTGTAAATATGAATGTTTGAATGAGTGACGTCACTCGTGTGTTCCTGCAAGGGGCGCTGGAGTTTCATCGATGGTGGTCTCCATGCTGGAAATGCTGTCTCAGCCTAACTTTCAGTCAACCTAACGACAGTTTGAGGCGGGTTTTAAGCCTCCTGACAAACTGTTACACCATGCCTGCCTGTCAATCATGTCAGCTACATGCCTTATTATGAATAAATCTTATCTTTCATCAAATCAAAACGGATGAGTCATCAAGACATTCACCCCCCGTACAGTGTGTGTCGATCGAGACATGAGCTATTCAGACCTATTTGTTTTTTTAACCAGACTGTAAACATGTTAATCTCTGCTGTAAAATTAGCCACAAACCCCCCAATGATGAGAAAAGTCCATCCTCTCCATCTTTTGCCTGCTCCACTTTTCAGAAAATGTGTGCTCAAACAGGCTGTTTGGAGATTTTCCCTTCATGACATCACAAAGGGCAGTAACCCCTCCCCCAGGTGTGTGACACTCCCACAGCTAGGTGTTTGTTCTGCCCTCTGAGTCTGCCTTCTCACCGTAAACAATAGGACATGGAGCGAGAAAGCCCGAGACACCCAAGCCCTTCCAGAGAGGGGGCGTGGTCAGACACAGCTCATTTACATTTAAAGGTACAGACACAGAAACAGCCTGTTCTGAGCAGGGCTGAAATAGAGGGGTTTATAGACATTATCAAATACAGGATCAGAGTGGATTTAGAACAATAAACTTCCTACACGTGTTTTGAGGAGCTCTGAGACTTATTTACACTGGTTGAAGAGGAGGAGAATATGTGACCTCTAATATGTAGAATAATAAACAGATTTTAAATCGTACCTGTGACGCTCAAACAAAGATGTTAACTAAGTGGGTAAATGGTAACGGGTTAAAGCTTTGAAATTAAAATATTTCTCAGATCTGCAATGTTAACACGACTTAAACCTTGAATATGACAGTAAGACACGATATCAACATTTGCATTTTCCACCCTGAGCGTGCAACACGGAATATTCTACGTGGCAGGACAAAAGAGTTTCTGGTGCTGATGATTGCGTCAATACCAATCAAGGCAGCAGTACCAGAAACTCCTGCGTTAAGAATCTGTGTTTTTATGAATGTAGTGTGTGTGTGTGTGACTGACAAAACAGATATTTATTAAATTAACTAAACCACATCCTCAGCTGTGTGATGAATAGAGCTCTGCAGAGTATGTGTGTGTGTGCGTGTGTGCGTGTGTGTGTGTGTGTGTGCGTGCGTGCGTGCGTGCGTGCGTGCGTGCGTGCGTGCGTGCGTGCGTGCGTGCGTGCGTGCGTGTGGTGCGTGCGTGTGTGTGTGTGTGGGTCATCAGGCCATCACCACGTCACCTCACCATACTCATTAGCACAAATAAAACACACACTCACACACTTACACACTTCCGCCCAGTGCCAGTCACTCTCTTCTCCAGTGTCTTAAGACAGAGCCAAGAATCCTGCATAAGTGTGTGTGTGTGTGTGTGTGTGTGTGTGTGTGTGTTTGTGCTTCAGATACACTGGTCTTTGTTCGATGTGAGATAATGGGGTTTCTTTTTAATCACACACTCTGTTCATTCATTCATTAAATGTGAGTTTAAATCACTTCTTTCTCTGCGCACACACACACACAGCAGAGCTTTCAGCTAAATGCAGACATAATCATGCTAATGGTAGCTGCTAATAGGCAAGATATTTACCATGGTTAAAGTCTTAGCTTGCCGTGTTAGCATGCTAGCATTAGCAAAATAACCGTACACTTGAAGTCCTAACTTCAATGAAGGTTGAGGTGGATGAAGGTATTCATAATAGTCTGTATAAAACATGGACGTAGACTCAGTGACATCACCATCAGGAGTTATTTAAGATTGACTTTATTGACCCCACAAGGGGAAATTCTGTTTTTACACTCTTTAAGTCATGCAACACACACATAGGCTGAAATATACACACACATGCACAAACAGGATCCTATGGACATGCACTAATGGAGAGATGTCAGAGTGACGGAGCCGCCCACAGCAGGCGCTCCTGAGCTGGTGGTAGGTAGGGGGTTTGGTGCCTTGCTCAAGGGCACCTCGACAGTGCTCAGGCACCTCTTCAGCTACCAGATCAACTTCCATATTTGGTCGGCAACAGGACTTGAACTGGTGACCCTCCGGTTCCCAAACCAAGAGCCTACAGACTGAGCTACTGCCGCCCCAAAGTGAAGATGTTGACTCTTCATAAAGCTGGCTACTCGCACGACTATTTACAACCTTTAACTGATCTTAAAAACATGGAGGCCACAGACGTAAGGACATTTTTTTAACATTATAATCCTCTGAGCGCCGACACGAGAAGACTCCGACCACGAGACCACACACACTGTTTATGGAAACGACTCCACAGACACGAGATCTCACAGAATCTCAAGTGATCAAACGAGACTTCAGAAGAAAAAACAAATATGGAGGACAATGGAGGTGGACGTGGTGGTTTATCTTCATGAAACGTTATAAAGACACTCATGTTGTAGCCATGGTTACACAAGCTGCTCTTCTTCTTCAACATTCCTCTTGGCTCGGGGCTCAGTTGTGTTTATATTTATTTTTATTTGAGATGTTGATGAGCTGTAAAAGTGACACATCCGGTCGGTGGCGCCTCACGGTCTGATCACAGCCTGATCTAGAATTCTAAATATCAAACATGTTTGATACTTAGGATTCCAGATCGGGGGACTCCGACTCGTTCAGGAGCAGTAAAATAATTGTAGTGACATCACACACTGAAGACTATACTGACAAATAATCGTTTGCGATGAGCCGTGAATCATTGGTAATCTCTGCTGTAAAAACAGGCTTTTTTGAATGGGTGTGTATGTGACTTCCTGTTCTTCTGCAGCCAGCCTCTAGTGGACACTAGAGGGACTGCAGGATTTAACCCTTCAGCATCAACTTCATTTTTCAACACTGGATGTTTCTGTATATTTATAATGTTCTTTAAATGTTTATTTTAGAAATCATAGGAATGTTTTGTTGCCGTGAGATGTTTTATAACTTGACGGTGATGAACACTGGCTGGACGGCCACCTGTGAATGTTTGGCAGAGGACAGACTTCAGGAACGCCGCTGACTCCAATAATCAAATAACATCAGGGACGTGAAATGTATAGTCGAGTATTAATTAAGTATTTACATTTATTTTAATTAATTCTTCTTGCCCAGCTGTCATTGGGTGAGCGAGCATGTCTTTGGACTGTGGGAGGAAGGCGGAGTACCCGGAGAGAACCTACACATGCATGGGGAGAACATGCAGACTCCACACAGAGAGGCTCCTGTCAGACGGGGATTCAAACCAGGAACCTCCTCACTAACCACTGCAGCACCGTAACAAGGATCAATGCAGATGAATCCAGATAGATAGTCACCCTTTAATAAAATGTATCTCCATAGTCATGATTACAGACTCAGGGTCTGAACGGTGATTAAAGAGTTTAACAGAAGCAAAATAAAAAGTTAAGCATTAAATGTAAATAACTAAAGAGATAAGATAACTGAACATGTGTGAGTACTTTCACTGAATCAAAGTCGGTCCTGTGGTACTTTTATATTTTAACTTTAATAAAGGAAGAGGCCCCATGAAGCTGAGAACTCTTGTGAACTTTAACTTTAGAAAGTTTATTTTACTTTGAAACTTTGACTTCAAGAAGCTGAGAATCACTTTCATCAAACCTGTGGTTCTTTAACTTTCTCTGCAGAACTTTAAAAATGTCGAACTGGTACTTGAATGTGATGAAGGATCAGATTTCTTGTATGAGAGCAGATTTTCCAAAACAGACCCCCCCCCCCCCCCTCCTCCATCCAGCGGCCCCTCCGGAGCTCCACAATCACCCCGAGAAACAGACAGAAAACAGCCGGAGATCATCTGCACTCACCGGCCGTGAGGAGGACCAGGATCCCGGTCCAAAGCGTCCGGAACCGAGCCATCATCTGCGGGGAGAGAAACACACACGGTGAAAGGTCCGTCCACTGCTCGGTCTGACTCCGGTATCAGAGAGAGAGGGGGAGATAGAGAGAGGGAGAGCGAGAGAGAGAGAGAGAGAGAGGCTCCAGATGTTTTTCATCCAGATGTGGTTAAGCCACGCCCCCTGCTGCTGTTTCCACCGATGAGCTCTTCTCTCTCTCTCTCTCTCTCTCGCTCCCTCTCCAATAAATACATAAATATATGGAGTGCAGAAGAGAAGTAGAAGTGTTGAATTCATATTTAAACATTTTTCTAAAAGCAGTGTGTGTGTGTGTGTATGTGTGTGTGTGTGTGTGTGTGTGTGTGTGTGTGTGTGTGTGTGTGTGTGTGTGTGTGTGTGTGTGTGTGTGTGTGTGTGTGTGTGTGTGTGTGAGAGCACTAAGGTTTATTCCGGCTCATTTCTCTGATTATAAGGAGACCTCACAGACCTCAGTACAAACATCTTTATTCTGTAAAATGAAAATAAAGTCGATAATCATTGGTAATTAAAATAGTTTTAATTGCTTTTCTGAATAATAAATAATCTAATCATGGAGACTAAACATTATAAACTTATATATGTTGATGTTTTTAGTGATAAATATTTAAACATGTAAAGTGAACTCAAACTGTCGGCGTGGAGCTTAAACTGCGTTTTTCTTTGTTTAGAAATATAAATAAAAAACTACAAGTTCCTGAAGAAGAATAAACTGAGCCTGTTACAGGTTTAATGTTAATGTCGTGCTACCACCTGGTGGACACTCTCTGTACCTACACCACTGGTTTTGACTGCTGGTATACAGGTTTAATGGTTTATTGTCGTGCTGCCACCTAGTGGACACTTTCTGTAACTACACCACTGGTTTTGACTGCTGGTAAAATCTTCCTCCTGATCATTTATTTCTCATGTTGTCCCTAATTGTCTTCCGGACAAAATTGTGGTATTAATCAAAATATGATTTAAATAAAATATGTTATAACGATGCTTTTACTCTGAAAGAACATGGCCGGAAGTACTCATGTTGTTTCCGCTGGTGGAAAAGAGAGAAACACATGACTAAACCTTAAATAAAGTTTGTTTTGGTCAAAGTGAAACTAAATCTGTGTAAATTAAGACGGAGTCTGGCGGGCGGTGATGGTGGCTGTTTATCTCTCGTGGTGAAAAGTTTCTGATTAACTCAGCAGGTTAATTTACACCGTCTTATCTGTGTTTACAGCCCGACACAGAGCTGCTGTCAGCGGGATCACGGCCGGACCTTGGACCAAGACCTCTGGACTCATCAGGAGGGTTTGTTCTGTCTCTGCAGCGGGTCCTAGTCTGTGTCTGAGTCCGGAGATGAAGAGGAGACTCCTGCTGGTGTCGAACTCCACCCTGCACGGCGGAGGTTACCTGGACCACTGTCTGCACAACATCTCCGACTTCTTTGGAAAGTGAGTTTAATGAAACCAGCTGGGTTCATCAGGAGGACCCGAGAGTCTACGAGGAACAAGAGGGGAGAAAGCAAGGGAGCGGTCTCTGCAAGAGCTGCGCCGGACTCCGTTTAAAAAAAAAAGAAATTTAGCATTTCCTCACTTAACATAAAGTAAAACAGATTCTAATATCTTTGTCTGAGGGTAACCATTTAATCAGGAGTCGTTCGGTGAAATTCGGCTCATTCTCAGCAGTTAATATATAATATCTTTCATTTATAAAAGTAGTCTGAAGTCGTGCTGTGGACCTGTTTGACTTTGAGGCTAAATGATTATTAAAATACAAGATTTTTCAATCAGGGTTTAATGAGAGAATTCTATCTGTGGAACATTTTCATAGTTCTAGGAACTGCAGGAACCAGCCCCCCTTTTTAAAGTGTTTTCAGACCAAACAGTTCTGGGGACTCTTTGAAGAGGAACTATCAACTAAGGAGTTCCCTGAGAACTACACACCATGGGGACTTTTTTTTCTGTCTGCATTCGTCTGCCATATTTTCAGTGAAGACTTGGAATGTGTGTGTGTGTGTGTGTGTGTGTGTGTGTGTGTGTGTGTGTGTGTGTGTGTGTGTGTGTGTGTGTGTGTGTGTGTGTGTGTGTGTGTGTGTGTGTGTGTGTGTGTGTGTGTGTGTGTGTGTGTGTGTGTGTGTGTGTGTGTGTGTGTGTGTGTGTGTGTGTGCGTGCGTGTGTGTGTTTCAGAGATGTGAAGAGGGTCCTGTTTGTTCCGTACGCTCTCCACGACAGAGACGCCTACACCAAGACCGCCAGGGACAAGTTGAAGACTCTGGGTATGATTGTTATTTAATGAACCGTGCAGACGTTGGCGTGCTGATTTCTGAATCATAACTGAGTTTAATAACCTTCATGAAGGACGACGACCTGCAGGTAGAGGGTTTTAAAGGATCAGTTTGTGTGTCACGAGGAGTCTGTGGTGGGTTTATCTCGGCAGGTTATGAGGTGGACGGTATCCACGAGGCGTCGGATCCCGTCGACGCCGTCAGGAAGGCGGAGGCCATTTTTATAGGTGAGGAACAGAAGAGAGGACATCGAGGTCGATGGTTCAAATTCACGTCCTGACGGAATGAAATCTGAAGCTCTGACTGGATCTTAGTTTTGATCTTTCTGAAAAACGTTCCTCCTTTTTTCATCCATGTTTCCCCCTCCCCTCCTCTCGTCTCTTTTCCTCCTCTCCTCTCCTCCTCTCCTCTCCTCTCATCTCTTTTCCTCCTCTCCTCTCCTCTCATCTCTTTTCCTCCTCTCCTCTCCCCTCCTCTCGTCTCTTTTCCTCCTCTCGTCTCTTTTCCTCCTCTCCTCTCCTCTCTTTTCCTCCTCTCCTCTCCTCCTCTCCTCTCCTCTCATCTCTTTTCCTCCTCTCCTCTCCTCTCATCTCTTTTCCTCCTCTCCTCTCCCCTCCTCTCGTCTCTTTTCCTCCTCTCGTCTCTTTTCCTCCTCTCCTCCTCTCCTCTCCTCTCCTCTCCTCTCTTTTCCTCCTCTCCTCCTCTCCTCTCCTCTCTTTTCCTCCTCTCCTCCTCTCGTCTCTTTTCCTCCTCTCCTCTCCTCTCAGTATGATTCCGTGTTTTTGTCTTTCAGGAGGAGGAAACACTTTCCGCCTGTTGAAGAGTCTCTATGACAACAAGGTCGTGACAGAGATCAGGAGGCGGGTGCTGGAGGTGACGCACGCTTTAATACTCGATGATATATTCATGTGATTATAGAGATTCAGCGATTATTAAAATTAGAACCGATAATGATGAATGTTGCACGCCGCGTATCCACGCCAAGTGCAGTTCATGTGAGGAAACGGCCGTCCAGATAGGACGCAGAGTGCTGCGCTCGCGCTGGTTAGGGCGCAGTGGAGGAGCAGGACATGATAGGACATTTCTTTACAGACTGGAGCGCTCTTTCTGAAGTCCCGGTAGATCTTTAAATGAGAGATTAGGGAAGTGAGACACCGTTTGTTGTGATCTGATCTTCATTCCTATTTGACGCTCTGAGTTGACGTCAGGTGCAGAACGGAGAGAGCAAGCGTGACCTAACGCTGGGCTCCGCTCGGTGCAACACATAGACAATGAATGGGTTTGAGAGAGGTGCACAGCGCCCACGGCGTCCTATCTGAAAGACCCTGAAGTATAAAAATGTCTTTCCAGCACTAGATTGAAACAAGTCTAAACATTGACCGCTGACCTCCGCTCGTCTGTTTGTCGCTATCAGCTGGTGCGTCAGTGCGTCCCTGTCTGAGTGTTTGAATTATATCTGATCCTGTGTTAGCTCCTCTATCACTGTGTATTCATGGTTAATTTGACTCTTTAACCCCTCCTCCCTTTTCAGGACGGCGTCCCCTACATGGGTTCGAGTGCCGGCACCAACGTGGCGACGGTCAGCATCAACACCACCAACGACATGCCCATCGTCTACCCCCCCTCCTTCGCCGCCATCGGCCTCGTCCCCTTCAACATCAACCCGCACTACCTGGACCCCGACACCAACAGCCGCCACATGGGGGTCAGTGTCTCGCCTTACCTGGTGACCCTTCATAGATCCCCTACCCCGAGGTTGGGAACCAGTGGACTTTAGTTCTGAATCAGAGTCGGACTTTAAACTGGATCCTCACGGTGCAGATAAAGACGCAGTGAAACTTTAAACCTTTGTCATGCTGATGATGACCTCGCTGACAGGAGATAATTTAGCTCGCTGTGATTGGCCGATCATCAGTCTGAGAGTTTCTCAGTCGACTCTCTGAACTTTTAGGTTTACTAAATAAACGCGGCGTCAGCAGACGGACGTGAAGTTCCTTTTTCTGCCGTTCAGACTTCCAAAATGTTGGACGTTTTTCATTCAGTGTTCTCAAACGAGTCACGCCCCCCCGCCCGACCAAAACGGGACTAAAAGGCCCGAGGTGTAACTTAAAAATAAACCATGAGGGTGTGCAAATACATGAATATAAATGATTTAAAATTTATACTCACATTAATTAATTCTACTTCCTGTTCCACATAAATCAGAAGTTTTTCTTGTTTTTCAGGAGACCAGAGAGCAGAGGATCACTCAGTTCCACGAAGAACCCCAAACGCCGAGTGTTCTGGTGAGAACGACCTTTAACTCAGTTTTTGATCCCAAGTTTAAATTTTTTTTCTTTTTTTAATAATCATATTTTTATTGAATTTCACATTTATTAGGACATGTACAACATTTATATATGCATGTAATAAAAGTATGACATAAAACAACCCCCCCAAAATAGAACACGTGGCAGTATATTAATAACACAAGAATAATGAAGAAATAAAGTAATTTGTACAATTATTCAAATGAAAAAAATAAAATAATAAGTGAAATAATAAACATAAACAGTCACATTTAACACATTTCTTGCACTAGTAACAGTTCACCTTTGTAAATATCCTTTATCTATACCTCATGCTTTCAATACTTTGTCTAAGTCAGCATTTTTAACAAATTCCAAAAAAAACTCCCAAATTTTACCAAATTCTGGGGCTTTCTTCCTAACTATATATGTAAGTTTTTCAAGAGCCAGACTTGCTGATAATTCTTTTAACCAACGGCCAAGAGAGGGAGAACATACATTTTTCCAACAGAGCGCTATTGAACGCCTCGCCTGTAATAAACATAGGTCCACCATTACCCTCTCTCTTTTAGAAAGAGTACAGTCTTCAGGAAACAGACCAAATATGCACAGCATAGGACTTAACGTTATTGGGGATGAGGTGATCTGACAGATAAGACATAACACCTCCAAAATTTTTGGATCTCAGCACAGTCCCCCAAGCAGTGGAATAGAGTACTACGATGTGAACTGCACTTGTAACATAGGTCAGGAATATGAGGATCAAACTTGTTCAATTTTACTGGAGTGATGTAAGTCCTCATTAACCAGTTGTATGGTGTCAATCTCAAGCGAGTATTTATAGTTTGGGTTTGCGCCTTTTTACATACTGTGCTCCATACATCCACTGAAATGTCCTCTTGTAAGTCTTGAATCCACCTCTGTCTTTTACTTTCACTGTTGTCTTTATGGTTCTCAGCCAAAATACTATAAAACTCAGTAATCGTACCTCTGCTTAAGCAGTCCTTTATGGAAATGTCTTCCAAAGTGGACATAGTTAGCTGTTGACCCGAATTATTCAAGTTAGGGTTAGGGTCTCATAGTTTACATCTTTGCGATAATTTTACGTCTTTGCGATAATCTTGGCATCAGCATTTAGGAGTAGGATTGGTCTGTGAGACCCGCATTCTGTTGGGGGTTTGTCAGGTTTTGAACTAAGCATGATCCTAGCAGTTCGTAGCGATGGGGGCAGGAATCCCTGTTCAAAGGATTCCACATACATATCCAACGTGGGGGCCTTTAGCTTTTCTTTAAATCATTTATAAATGTCTATTGGGATTGCATCTTACCCCCTTTCATATTAACAATAGCCTTGGAGATGTCTTCCAAATTCAAGTTCTTATCCAACTCCTGCTTAGCCTCCGAATTAATACAGGGGATAGCAAGCTTATCTAGAAAGCTGGTCTGGTTTTCTGAGTCCCTAGGGTACTCTGATTGATATAGGGCTTTGTAGTATGTAACACAAGTTTGATTGATTTCCTTTGGAACAGTTGTACATTTCTGATTGCATTAATAGCTCTGTCTGTGTTTATTTTCTTAATTTGCCAGGCTAGTAACTTACTGGGTTTTTAAAGATTGTTTCAGCCTAATTATGCTGTTTTCAGCTTTCTTAGTCGATAATTCCTCATATTCAGCTTTAAGTGCAAACAGTTTGATTCTGTGCTGAATTGTCAACGCTAGCCCCCCTCTCCAAATTTCTGTGTTTCTCCAAATGTTAATATTCAATTAATTCATTTTCTGTTTAAATTTATTATGTTTTGAGCTAGTAAAGCTAACCATTTGCCCTCTAATATACGCTTTGAACGCTTCCCACCTAGTAGCCGCAGATGTTTGGTCAGTATTCAGTGTAAAGTAAAGATCAATATGCTCACCTACATACGTGATAAAGTCAGAATCCTGCAGCCACTTAAGGTGAAGGCATCATAAGGTCTCTTATTTTAATTGTGAATCCCTATAAAGTAATGATGTTGGGGAGTGATCCAACAACACAATGCTATCATAAATGCAACTATCAATATTAGGAAGAAGAGCTGTTGAAATTAAAAAATAGTCAATGCGAGAGTAGGACTTATAGGATGCTGAGTAACATGAGTATTCCTTCTTTGTTGACTCCTCCATGGATCACAAAGGTTTAGGTCTTTCATGAACTGATTCATTTTCTTTCTACTATGAGTGTGTGAGGTGTCTGCCCCAGATGACCGATCAAGTCTAGGATTCAATGTGCAGTTAAAATCGCCTGCCATTATTATTTTACCCGGTAGGGATGCAATCAATAAAAACAAATTCTCAAAAAATGAGGGATTGTCCTCATTCGGCCCATAAACATTAACCAGGTTAATTTCTTCCTTCATAAGAGTCCCCTGCACCACCAAATATCTACCTGCCTTGTCTGAAATAGTGTTATTGACTTGAGATGGTCAAAATGAAATGGACTTGAAATTAATTTGTGAATCAACACCAAAATTCCTTTAGAATGAGAAAAGAAACACAAAGCGAGAACCTGACCCGGCCATCTGCTCCGCACCTTTAACAATTATTCATTCGTCCTGAATAAAAACAATTGAAGCGTCAAGATGCTTAAGCTAGTGATAACCTGTTTCAATTTTGTTAATCTAATCAGGCCCCGCACATTCAGTGTGTTACATCGAAGACTGAAACCCCATATTTCAATACTTTGATCCCAAAAGTTTTAATTTAAGAGATTCGTCTGTCGGATTGTTTTCGTGTGAATGTGGCGTTAGAGGCAACGTGTTCTCCGTCTACCCGTGTTTCATGTTTTGTGTATTTCAGGGTCTGAGGGAGGGCTCCATGCTGCTGGTGGAGGGAAACAAAGCCACGCTGCTGGGAACCACCAGGGCCAGACTCTTCACACGGTAACACACACAGACGCGCACGCACGCACGCACGCACGCACGCACGCACGCACACACACACACACACAGTTAGCTGTCAGGTAACCTGTGTGTGTGTGTTTCAGGGGAAAGGCCTCCGTGGAGTACGACCCAGGAAGTGACCTCAGCTTCCTGCTGACTCACTGACCAATCAGAAGAAAAGAACATCATCATGATTTTACTTCTAACAATATGGATTGGATTATTCTGATTAAAAGTGAATAAATAAAAATAAATCCTCTGAGTGTCTGCAGATACTTTATTTGTTGTTGCTATAGCAGCCGATCCATAATGATGACGCTCCCTAACAGAGATCATTAGTCTCCTGGTTTTGTCCTTTACATCGTGGTTAAAGGTAACGTTACAAGAAGAACAGCTCGCATTCAAACCTGCAGCAGCTGAAGGGAGACTCCACCGCAGTAATGTCCGGATCAGACTGTACCTTTAAATGTAAATGAGCTGTGTCTGACCACGCCCCCTCTCTGGAAGGGCTTGGGTGTCTCAGGCTTTCGCTCCATGTCCTGTTGTTTATGGTGAGAAGGCAGACTCAGAGGGCAGACTCAGAGGGCAGATCAAACACCTAGCTGTGGGAGTGTCACCCACCTGGGGGAGGGGTTACTGCCCTTTGTGATGTCATGAAGGTAAAATTTCCAAACGGCCTGTTCGAGCACACATTTTCTGAAAAGTGGAGCAGGCAAAAGACGGAGAGGATGGACTTTTCTCATCATTGGGGGGTTTGTAGACAGACTAGGGACACATTAGAGAGACATGGAGATGTGGATTTTATATAATATGTGACCTTTAAATGTTTTTATTTCAGATCTGCAGCTAAAAAAAGAAAATGAAGACAAAAGAGAATAAAATGTGAACAGATCATTTTATTTCAACAGTGAATTCATCGTGTTATGAATACGTAAAATCTTACTCTCTGGGTGAAAGAATACATACATCAAAAATATTACAAGCTTCCTCGGACAGAAAGAAAGAAAATGACAAACTGTGATATTAAATATTAAACAGAACTAAAACCCTAAAGCTGACAGGCGGCAGGACTGAGCTCAGATTAAGTTTGAATAACCTGCAGGATGGGCGCCGAGGTGACGCCAAGCCGTCAGTCGGTCAAGTGTGAAATATGAACCGTGTTTGGTGTATAAAGAGTAGAGTGAGATGCTTATTCATCACCTTTAATAATCGAGCAGTCAGAGCTTTCTCACCTCTTAAATTAAAACAATAAAACATGATTAAAGGTAGAGTCAGCAGGTTTCTCCTTCAAAATAAAATACAGCCTTCTCCTAAAGTAAAGCTGCTCCATCGTCCCTTCTGGGCTTCCGTACATGTGTGGTGGTGACTGTTTCTGCAGAGACTCTGTCCTCTGACTGGATTTTACTGTTCTGGTTTGTTCTGGTTGACTCAGGATGTTTCTGGGCAGAGCTGGTGTGTTTCCTCCAGCCAATGACAGCGCAGCAGGTGAGTTTGGGAGTGAATACGATTCAGTGATTGGACGTGATTCAAACCGGTGAATATGACGGACTTGGACGTAGCAGCAAAGAAGAGAAAATATAATCACATTGAGGAGAAACACCAAGCGGATAAAGCTCGTTCTAAAACGAGGGTGAACCTTGTGTTGTCTTTTACCCGTGGACGTGGAGTTGGTCTGCTTCCTGTTGGACAGGCAGGTGACAAACGACGGCGGTTAGATTGTGCTAACATGCTTTAGCTTGCAATGTAGGTACAAGCAGTAAACGTACACACTATGTCCTGCAGGGGGCGGGGCTTCTGGGAGCGATGAGTCCAGGAGGAGAGGTCCAGTTTGAAGGTTTCTGCTGACTCAACCTTTAAGATTTTAAAGTCTTAAACAAACCTAAGAGGGTTTGTGAGTTTCAGACAAACACAACATACTGAAGAGTTGAGGACACTTGAGGATTTAATGGAATAATTAGATATTTTTGTTCTACATTGAAATCAACAAAAACATGAAATGAGAGCGGTGACCCCGTGTGGCAGCGGAGAGTATTACAGGAGCAGTGACTAAATGACATGTGAGTTTTTTTCTTGTTAACAGGATTAATATATTTTTTTAAATCATCACCAACCTTTCACATGAACGCATGATGCAAACCCAATATGGGTAAATTCAAACCTTTTTTTTAAATTTTACTTTATTCACACTCACTCACTTCATCACTCAGACGTAAAAACAGCGACCAGCGTTCAGACATGTTAGTAAAAATATCATCAAACAATCCTCACGTGAAGGAAGCCTCAGTGCAGGGTGGGAAGTTTAAATCGTGACAGACTGTTTGATAAGCCCCTCCCCTTAGTTACTGTTGCTATGATTGTGCTCTTCCTTTTCTTAAAGGGCACGTGTGCAGTGAATCATTAAGCAGAATCATTTGTTGTAATCATAATAATCTCATCATCCTTTCAAACAGATATTAACTCTGAGTGTGTCGCACCGGCAACCCTCCAAGCTGGCTCGTTTTCGTACCTTTCCGTGTGATTTTCTAAATTGGTTCTAAGTTGTTTAATTGAAAGAATGAAAGCCCTACAACATGCTAAGCTACGGGTCACGTGACGTAGTTTGATAAGTTAACATCAAGCTAGCGCGTCCATCGTTCAGTAAATAGAATTCAACGATGTTCATAGATTCGTTACTAAAACAGCGCCATCTTCTTTTAATATTAATAACACATAAAACATTTAACGGTATGGTTAATTTTATTTGTTTGTATTTGTTATTTTGGTGCGCCTTGGCCGGCTGGCGAGCTCTGTGATTGAATAGTCTGAGAGCTGCAGTGCATTATGGGGCATCTGATGATTTCAGATCATCTACATTCTCAATTTCACGGGGTGCATTTTCAGACACAGCCATGTTTTATTTTTATAAAGCTTGTGTAAATAACTACAGAGCTGAGCCGAAGAGCTCTGATTGGCTGTCAGTGAAAAGGGGAGGAGTTTAGCAAACAGTCAGCTGACAGTCTGGAAGTAAAACTCAAACTTTCTCTGATTTTCACCCCAAACATCATTTTGAATAAAAGAATAAAGTAAAACTTATGAAGAGTTAGACTGTTTTTTATATTTAACATCTTTTTGTAGAAATAAAAATAAAAAGCTGAAACAAACGACTAAACGACTAAAAACAAACAACTTCCCAAAAAACAAACAAACAGAAGTATCAGGGTCAATATATTACTGTAACACTTCTTATCATCAGGGATCCAATCAGCTCACACTTCAGTTACTGCTGATGATTTCACTTTATTCATCTTTTCTTAAAGGCCGTTGTTATCCTCCTCGCTGGTTAGCTTTGCTTAGCTCAGCTAACATAGCTTTGTTTTCACGGTAGATTTGAAGAAGTTACACAAACTTGTGTCTGTTCCTGCCGTCTTTTAGATCTTGGTCTGGTCTTTAGAGGTGAGCTAGCTTGTTGTGGAAGCTAATGGAGTTAGCTTTGATGCTAACCTTTGTTCTGAATGAGACCTCAGACTCAGACCCGCTACAAGTTAAGATTTAAAAATTGTCTTGTGTGTCCTCATAGTCCATATCTTAAAATCCAGTCTGGTCTATCACTAACACTCAGACGTGAGACGACAGGAGCAGACGTTTATGAAGCGATCAAAGAGGATGGGCTGAAATACTTCAGGGATCCAATCAGCAGTTCTGGACTTTTTAAACCATTGTACAGTTTCAGGAATCAGGGTTCGGACAAAAGTGTGCAAATCAAATCTCAGCCTGAACTCAGCAGAGTCTCTCAGGAAAGTAAAACTTCTCATGTTTGGTGTCATGAAGCTACAGAGATCTTTGCCAGGAAGAGAAAGGAGTAACTCGACACTTTGGGAAACATTCCTTCCAAACTTAAGCGTGAGTGCGTTTACGTGGACTGGAGTCACCCGGATTAGATCAGGGTTTTTAAGTATCCTGTTCTTTTGTTTGTGCATGCAAACATCTGACCCCAAAGAAACCAGGGAACCGGGATACGCCCTGATCCTGATTTTGAGAACCCCATTTAGTTACCTGGAGAACTCTGAAAGTAAACAGGATACTGCAGCACGTATACACCTTACCCGGGTTTCTAACCGCTGATGACCTGCACAGGCGCTGCCTCAGCCAAGTGACTTATCAACAAAACAAATGACAACGAGAGTGTCTTACTTCTGGAGCTACGAAGAAACGGAGATTTGTCTTGTGGTAATGAAAGAATGAAGTCGACATGCTGACCTTTTAAAGTCGGTGGTGAACAGGCTGCGGGACGCCGGTGTCATGACACGTACGATGGAGCGAGTCAGGTCACTTTGAAGAAACATTTCTACGTGGTTAAACATCAGAAGAAGGGGCTCTGATTCAGCCACTTTCACATTTTCCAAAATCTTTAATGAGATGTGTTGTCAGCATCCACATTAATCCTCAGAGGTCTCAGCAGATTTCAAACTAGCCGCGGTTTGTGTCATAAAAAATAAACATCAGAGGCACCTGCACAAATAAAACGCAGTCATCATAAAGCAGGATACGAGGATTGATCAGGGAGATGAAGAACCAGGTGGATCAAAACCAGGACAAGACTCAGAACCGGGATACTCAAGTCCGTGTAAACGCACTCAGGGATTCTTCCTCAAGTTGAAATGTGAAATATGAAGCTACAACCAGGAGCTAATTAGCTTAGCTTCTCGTATGGACTAAAATTAAAGGGGAAAGGTCGACAGGAGTTCATGGGTCTACATGTTTTGTTTTTAGTTCTCTGTACAAAAAGTCACTAGTCACATGGAAAGATAGAAAAATGTGCAAACTGGATCAAACCTGTGGATCAGAGAGCGCTCCGGGTGTTTCCAGGTGCATTCGCCCCCTAGTTTCCAGACCTAATGCTAAGCTAGCTAGCTGGATGTGTAGCGTACAGAAACGAGAGAGGAATGGAAGTGTGTACCATAAATGTTGAAATACTCCTTTAACTTGAAGACACTCTGATGATCTCTGAAGGTTTCATGTGTCTCAGTCTGACGTTCTCTTTTGGCACAAACAGAAAAAGAACACTTGTAAAAAAAAAAAATAAAAAAAAATAAAAAAAAAAATTGAAACAGTACCTTATCTCCCATCCAACAGTGAATACAGTGAAACTCTCTCAGCGGCCGTGTTCCCCTAAATTGTTCTGTACAAACAGTAGGGGGGCGCCCCTCCTCAGTTTGACCTCTAGGCGTCAGTGTTTCCGTTCTCCTCCGGCTGCAGCTGCTCCTTCTCTGTGCAGTCCTCCTGGGGGGGGGCGGACCCTCTTAAAGAAGCCCAGCTGAGGACCAAGAGAAGAAGAAATGAATACACACTGATTTGACACTGCAGCTCAACTCCTAAAACACTTCCTGATATTCTCGTGCTTAACACAAACAGATGAATGTTTCTCTCTTCTCCCAGAGTTTCTCCTCCAGCCTCCTCGTATTTATTCTGCAGTAAGTCAGAGTGAGCTGATGTGAGAACGCAGCAGGATATAATCAGGAGAATTCACCTGGAGCGAGTGGGAGGGGGTGGTGACGTTTATTCTCTGTGATCGCTGCACGACCATAGACTGTCTGCACGCCACCTCTACCATCTCCGTGCTCTAATGAACCTGCTGCATTATGTTTCCTGTTCTCCAGTATGTTCTTCTCCACCCTTTAGTTCAGATTGAGATTCTGTTCAACTACACGCAGCATTGATAGAAAGACAAATATTCTCATTAGAGCGTCGGATAGACGATTCTGCTGCTTCGTTCTTTTTACGTCTCGTCTTGCCTCAGGAGACCATTTATAACAAGCTGAGATAGTGAACACTCAGCTGGGCGTTGTTTGTTTATGTGTTGTTGTTGTTGTTGTTGTTGTTCTCAGTGTTTGTGTCTCACCTTGTACATGATGAAGATGAGCAGAGCGAGCAGCAGCAGACCGGCTAACACTGCCAGGGCTACGACCCAACCCGGGACCGACTGAGGCGGCTCCGCCACCCACATGACCGACACACTGACCTGAAAACACACACTGCATCAACACACTGACACCTCACACACCTCCAGCTCTGTATGACCTGAACATGAACTCCGTGTGTGTGCATGTGTGTGTGTGTGCATGTGTGTGTGTGTGTCTCACCATGGTGCTGTTGGACGACAGCTCTGAGTCCAGGTTCTTATACGGCATCTCGATGACGTTGAAGGACGCAGTCGATTGTACCATATACGAACGATTCTGATTCTCCGTCTGACGGAGAAACAAACAAAAGACTCGTCACGTGTCTGACGTGTGGAGTGACGTCAGATCACGACGTCCGACATGTGAGAGGTGAGATTTGTTTGTGTGTGTTTATCGTTTACCCTGAGGAAGTTGTTGACGGTCAGTCTGGAGTAGATGAACACGATGGCGTTCTTCCCCTTCACCAGTCGACCCACCTGACACCTGAGCCGCAGACAGTCTGCTGTGTTACAGTCCTACACACACGCACAAACACACCCACACACACATACAGACACACACCACACACACACACACACAAACACACCCACACACACACACACACACACAGACACACACACACACAAACACACCCACACACACTGAATCATGATAATTTTATCCAGAGTACTGTCTTTAGTCGGGTTACTTTGGTGCCAAAGTATTTTACGGTGTTTATCTGAGTGTGTGTGTGTTAGTCTGTGTGTGTATGTGTGTGTACCAGTGTCTGCAGGTCGTTCTGTGAGTCTCTTGTTGACTCCACTTCTCTCCTGCGGACTTGGTGTCTGTTTCGTCCCTCTGTCTCTGTCTCTCTGGGAGGTATCCCACCGCTGATGTTCTTCGCTGAGGATAGCGGGCTCTGTTGCACGCGCACGCACGCGCACACACACACACACACACACACACACACACACACACACACACACACACACACACACACACACACACACACACACACACACACACACACACACACACACACACACACACACACACACACACACACACACACACACACACACACACACACACACACACACACACACACACACACACACACAGGTTAGATATCACTTTAAAAAGGTTTAATTAAATGGGGAGATTTGCATGAACAGAGAGACAGAGATAATTTGTGTGTGTGTGTGTGTGTGTGTGTGTGTGTGTGTGTGTGTGTCCTGTTCTCTCACCGACAGGTTGAGCGGGTTGAGCTCGATGTCCGTGGTGCAGTTAATCGGCCCCTCGGTCTCGAAAGATACAACGTAGAGCAGAGAGTCGTTCTTGTAATGATACGGCAACTCGACCTCCAGAGACGCCTTACTGAACGTACTCGGCCCGCTGTTCAGGAGCTGAAAACATCCAGTGGTGATGATTGGTTCACATAAACAAAGTGCTCAAACACTCTCACAGAGCGAACGTTTCTCATACAGCTGTGGCTAACTTATCTTGTATTAAAGCAACCATCTGCAACGCCTCCTCCTTCAGTCGTTTCAAAGTCGATCTAATAGAACAATAACCTCCAACAGGGAGAGCGCCCCGCTCGCCTGTTTTCAGCACTATGTAACTTTGGCAGCGGGTCGAGGTCATCTGGAGAGAAGTGCGTACGTCTTTACGGCGTTAGTTCACACAGCAGCCTTCAGCTAAAAAGCAGCCAGTTAGCCCGTCTCTGTACTGTTTGATAACGCCTGGCTCACACTGCGACGTGTTATGTGCTATGTGTAGTCCAATGGAATGACAACATCCACAAAAGGGAGGAGAACAACAGACTGACGAACAGAAAACATAATGCAGCCGTAGTGGTGCAGACACTTTATGCATTGTGCAGCAGTCACTGTATATAAACGTCCCTCGGGTCCCATTGGGTGAGGTGAATCCTCCGGAGTATATGCTGCTGTGTTCTCCCATCAGCTCAGTCGGACTTTCTGCGGATAAAATACTAGGGTTCCAGCAGCAGTGTTTCCCCTACCATTATGTTAGGGGGAGTTTCGCCCCGATGTGCGCACGCACACACGCAATTTGTCTGTTTGCATTCAAATATACCCTAGTCCCTCGGGATAGCCTAATCTCCGGAGTTTTTCAGGAGAGAGCGAGCGACAAACCGGACTAGAGGACGTTAAGATGTTGGAGAAAGCTTGAAGAAACAGGAAGCTGCAGGTCCGACGCTCAGCTGGTGATGATGCTCTGATGTTCACCATGAGAGGAAACATTCAGCTTCATGTGGGAACAGCTACAGAGTTACCCATTGCTATGGAAATAGCTCTAAGTGTAACAGACTCTGTTTATCAGGAGAAGCGAGTCACGCTTATGTCTCCAGATCAATATTTAGTGTCACAGTGATAATAGCCAGATGATTTAAAGAGAATGGGGGGGACGTGTATCACCGTGTGTGTGTGTTTGTGTGTGTGTACCTCGTAGACGTGGACTATCTGAGGTCCCTGGTCGTCTACGCTCACAGCAGGATGTCTGGGTTTCCAGTTGGCGATGGGAAGAAGAATCTGACTGGGAGACGACGTCCTGCACACATACACACGCACAAGACATTCAGAAACACAGGATGTAAACTTCAGAGTGCGTATGTCTGCATTGTGTGTGTGTGTGTGTGTGTGTGTGTGTGTGTGTGTGTAAGGCGTGTCTACACTGTGTGAGTGCCTGTGTGTGTGTGTGTGTGTGTTACCCTCTGATGGAGACTTTAGCCAGGACCGCCAGTTTGGTGACGCTGGACACTCGAGGACTCGTGTTGTCGAACTGGTTCGAGCTGAAACACAAACAGTGGATTAAAGTTCAGAACGTTTCATCTCTGTCTCCTTTACTTCGAACTTTCTAATATTTTAACCGTAACTTATTTTTAAGCTCTGATGTATATTTCCTATCTCTGACGGTTGTGTTCTCTCAACTCTTTATATTTGAACTGTTGATCTGTACTCCATCGTCTCGCTCTGAAATTTGAACTGGAGCGTTTAGTCGACGTGGAATATTCAAAAAGCAGGATAAAGGATCCTTTGAGGACTGTGTGAACGCTTCTAAATCACTGAATGATGTCATATCTGTCATATCTCACACACACACACACACACACACACACACACACACACACACACACACACACACACACACACACACACACACACACACACACACACACACACACACACACACACACACACACACACACACACACACACACTCTCACACACACACACACACACACACACACACACGACAGAGCTCACCTGACCATCTTAAGGTCAAACTTCACAGATGTCTCCTCCTCTGATACCAGATGTACGCTGAAACTCAGCGCTGTCTTAATCTGACCGGAAGGAAGGAACACAGCAGAGGGCCAATCAGAGAGCAGTAAAACAGCATAGGACCAATAGGAGGGCAGGGGGACAGCAGAGGACCAATCAGAGAGAAGGAACACAGCAGAAGACCAATCAGAGAGGGGTAAAACAGAAGAGGACCAATCAGAGAGCAGGGGGACAGCAGAGGACCAGCACGCAGTACGAGACGAGTTGATTTACTGACCACAGTTCCTGCCTTCATGGGGTTTCCCAGGTCACACACCACAATCTTGGTCTGGTTCTCCTTCTTGTAGGTGCAGGAGACTCTGCTGTGAGTCTGAAATAAGAAACGACATTTCAAACCATAAAATAACGATCAGAGTGGGAGCACACTCGGTCAGAGGGAGTCGGCTGTACAACTGAATCCCGGGAGCTGATCTCTTTTTGTTCTGGTAAAAATAAAAACATAAAAATAAAGATTCTTAAATGTCCTTGTGGGTTAAAATGATTTGAGAGTCATCGCTGATTCCACAGAACAGACGTTCCTCTTTCTGAGCAGCTGAAATGTCTTCACTTCCTCTTTTCAGAGAAAAAAACATTTCACCTCGACAATATTTATAAATAACACAGATGTGTGTGTGTGTGTGTGTGTGTGTGTGTGTGTGTGTGTGTGTGTGTGTGTGTGTGTGTGTGTGTGTGTGTGTGTGTGTGTGTGTGTGTGTGTTCAGGACAGGTGAGGTTACATCGCTGGGGACGACCCTGGTGAAGTCAGCCAGCTGCGGCGGGTAGATGTGCAACTCTGCCTCGTACGCTCCCTCTCCTTTATTCTCAGCGACCACCTCCAGAGTCAGAGCGTTATCATCTCCGATGTAGATCTGCTCGCGGTCACTGCAGGGAAAAAAAAACAACAACAAACATCAACAGAAAATAAATAAAGTAATCCCGTTTCTGACGGGAAAATAGAGTTCAAAGTCCTGTTTGATTCCTACGTTTACGTTTGATCCGGTTGAATTGAGAAAAACTTGTCAATTCAGTTTTTATCCATTTTCAATCTGATTTGTATATTTTAAGATTTATTTTTGGGAGAGAGAGAGAGAAAGAGATTGCGAGAGACCAAGACAGAGAGAGAGTGCAGGGAAGGGCTTTCAACCCTACAGCCTCTGTACATGGGGTGCATGCTCTAACCACTAGGCCACCGGGGCCCCAATCTTATTTTGTTTGATCAGCTACTTCATTTATCTTCCAGTTATTTGGAATCCTGGCCCTGTTTTGGTTTTTCTTTCTTCCTTTTACGCCTCTGAGGGTTGAGTTCCAGCAGAGAAAAAAGATTTTCATTTGCAGTTCTACCTGAAAAGTGTCCTCAGGTAAGTTGAAGACGATAAACACCTGATTGATTGAGTGTCTCACCTCTTCACGGACAGCTTCAGGTCGGGTTTACAGATGTTGTCGTCGCCACAGTCCAACAGGATGTGAGCCTGAGGAGCAAACGGAGCAGGCGGAGACATTGAGGGCAAAGAGTTGACAAAAAAACTTAAATAACATAAAGGGCAAAGAATCAAACAGAGCAGGAAGAATTAAAGAAAATACGACTCAGTCACAGAGTTTACACCCGAAGGTCAAGTATCATCGGATGCGTTACCTGCTTGGTGACGTTGGACGGTGTCGACATGTGGAGGATGGGCAGCAGGCCAGTCGGATCTGCAGCCATCTGATAGTTCAGAGTGTAATCCATCGCCACAGAGATGGGTGTGATCTTATCCCTAACATCTTGGCCCTCCTGACAACAAAAACAACCAGTGTAAATAAGTCTCAGAGCTCAAAACATGTGTGTGAAGTGTCCTGTTCTAAATCCACTCTGATCCTGTATTTGATCATGTCTATAAAACCCTCTATTTCAGCCCTGCTCAGAACAGGCTGTTTCTGTGTCTGTACCTTTAAATGTAAATAAGCTGTATCTGACCACGCCCCCTCTCTGGAAAGGCTTGGGTGTCTCAATGCTGAATGTTCTTTAATTCAAAGTCTGCAGACAAATGTTAGAAGCTCAGTGGTGACTGTGAAAACAAGATTAGCCCTCTCCTTTGTGTGTGTGTCTGTCTGTAATGTTTCCTGTATTTCTCTGTGAGAGGTTTTCATTGGCAGGTGTTGAATTTCTTCTTCTGTGGTGGGTAAACGGTGTCTCACCCCCAGGTAGACGAACTGCTCCTCGCAGGTGGGGCCTTTCCCGTTGTTGACCACCATGTTCTTGGAGTAATGAAAGGCTTGATCGTGCAGGAAGAGGACGCGTTTGGTCGACTCCTTCTGCTTCAGACGATCCAGCTCCAGGTCCACACGGAAATCTGCAGGACCAGCGACCAATCAGAGGCCAGATCTGACAGCTGCACCACCACATACTCAGATACATAAATATACTGTGTGTGTCTTTAATGCTGCAGGGTTTGTTTGACTCACTGAGAGTGGGTGGAGCGCTGATGCCGCTGGCCTTCAGACAGTACTTTACCTTGAAACTACACAGGCACAGGCACAGGCACACACACACACACACACACACACACACACACACACACACACACACACACACACACACACACACACACACACACACACACACACACACACACACACACACACACACACACACACACACACACACACACACACACACACACCACACACACACACACACACACACACACACACACACACACACACACACACACACACACACACACACACACACACACACACACACACACACACACACACACACACACACACACACACACACACACACACACACACACACACAGTCAGCAGCAGTGCTTCAAAGTACTGAACACAGACTCATTGTTCATCAGAATAACGTCAGAGTGAAAAGATCCTGATAAGGTTTAAGACTCACCAGGACACCGGCGTATTTGTTCCAGAGATGTTGCACGACTTCTCCTCAGGGTTAATGATCTGAGGCGTCATGTCCAATGTGGCGTTCACACTGATCACAGGACGAGCTCTGACACACACAGACACACAGACTCAATCTTCACAACTCAATTTCAGAGCACTTCTATTTTTGGGATCTTTGTGCCTTTGTTGGAGAGACAGGACAGAGGATAGATCCAGACTCAGGGAGATAGACAGAGCGGGGAAAGGAGCCACAAATCGGATTCAAACCCGGGCCGTCCGCTGTGAGGACCACAGCCTCTGCACATGGGGAGCACAAACCAACCACTGACCCACCGGCGCTCCTTGGAATCTTTTTTTAAAGGATGTAAATTAACTACAACTATGACTCAGTCTGCAGCTCAGCAGCTCAGGACTGATTTAAGGAGGTTCCTGGCTTGGTTGATAAAGTTTTGAGATGTGAGTTTTGACTGAAATAATGTTGAATTATGTTTTTTGTTTTCAGTGGGGTCATGACCCCACATTCAGGACATAATTATCTTCAGGAATAAAGAGGGATCCATTTAATTGGATTTAATCGGCACTCAAGGGGTTAAGAAATGTCCTAACAGCAGCTATAAAACAGAAGCTCTTTGATATCAGAGGTGGCCTAGCTCATTACGGTCCTCATGCACCGCAGGGGGGTACGCACGCCCACACACACAGACAGACACACAGACACACACACACAGAGAGAGTATGTTACCTGTATAAAACAGCTTTGTCGGCTCCAAACACCCCGACTATTAAATCTGAAAGACAAAAAAACACTCAGCACACCTCTTCCCTGCTGTGTGTGTACGCGCGCGCGTGTGTTTTTGTGTGTTTGTGTACCTGGGTATCCGTTTTTGTCTATGTCAGTGTTTCCTGTCATGGAGTATCCGAAGCTTGAAGGCATGTAGCTGGACGCCCATTTACCCTTCAGGACCTGAAAAATACACACAAACATTTAAAACAAACAGTGTGTGTGTGTTTGTGCGACTGCTAATAAAGGCAGCAGCAGCATGATCGATTTATCTACACCTCTAAGACAAGAAACAGATACGATGGAAGGCTCTTACTGATGCAGTCGCGCTGAATCTCGCTAAAGATATGGCGCAAGTATATACAGCGAAAACGCCTGCATGGGTTTATCCACATGCCTCAAACTATCGGCCGCCTCATCAGTAACCCTGACCCCCCTCTTTGTCGATTACAATAAAGGTACTCTGATTCTGTGTTTCATTCATGCTTCATGTTGGACATGTTTGTGGTGTTTACCTGTGAAGGTGTGGCGTTGGGCCCCTGAGGGCGGCCGTTATGGATGTAGATGCGACCATACCGATCTGGACCCCCGTACGGAGCAGAGATCGCCACGTCTGGAGAGAGAGAGAGAGAGAGAGAGAGATCAGAGATGAAACACGAGGGCTGTGTGTGTGTGTGTGTGTGTGTGTTCGTGTGTGTGTGTGTGTGTGTGTGCGTGCGTGTCTCACCATTGAATCCGTCCATGTCCAGGTCTCCCAGTGTGGTGATGGCAGAGCCATATCGGGCGTAAACCTCTGACCCGATGAGCTGCTGAGGAGGGTGGAAGGAAAACCCACCACGACCCAGGTACACAGACACCTGAAGAAAACACACACACACACACGGACACACCAATGCATCCTGTCAGTTGTTGAAAACAAAGGAAACGCTTCAGTAAACATTGTAGAGCGCTGTCTCCCCCCGCCCCCTCCTCTCTAGAGTCGATGCTCACACAGGTTGCCATGTGGTGGACACTGAAGCTTCAGTGTTTATCCAGCTCTGCATCGGTCTGTAAACCTTTCTGTGTTCTAACCTCTCTCCATTTTTCAAAAGCATCTCTAATATTGATCCTAGTTTGAGCACGTTTCTGCTCATGGAGCTTATTAGAAACATGCAGAGGCTTTTTAGGTCGGGTACAATCACTTCTATCTGAACCAGTTCTCTTGCCCGCTTCCATCACTGCACCACCTGTTGGTTTGACCTGATAACTGCTCTCATATTTGGCAAACCAAGGGGCGTCCAAAACGGCCGTGTAGGGGTGCCTTAAAACCGCCTACCTTCTCTGGTCCAAACAAATCCAGAGCATTCAGGACCAGAATCTAAAGTTAGAAGGAGGACATACTGGCTGCTGCATTGTTGTCAGAGAAGCCAGCACTTCAACATAGCATGTTTCCTTAATGTCTGATCATATAGTAACGTACCTTTATCATTTCACTCTCTACACATCTCACTGATTGGACCTTTAAGTGCAATTTGTTTTTTGTGCTTTTGATCGTTAACTTTGAACTTACATCTCTCTTTTTTATAGAAGCTTTTTTTTCAGCATCCAGAGAGTTTATGAAGAAGGAAATATTTCTGTTGAAATATCAGCAGGAGGAAAAATGAAATGTGCAAACTAAGAGTGGAACAGTTTGTTCACTTCTGAGGAAGTTCAAATGTTAAATTTTATCTGCGTCTCTGTTTCCTCTTGATGGAGCGACATGACAGACACACACACGTGTCTGTGAGAGATATGGGTCTGTGTGTTTTCTATCCATTATCTCCTCTCTGCTCTCATGCGACGTGACATCCAACGCTCGCATTCTATCACCCAGAACTTCCACCAGATACGTGTGCATTGAGTGTCTGCTCCGGTCCGGTCGAGCTCAGTGCTCCCTAGTCTGTCAACACCCGCAGGCTGCGTGCTCAGAGCGCAGCATGGCAAGCACCGCTGGACAGCTGGAGTGCAGAGACAAAGAAGTTCCCGTGGTAATAACTGAATCACGCGAGATCATAAAGAACAAACACACGAGGTCGTTGTTCTGAACCGTCTAAACGGAGTGTTTTATTCTGAAAATAAACAGGATGTTGTAATGTTTCGGTGTCTGACTTCCTGTCCTGCTCGATCTGCTCTGTGGTAAATTGATCGGACCGAACACACATCTGGTGGAATTTAGGCTTTAGGACACAGTGTTAGAGTCTGTTCCTGGCTGAGCATATTCAGCATTATATCAGTTATAATGTCCTCTGAGGGAAGGAATCTCAACATGAAATATTGACGTGTGTGTGTGTGTGTGTGTGTGTGTGTGTGTGTTTCATACCTGTCCCACCTCCCTCAGTTTCCCATCAGGGCCTCTGTCCATGAAGAGAGGAGCGCCAACCAGCAGATCCACCAAACTGAGACAAACACAGGAAACAGAGTCGTTAAAATCAGCTGTCAATGAATGTTTAATCATAAAGAGAGATAGGAGAAAGACAGGAAGTCAGCGAGTCTGTCAGCAGAGACGCTTCATACACGTTACTATCGTTCAGTAAAAACATTTCAGGGTTTCAAACACGCGCCTCGTTTGTTCCCTCTATCATAAACAACTTGTGATCTGTTTGTTTTGACGTGTTTACATCAGCTGTTGTTCTTCTTCTGCTGTTTTTAATTTGGTGGCTGAGACACATCACTGACTCCAGATGTTTCCAAACTGCAGCTGGTGGAAAAATGTGTCCAACGTTAAAGAGATTATTTATAGTGTAACAGCAACAGTCTGTGTGAAAACATGGACGACATGACGGCTCCCACAAAGTGAGGCCAAAACAGTAAGTGCTCCCCCCTGCTGGCTGGCAGCAGTAAAGGTCATAAGCCCCGCCTCCTCCATGTAAACAGATGGGGCATAAGTCAAAGTGTAAAATGAAATACACGTCACATACGGTTTGTTTTTCTGTCTTTATAGTTACTTTTTATCACGCTGATTTATGTTTCTGATTGATAACTCCATGATTGACAGCTGTGTTGACCAATGAGGCTCCTGCATGCTAATTTTAGCACTCTTTAGTTAGCTCGTAGCTTCCTTTAAGTTTCAGTACTCAGTATCACAGAAGTAATCGAAACTTTTCACAACCTTAGGAACAGCTGAAGAGCGGACAGAGACTCACCCGTCATTATTAACATCTGTAGCAGCAACTGAGTGTCCGAAGTACGCCGCCATCTGCAGGAGGAGAGGGGGAGTTATTTAAATAAGTAGGTCTACACAGACCGTCTGTCTGAGGGATTTAAAAGGTAAAATATGAAACAGATTATCGTTAAAATCAACACTCAGTCCAATATAAACATTTCAGGAAATATTATTCTAAGGGCTTGAGAAATCTTGAGAATTTTTTTAAAGCCACATGTGCTGTCAGGTTGAATCAAGAAGTAAAGGATTCAATATCTGTGAATCTGAACAGCAGGAAGAGGAACAGGAGGAGGAGGAGAGAGGAGGAGGCTGAGGAGGACGAGGAGGAGGAGGAGGAAGAGGAGAAAGAGGAGGAGGAGGGCAAACAGGAAGCAGATGAAAGGGAGTTAAGTGCGTTCAGAGGGCGAGTTATGAGGATGGACCGGAGGTGAGTTAGACCTCTGTCATTATCTCTGATGATGGATCCTTTCTCCCTCTCTCTCTCCAGCTATAAAATGACTTAAGTGTCTTCGGTTTGATCACTTAAAAACACGAGTCACAGAGGCTGCTCCTGTTTGATATATAGGTAGCCGAGGTTAAAGGGTCACATATTCTATAAAATCCACTCTGATATGTGTCTCTTGTCCATCTACAAACCCCTCCTCTCCGCCTTTTGCCTGCTCCACTTTTCAGAAAATGTGTGCTCAATCAGGCCGTTTGGAGATTTTTACCTTAATGACATCACAAAGGGCAGTAACCCCTCCCCCAGGTGGGTGACAGTCCCACAGCTATGTGTTTGTTCTGCCCTCTGAGTCTGCCTTCTCACCGTAAACAATAGGACATGGAGCGAGAAAGCCCAAGTCACCCAAGCCCTTCCAGAGAGGGGGCGTTTACATATTTAAAGGTACAGACACAGAAACAGCCTGATCTGAGCAGGGCTGAAATAGAGGGGTTTATAGACATGATCAAATACAGGATCAGAGTGGATATAGAACAAGAAACTTCACAGACATGTTTTGAGGAGCTCTGAAATGTATTTACACTGGATGAAGAGGAGCAGGATATGTGACCTTTCAAGTTCTGTCTGGTCTTTAGTGAACAGGGTTCGTTTTATGAATCTCACCTGTGTTCCCGTGAAGTTCACCATAGACTCCATGTTAAGGTTGTTAAAGATGTTCACCTGAAACATCAAACGAACACAGAACATCAGCCACTGATGACTATAAACTAAATCACAAAAAAAACGATGCTGAGATGTGTGTGTGCAAAGTTTCTCTTACATAACCGAGTGCCTTGTCTCCACGAGGGACTCCGGTCACATAATCTGAGGATGAGAGAGACGAACCATGTAAGTATTAAAGAACACCTTCCACTGCTGTTTATCTTCATAACTTATTCATCCATTAAACGTTTTATAAATTAATAAAGCAAATCTTTGGTTTATGATGTTCCAGAAATGTAAGGAAAATGTTCAGTGCTGTCATCAGATGTTTAAAGGAGCAGTATGTAACTCTAACACCTAGTGTTTAAAATGGGTACTGCAGTACAAATTCTAAACATTGTAGGGAGCTGTCTCCCCCCCATTCTGAACTTTCCTCACCTTCTTTCCCATCATCGTTGAAGTCTCCAACAGTCACAGAATATCCTGAAAATCATGGAGATGAGGACTTGGTCAGTAAAACAACAAACAACTCTTTGAGTCTCCTGATGCGTGAAAACGGTTCAGCAGCATGTGTTGAAGGTTTGTGTTTCACGACACACCTGCTGACGTGTGAGGTCAGCCATGTTTAAACTGTAAATGTTTATCAGTCACACTTTATTTAACTCAGTGTATCGTCGTCTTTATGTGACAGCAGCTGATCTGTTTCTGTTAATTCTGATTTCATCCAAAGAGGAAAATAAACTCATTAAAATCAGGAGAACACATGCTGAATGTGTGTGTGTGTGTGTGTGTGTGTGTGTGTGCGTGTGTGTGTATGTGTGTGAGTGTGTGTATGTATGTGTGTACCTAGATAACTGTCGTCATACTGGGCGCTGGCGGACTTTGTAGAGAGGGTGTTTCCGTACGGGATGACATATTTTTTGTCAAAGCGCTTAAAAATCTCAGCGACGTCATCGGAAATCAGCTGACCTGAAGAGAGAAAGAGAACATTAGAGAAATTTAAAGATGAGATTAAATACAGACAACCTTCAGCGTGAACTTTAGGGACCGTAAGAAAACAAAAGAGAACTACTGAGAACATTACAAGAAAATAAAACAAAAATAAAAAAGAGAAGAGAAGAGGAAAGGAAAGGTTAAAAAAAAAAAAAAGCATTTAAAGAAAAGAGGACAAACAAGACAGGAAGAAGGAGAGAAAAGATAAAAGGAGGAAACAGGGTTAACTACTAACACGACAGAAAAGAGGAGGACACGAGAGGAGAGATGAGGATATGAGAGGAGAGAGGAGGACATGAGAGGAGAGAGGAGGACATGAGAGGAGAGAGGAGGATATGAGAGGAGAGAGGAGGAGAGAGGAGGACACAAGAACGTGAGGGAAGAAAGGAGTGTCAGATTTCACGTGAGTTTTTTTTACAGGCTGGTTCAGAAAAATGCTAAGTCTGTAATTATAGAGCAAAAAAAAAACTGCCACAGCCTTAACAAGAAACTAATCACAAACAGACAGGGTGTGTGTGTTTTTATGTGTGTGTGTGTGCACGTGTGTGTGTGTGTTGACTCAACAGGAAACAATAAATAGGCTAACACACACACACACACACACACACACACACACACACACACACACACACCACACACACACACACACACTGTCTGAAGAGATTCAGTTCAGCGACTGAATTAGCTGCTCCCACCTGTCACTCAAAGAGGCCACGCCCCCTAATTCTACATCACTGTAAGCCTTAATATAACGTAAACAGGTGAGTGTAATGACAAGAGAAGTGAGCCACAGAGACCCAAACTGCTTTGGTACCAGACTGTAAACATGTTTGTCCTCAACTCATCATAATCATCAAACCCACAATGACACAACACGGCGTGCTCATGCTGATCCAGCAGCGTCCACAACCACCGAAAACACAAAACACAGCGGAGCCGCCGGACAAGCGTCATCAGAGATCTGAGGCTGTGCACTGTCAGTGTGTTTTATAAAGGATAAAGTTTCGACTGAAACTTTCAGACTGAGCTGAGAGTTTGTCCTGAGTTAGCTTAGCTTAGCATAAAGACTGGAAGCAGGGGCAAACAGTTAGCCTGGCTCAGTCGGAGGGGCTTGTGCAGAGATGACATCAGCTGTTTTGGGGATAACTGTAGATTTGGATCGACGTGAGTGTTTGTTATATACCTGTCAGTTTGTTTCTTTTTCATTATCTCATTAGCAGCTGCTTCTCAGAAAGAAAGAAAACTACTAACTGTTGTTTTACAGTCTTAAAACATGTATTCAGAAAATACCAGGATGTGAACTTTCATGAAGCTATCATGCTTTTATGGTCATTTCTGACCTTCGACCGTCTGCAGCAGAAGGTTTGTCAGATAACCAACAGAGTCTCTATGGCAACCATATCTGTCTAATTTTTATTTTGTGTATTTTGTGAATAACGAGTTTGCAAGCTTTGACAATGTGGAACAGGTAACACACGCACGCACGCACAGGTACACACTCACCCTGCCAGTAGAAGCTGCCCGGTCCACCCACCACCACTCTGTGCTCCTTCTGAAAACACAAACAGACAGAGAGAGAGAGAGAGAGAGAGAGAGAGGGTTAACTTTACCTTTCATGTAGAGAACAGCCTTTATGATAACATCACTTGATGTAAGTGTTGAGGGTGTATTTCTGGTTTCTCACCTTTAGGAAGTCAGCGCTGAATCCGGCCTGGCAGAAACCCTGACCTTCAGGTGAGTTTGCAGCTGGACAGAAAAACAAAAAAAGAAAAGAAAAATTAAAGAGACTCGCATCCCACACCTGCAGGGTTTCACCTGTACTCTTTAAATGATTGTGAATAGAACAGAAAAAAAGAAGACAGAATATTAAAGCACTGACTCGATCTGCAGGGCGAGTACTCGACCACCGCGTCTCCTTTCTTCAGGAAACACGTTCCCACCGGCTCTCGCTCCGACACGCCGTACGTCGACCACTGATACAGAGGAGCACACGCCTGGACAACACACACACAAACACACACAAACACAGGATTAATGTGTTATCCATACTGTGGTTTCACGTCTCCTGTCACACCGTATTTGGAGTTTTATTATCCGTATCATGAAAACTGTGTTCAACATTTCACTGCTGCTGATATTTTAAGGTTACGCTTATTTAATGACTTCATGTCCTGATGGGGCTGCACGGTGCTGCAGTGGTTAGTGCTGTCCGCTCACAGCGAGGAGGTTCTCGGTTTGAATCCCTGTCTGACAGGAGCCTCTCTGTGTGGAGTCTGCATGTTCTCCCTGTGCATGTGTGGGTTCTCTCCGGGTACTCCGGCTTCCTCCCACAGTCCAAAGACATGCTCGTTAGGTTAACTGGTGACTCTAAATTATTATGTGAATGTGAGTGTGGCTGGTTGTCTGTCTCTACATTTCAGCCCTGTGATTGGCTGGTGACCAGTCCAGGGTGTAACCCCGCCTCTCAACCAATGACAGCCCCACCCCCACCACCGTCCCTGAACAGGAAAAGTGGTGTAGATGATGGATGGATGTTCTGTTTGTTCTCTGCCTGAATTTTGGCCCATTTGACTTTTACTTTGTGAAAACTTATTGTCCCAAAATCAAACAACCAATTCATTAAAATGTGTAGAGCTTCAGTTTAGATTTACCAGTATGTGTTCTCCATCAGATCGGACCGAAGCGCCAAACCACTGCTTAGATTTGAACTCCATCTTAGCTCCTTCTGTGTTCGTCCTGTCATCTAGAGAGAGACACAAAGAGAGACTTTTATCATTCATTCAAAATGACAATCTGTGTCTCTGAAGTGTCCTGTCACATGAAGCTCGCAGTCCGTCCAGCGAAGGATTCAAGATTTCACCGTGACATTCTTATCGAAGGTGAGACGTCACAGCGGCATATATATGGTGCCTTCAACTAGCAGTATGAAGAGGAGAGCAGTAAACCGTATGACGCCTGTTTCCTAACACCTTTTATCTGACTCCACCCACACACCGCTGGTCACAGCTACCTGAGCTCACACAGCCTGCGTTCAGCCTCACGCCGCTCAGACGCTGAACACACGCAGCGCTGTCTCCATCAGGCCTCCGGAATGATATATGACGAGAGAAGGAGCGAGGTCATTGGACAACTTCACATCCTGGTCTCAGTGTCAATGGTACAAACGGCTGACAAGATTTACAAGAAGGTCAAAATGTTTTTATGAAGAAGACGTTATATCGAGTCGCTCTCACCACGAACTCTCTTGGTTCCTCCTCCTCTGTCTTCTGAAAAAATCAGGAACATGAGGGAACAGATTAAGACATTTAAAATGATTTAAGAGATTAAATGAAGAAATGCTGCGCCATCAGTGGACAGTCTGAGTTTCCTCCGAGTCTCTTTCAGGGTAAATAACGGGGTCAGAGGGAAGCTCGCAGCTCACAGAGGAGCTTTAAAGACCATCAAACTGAATAAACATTATAAACCTGTTTGTGTTGTCACAGAGACGCAGCAGCTGATTCACCCTCAGCCTGCAGACTTCATCTAAACACCACCCAGCTGTGAAATAGAAGGAGCTGTTTTACACACATCTGACTTAATACAGCAGACAGGAAGTGAATAAATATGAGAGCGTGCTCGTGATGTTGAAGGCCGAGCAGACGGTGAGGAAATGTTTGGGATTTTCCCATCAGGTTGGGAAACTCCGGGCGGGTGACAGACGCTGGCTGAGGATGATCTGAGTCTGAGGAGGAAGATTAAACTTTAAAGTGTCCACACAGCTCTTAGCGTACTGCTAACGTCGGCCTCACACATGAGACGGTTTTAGGCCCGATTTACCCCTTAATCGATCGGGTGGTCTGATACACTGTGACTATCTGTCCAAATCATAAAAAATGATAAGTGCAGAGGTTTCCTGTTCTACACTCAACACAACTTAGTTCAGATTGCGATTCTGTTGAACTACACGTAGAATAAAGACAAATACTGTCATTATAGCGTCGTATAGAGGACTTAATTTTTTTACGTCATGTCCTCAGGAGACCCCCCCCTCCTTTCTAATATGGATATTCTCCCCCTGTGAGGTGCATCTGTGATCAACCAGATCAGGAGAAATAGTCAGGAGTGAAAACATATTGAATGTTTTCCGCTCAGGTCCTGAACAGAAAGGCTAAACAAAAACACGATCCTGTACAAGTCACATCTGAGAGAAAATAAAACTACAGCAGGAACACAAGCTGCATCATCACTGTGAGAGGATTGAGTCACAAACACACACACACACACACACACGCATACACACACACACAAAAGCACGCACACACACACACATAGTTGCATGCATGCCCGTTTAGAAGTCTGACTGTGCAGAGGAGTTTGATGGAGAGGATCAATACTGCTCACTCATGTTCAGTCTGTCTGCTCTGCTGGTTCTGAGTGCCCTACTTATGTCACCCTGTGTGTGTGTGTGTGTGTGTGTGTGTGTGTGTGTGTGTGTGTGTGTGTGTGTGTGTGTGTGTGTGTGTGTGTGTGTGTGTGTGTGTGTGTGTGTGTGTCCCTTCACAATAGAGTCCTTTGTTGTTGATGTGACCTACAGTACGTGATTACGGGCCGAAGCTTTACTGGACCACAGAGCAGAATAAACTGGAATACTTGGGCAGGCTCCTGAGTAGGTTCAGGGCTATGTGAACCCACAGCGTGGATTTGACTGGGGAGAGTAAATCAGCCTTTATTGTTAGTTTTGGCAGAATTTAAGCTCAAATGCATTCAAATAAGCTTTAACCCTCGAAGCTGAGGAATGTTTTTTAAAAGCTGGAAGAGGAATAACAACATGTTCTTCCTCTTATCGAGTATTTTCAGCTCGTCAGATAAACTCAGCAGCAGCATCGTGTCTGCTTCTATAACAGTGTCTGAATCAAGATGGGAGGAAAAAACTCCTCTGCACAGTTAGACGTCTAAACAGGCTCGTGTGTGTGTGTGTGTGTGTGTGTGTGTGTGTGTGTGTGTGGAGGGGGCAGGGACTCGCTGTTTTGGACTGTGGTTTGTTTGTTATTTCCTGCTTTCATGGCTGAGGTCTCCCACAGAATACCAAACAGGCTGAACACAGAGACACATAATCAGTTGATCTCTGCTGCTCACTCACACTCTCTGATTCAAGGTGTCAGAACATCACCACCAACGATACAATCTCTGTTTACCAGTGGAATGGTATCAGAAAGTAACGACATGTGAGAGAGAGGGAGAGAGAGAGAGAGACATTTGGAGGTTTGAAGTTAAGTCACCTAGTGTTTAAAATGGGTACTGCAGTCTAAATTCTAAACATTGTAGAGAGCTGTCTCCCCCCGCCCCCTCCTCTCTAGAGTCGATGCTCACACAGGTTACCATGTGGTGGACACTGAAGCTTCAGTGTTTATTCAGCTCTGCATCGGTCTGTAAACCTTTCTGCATTCTAAACTCTCTCCATTTTTCAAAAGCATCTCCAATATTGATCCTAGTTTGAGCACGTTTCTGCTCGTGGAGAGAGACTGTGTGAGCTAAGAATGTTAGAGTGCCCAACCATCTTTCTTAGTCGGCAGCGTCAGACCCCATACTGATATTAGATCGGTTTGCTCCCATCTCTACATTGTTTGGCATTATTTTCCACCGGGCATCCATCAGTTGTTGCTGCATAAACCGAGCTGCAAGCAGACGATGATGTCATCATTTCATTATAACCTCCATTTGAAACCCCATTCTGTGACTCTCTTCCTGTTTGTGCTGAGACTTCAGGTTGTATTTTTACTCGTTCAGTGACTCCTACGCACTCGTTCAATCGCGGCCTGCAGAAGAAGAAACCAGCTGATTATGAAAGCTAGCAGTCCTGTCAGCTGCTGACAGGATTCCTGGAGGAGGCTGGAAACAGCGTGGGCGGCAGCGTGGTGACTCCACAGAGGATCAGATGGGTTTTGAAATAACACCTCTCATAGGTGCTGTTCCCAGCAGCTGATAATCAGATCTTTAACATGAAGCAACAGCCCGGCTTGATCACGCTCATGTTGTTCTGTTTATGTACAGAAACGTGTTCATAACAAAGCAGCGTCTCTAAGGGATTAGTCTCCACAGGAACCTGAAGCAGTCTTATTATCTCCAATCTACAATTCACTTAGCAGACGCTTTTATCCAAAGAGATGAACATCAGAGAGTAAGAACAACCCTAATCAATTCATACACAGCCACCGAAGCAGCGGGAGCAATGTGGGCTTAAGTGTCTTGCCCAAGGACACATCGGACATGTTGCTCAGCTGGGGATCGAACCCATCAAACCCTTGACTCTACCAACTGAGCCAAATCCGCCCTGTCAGGTCTGTAGGGGTCCAAGATGCTAATGCTAACTGTCCTGCTCTTTAATGAAACTCCAGCTGACTTTTCCTGAGTCAGCGCTACGCTTGCCAAACACATCAATCCCCGTCCTGAGAGAGATGACATAACCTCTCATTTTTATCTTTGAAATCAAAACAGGTCGAGGCGACTCCACCCTGACGGAGGCGACACGGCCGAAAACATTTGGTGAGTAAGGCCCCGTGTCCAACTGGCGCTTTAATGAAGCGTTTGTGTGCTGAGAATAAAAATGCTGCAGCGTCTTGTCTCTATGACAACAGTATTTTAAAGCAGCCGCTGTATGGCAGACTCTGCTCCGTTACTCTTTACTACACGCTATATAGACGAGATCATTGTTTCCTTCACAAATATCATACTGGAATATCATATCGGAAAAAAAGGCCGTGGGCGCTGTACACGCTCTCTACTCATAGGTGGACACGGGGCCTTTTGGCAACCTGCGTGAGCATTGACTCTAGAGAGGAGGGGGTGGGGGGGGGGGGTCAGCTCTCTCCATTGTTTTGAATTTGGACTGCAGTACCCAATTTGAACACTATGTGTCACAGTTACATATTGCTCCTTTATAAAGATCAAAAAACAAAGAGGGTGAAGCTGGTTGAGAATTCTGCTTTCAGAATGATGATAGTAAAAACTATGAAGTGAATCTGCAGACGGATAAATGTGTCTGTTTTGTTCGATGCTATTCTTTCAGCTTCTTCAGCGCTGGAGGACACAGCAAGCCAGACCTCCACGGGGACATGCCCACACACCTCCAGCACCGCGCACATTCCTGAATGCGTCCTGACTTGAGATGAGAGCAGCCGGCTGCAGCAGCTGAACCTTCATTATCTCTTAACTTACACACTGCTCCCTACTATTAGGAGGAAAAGCACACAGTGACTTTTACTTTGTCCGCACCATTAAACAGTTCACTTTTCACAGTCTGACTCATACTGCTTCAGATTCTCCTGTTTAACTGTTTAGGGTCAGGGTTGGCATGATGGCATGACTGTGCTCAGACAGTTCGGCTGTGTTTTGATTTATTCACACTGTTTTCATGAACTTCAGTACATCAGAGCTATCGGTAATTAACACTCATCTGTGCGAGCAAGTCATAATTAAAAGACCATCTATCCTGCAGAATGTTTATATAATGTCTGACCCTTCTTCAAGCCCCGCCCTCCTTAGTTACTGCTACTAGGTTAGACTAAATCTCTTGTCACCGGGCTCCTTCCCATTTAGAACGTTTGAAAATACCTCGAGATGACGACTTTTATTTGTATTTAATTGATTGAATTATTTTCTAAACTCATCCTCAGTAACAGAATCAGGACAGAGATACAGCAGGGTGTATGAGGAGAACTATAAATCTCAAAAAATATGATCTATGTCTGATGCTAGTGATGTCCGCTTACATTAGCTGTCCTCCCGTCGCTGCTCGCCGTCTCACCTCTCCTGCCTGACCTCTGGACTCCATCAGTGACCATCTCTGGAGCCAGAGGTCTGAAGAGACGCACTGAAGAGACTTGGCCCAGGATACATTTTGTCTAACAGGAAGTAGCCCGGCAACGGTTGCGGTTGAGGGTGATTTGTCCGATGACCGCCAATCAGAGAGCCAACCAAGGGTCAATCCATGTCCGACAATGTCAACGGTAAATCATTCCTTTGGATGATGATATCGTTGTTGTTTTTTTGACAGGTAGAGTAAACTGTCATGATCAGATTAATGGGGAATGTGGAGAAGTGGATTCCTGATGACCTGCTCTCTCTCACATGTTTCAGCGGGGAAATCCCAGAGGGAAAATGAAGCAGAAGTCTGACTCTGTAGTGGTAGTTTTTATCTTTACATCAACGCTACCTGTGATTCAACGTTTTCACAGAATCAATGAACAAGTGGAAAAAGACAAACTGGCAAGCAGAACAGATGATCAAGCAGCATCAGAACGTGCATAAACATCTGTACCACCGCCCGAGTAGATAACTTCAGCATCAGGAACATTTGGAACATAATGGTGAGTGTTTGGTACCTGAGCTGTCAAACAGCACCTGCTGACAGGAGGAAGAACCGGCCCAGGGACAGCTGTATACCGCTCCTCGCTCCACAACACTGCTGGAGGACGACGCGTTCGCCCGAGGAGCTCCAATCAAAACGTCTGACCTGAGGAGAGGGGAGGAGAGGAGAGGAGAGGAGAGGAGAGGAGAGGAGAGGAGAGGAGAGGAGGTGTGAGTGGAGTAAAGCTACATTTTGGTAGCACACGATTTAAAATCATGCATGCTGTTCGCCTTTCTGATGGGTAAAATTCATATCTCTGGGTCACTGACAAAAAAGACATTTGTAAAAACTTTTTGGGCACTTTAAAAAACATTTCCACACAATTCTGAAACTTTAAATGCCAAATGACTGATCAGTTAACTGAACAAAGAACAGCTGATTAATGGGCCCCGAGAACACAGACATTTTCTGCAGCTTACTTCTTGATCCTTGATGTTTAGTTATCACAGACACAAAACACATAAAGATGAAGAGTTCACCAAAGGTCACCAGAGCCTCACGATCGAGCACTAAAAACACACTTTACTCCTCCGTAAATAAACCTTATAGGGGTCTAAATAAGAACAGGACTTTAAGTGAGTCTAGAAGGGGGCCGTCATGTACCGCCTGTGTGTCTGTCACTTACAGATCGTCAGCAGGAAACAGGAGCAGGAAGACTTCTGTGACAGTGAGATAAAGACTGACACATGAAGGGTTAATCATAATGTTAAACCAGGGGACAAACTTTCCTCAGAAACCGTTTCACAACACTTCACTGTCTGAACAACACTAAACATGACCCGCGGCTGCATTACATCACCTATGATTCCTCTGTTTCACAAGTTCAGCTGCTTAAATTCAGCCTCTAATTACAGGTTAATCCTCTTTAATTACACCACTGGAATTCAACGCATTCAAGGTCAATACATGGACACTTCTACGTCTCCAAGAGAACGACATTTATAGATGAATTGACTTCAGACTGTTTGTGATCATGAAGGATGACTGTAGGAACGCCTTTTTCTTCTTAAGCTTGATAAACTTTTAACGATCACCTGAAGAAGACGTTGTGACTCAAGAGGTTTGTTAATCGCCCTGCAGCTACACGGCAAGCATTTGATCAGACCTGTTCTAGTTTTATTGATTTCATTTATGGACGTAAGACTGTCCAAGAATGTCCTTGGAGATAAATAAAGTTCTATCTCATTTATCTTAAATAAAAGCTCTTCGGGTTTTCGACTGTTTGAGGGGCAAAAGAAACAATCTGAAGACGCTCTGTGCTCCAGGAAAACTGTGACTAGCGTTGAAAAGTTGTCCTTACTTCTGACCTCTCCCAGACAAACTGCTTCTGGTTTGCTTGGGTTTTAATTCTGTGTGGCTAACGGTTGCTTTTTTCATTAGCTTGAGACGTTTAGAGCATGATTGAAACCTTAACATCACCTAAAGCCCACTTGCATCCAAATGAAGCAAGTGCGTTGGCGTGTCTGTAGCTCTGCAATGCTCCGACTACAAACGCTAGTTTGCGGTGCAATTTCTATGCTAGGTATATCGCCAGTTTAAGGTCCTGCCACACTCCTGCTTGTGTGCGTACAGGAAACCAAGGCAACTGAAACTAAGCGTTTTATGTAGGAGTTGAGGCAGATTGAACAGCAGTTGATTAAACTGACTCGTTGCGTTCTACTTTATGCAGCATTTTGAAAACGACTACAATGCTGCTGCAGGAAATATGATGCTACCCAGCCGACCAATCACAGGGCTTGCAGTCGCGTTGTAACCATGTGAGATGCACGTCAGGCTTCATACAGGCTTTCTGTAGGAACAGGGCTATGAGAACCTATGCTGGGGATTTAACACAGAAGTCAAAATCAGGCTTTAGGGGGTCCTGGACCCTGGGTTGGGAACCAGAGACCTAAAGGTCTTGACAGTTCGGTGCTCAGACAGTTTCAAAAACTTCACAGATACTTCAGTTTCAATGAGGGTTGTCGTGATACCAGAATTTCAAACAATAACAAAACTGATACCACAGCAACAAAAGAAATAGTCCTGGCCCCTGATGTTTGGAAAGATCAGCAAACCCTGTCACAATGTCCACATTTCACGAATATATTGGCAACATTCTGGTGCCAAAACGTATTCAAGATATCGGGAAAAGAACTACACTACCCATGATCACAGAGTGTCTCTGATAGTTGGAGCTCGCTGTTACCATGGCAATGTTTCCCGCCCCTCTGCGCTGAATGCCAACGGATAGTTTTGCTAGCAGGCTAGCTAGTTCGGTAGCTAACAGTAAATGCGCTACTAGCTTTGTCATGCCGCAGTGTATGTAGTTTACATCTTCAACAGCACAAACTACAAGATAATACAACACGTGTATTAACAGTATAAACACGACAACAACGACTAAAGTTACATTTAAGAAAATAAATATAATTCGCAATGGATTGTGGGATGTGTAGTTTCTTAGCGCCGTATCGGCAACCAATCTAATATTTTCAATTCACGAGTATTGGGGTGGATGGTTGTCATGGTTACAAGCTTCAGTCTCTTCATGTAAAAATGTTGTAAAATGCCAACAGAGGATTTGAACGGGGAAATTTACTTAGAAGTGGGCGTCGACTGTTGAGCCCTAAAACGATTAATCACGATTCACTACTGAAGTTCAGAATGATCAAAAACTTCAATCGTTTGAGTCATATTTAAAACATTTGGAATCGTAAAGCCTCCAAGACTCGAATAGTTTGACAAACTTTTAATAAGCTGATAAGAACTAAACACCGGCAAGAAGTCTGAGGTAACGGTAAGGACAAAAACAAAGATAAACAAACAGTAGAGGTATGTAAACAAAGATAAACAAATGTAAACAAAGATAAACAAATAGAAGAGGAATGTAAACAAAGATAAACAAATGTAAACAAAGACAAACAAATAGAAGAGGTATGTAAATAAACGATAAAAAATAGTAAAGGTATGTAAACAAACGATACACAAATAGTTACGGTATGTAAACAAACAATAAACAAATAGTCGAGGTATGTAAACAAACGATAAACAAATAGTTACGGTATGTAAACAAACGATAAACAAATAATCGAGGTATGTAAACAAACGATAAACAAATAGTTACGATATGTAAACAAACGATAAACAAATAGTTACGGTATGTAAACAAACGATAAACAAATAGTAGAGGTATGTAAACAAACGATACACAAATAGTTACGGTATGTAAACAAACGATAAACAAATAGTCGAGGTATGTAAACAAACGATAAACAAATAGTCGAGGTATGTAAACAAACGATAAACAAATAGTAGAGGTATGTAAACGAACGACAAACAAATAGTAGAGGTATGTAAACGAACGACAAACAAATAGTAGAGGTATGTAAACAAAGATAAACAAATAATAGAGGTATGTAAACAAACGATAAACAAATAGTAGAGGTATGTAAACAAACGATGAAGATGTTGTGTTTGACATGAGGCTGAGGGTCCATGTTTGTCTTACCTCAGGTCGGTTGAGGCTTGGAAGAAATCCACCGAGAAGCCGAAGTAGCTCCCCTCCGGTCCGGAGAACACGAACGGTTTGTCCTCATCCAGGTTGAAGGAGCCGCAGGGACCGAAGAGCGAGCACAGCAGGACGAGCAGACCGACCGCGGCACGTCCTCGTCCGGCCATGGCTGCTGGAAACCCTCCGCGGGGAAACAGCTGAGGATGGAGACAGCGACGAGGATGAGGCTGGAGGAGGTTAGCTGGCGTGCTGAAGTTTAATTTCCACCCGCCGTGTCACTCCAAAGTGATGTTAAAGCTCAGTCTCCTTAATGGGAGCTCTCCTTCAGAAGAGAGAACAAGTCGCGGTGGAAATGTTCGATTAACCGAAAGTCCGGTTTGTACCGACGCCGTTAGACCCCGTTAGAGCGGATGAACAGAGCCCGGGTTCGGTCCGGTTCTTCGTGAGCTTGTTTTGGCCAATAAAAGAAAGAGAAACATGAGAGGGAGCTGGGGAGAGGCCGTGTTTGGTGTGTTAGTGTGTGTGCAAGTGTGTCATCTCGGGCTAGTCCGGTCCCAACAACCCGAGCTAAAGTTAGTTTCAACATCAGCTACTCTACTTCCGGTTGGCTTCTTTAAGAATAAAAGCCCTGTACAGTTGGAAAGTGAAATAAAAAAAAATCAGTGAGAGAGACAGAAAAAATAAAACTATGAATAATTAGATATTTCATATCAAGAATCTTGACAACAAAATATACATTTAAAATAATTAATATCAGAATCAGCTTCAATGGTCAGGTATGTTAATGTATATAAAAAAAATCAATTAATCTCTGCATACGGCATCAAATAGTCAATATTAAACTACTTAGCTCATATAAACCAGCCTATGTAATACAATAGTGCAGAGATGCTGAGATTTACACGATGATGAGTTATGTAACTGTAGGGTTCATTTAAACGAGGTAGTTTTTCTATAATAATAAATATAAGTATTAAAACTAAACTTGTGCACAGTATAAACAAACACAGAAGATGGCCTGAGCACATGTTCACAGTAAAAGGAACATTTGCAGAGTAATGTAAAGCTCTTGAACCCTTAATGATCAACAACACTACTTCATAGCCATAAACAGAGAGCTGAAAATATACCTGCACACTGACTTTAAATACTTTATTCTACACGATAATACAATATTGTATTTCTTTTCGTACAAATTGAGTGTGAGCAAATGTGATTTGTAGCTTACATTGCTTTTTGAAATGAGAAACAAATTACCTAAAGTTGGTTTTAATGGAGAAACACATGTAAGTGATGTTGTGTTTAGAAGCCTTTAAACATTTATATCTCGTACACACGTGAGGAGAACTACGTGTTTACCTGACTTTATGAGGGAAAACTTAATTTAACAAAAATTAACCCGACAGTAAAAAGAAAATACGGTTTTATTCTGAAGGCTGAATGAATTTCAGTTCAGTCAGTTTACCTGTAGCTTGACGCAGCGGATTCCTGACGCACAACAGGAAGTTGATCTCGCTGCATTAAAGGGAACAAGACAGGCAGCCTGTTGCCAATCACAGGAGCATTAAACAAGGGTTTTTTTCGGGTTTATGTTTAGATTTTACACCTTTAAGAACCTCTTGAATTGTCAAATGATGTATTTAATAGACAACAGGAGATGATGTTTATTTAAACGAGTGTTACTACCTCAGATGCTCAGACTTGTTTAATTGCTGCCATATAAGTGAAGTAACTGTCTGCAGGGAGTGTTAGTAAGTCATCGTGTCAGAGGTTAAATAATACACGCCTATAATATATTTTAGACTTGATCGTGTTTAAAGATTAATGTGCATTTCAAATGAACTAAGTCACTGCCTACAGAAGTGACAATTCAGACTGAAGATTTAGTGTGCAGGAAGTAGTCAGATCCTACAGTTCATACAAGTCCTGCATTAATTAAACTACAGTTTAAGTGTGTTGAAAATGACAAATGTACTTGAGGTTAAAAGAGCAATTTCAAAACATTGTAGAGAGCTGTCTCGCCCGAGGCCCAAGTCAATAAGACAGGCAAAGTGAAGGATCTGTCCTTATACACTCGAGTCCATGTCCAAAGCCTGACAGGCAGATGAACCAGGTGAAGAAAAAATAAAGTCCAGAGTCGATACTTGTTCATTTTGTCCTCTTTGAATCAACAAGCAGTTGTTGTGTTTATGTGTGTGTGTGTGTGCGCGCGTGTATGTGTGTGCGCGCGCGCGTGTATGTGTGTGTGTGTGTGTGCGCGCGCGTGTGTGTGTGTGTGCGCGCGTGTATGTGTGTGTGTACAGCAACCTCTCAGAAGTAGATCCAGAAAGTAAGCTGAGGGGTTTTCGTCTTATTTGGCCATGAGCTGCTCTGAATGACTGTTACAATGAAGTGTGCGCTCAAGAATGTGTGGCAGAACTCCCATGAGATTCACAGGAGGGGGAGGTTGTGTGTGTGTGTGTGTGTGTGTGTGTGTGTGTGTGTGTGTGTGTGTGTATGAAAGAGAGGGGTGGTGTGTTACACACAGGGTGAGGCAGGAAAATGAAGATGCTGGAAGGCCTCAAGATATACATGTAGTTCTGTTTTTAGGCCAAGATTGAGGTTTGAATGTGTATTAAGAGTTCATGTGTTACAAGGAGAAAGAACATGGGAGGAGGCAGGAGAGAGAGAGAGAGAGAGAGAGAGAGAGAGAGAGAGCTTGTATATTTGTGTAAGAGAGAGAGATATGTTGTAATGGACATTGTGCAAAGCATAGCTATGCAGATTATGTACCATGTAGAGCAGAGATGCATGAAAGCCAAGTTTTCACAGTAAAAACCTCAGTGTGTGTATGACGTTGCACGCCTATCATTGTGAGGACCAGTTTGAGTTTCATACTCTGTGAATGAGGGCATTTTTGCAAAATTACTCCATCTAAGACGTTTAAAAAAAACTTTGGAGCACACCGGCTGTGGCTCAGTTGGTAGAGTTGTCGTCTCTAAGGGTTCGATCCCCAGCTCAAGCAGCAACATGTCCAATGTGTCCTTTGGCAAGACTCCTGGCACTCAGTTCTCTTCTGATGTAAATGATAAGCTGGATGGGGAGGGGGGACCACAGTCGAGTCTGTACTGACATGATACAAACTAAATTGTTGTCGTAACATATTTTATAAACACTGTGGCGCATTAACCACCAACTCTCAGCAGAAGGTGATATTTTTTACTTCATCTCGATTGGTTTATTAGCATCACTGTTACGGCCTCGGCTCTTGTGTCTGTCTGTTCCTCTGTTTGTCTGGGTGAGTCCTGTCTCCTTGTTACTTGGTGCAGCCTCTCCTCTGCTTAGCTGTTTGCTATTCCATAATCAAGCCTGCAGTGTTTAAAATGTCTTTCCTCCACTAATCCCCAGATTGTCTGTGCACCACCAGTGTCTTTTTGCCTGCCTGCCACAACCTGTCCTTCTGGGTTACCTGCCACTCTGCTCAGTTCCTGTGTTTGTGTGTTGCACTTTGGTCCAGCCTTTAGTGAGTTTGTAACAATCGCTGTTTGTGAATTAAACGTTCTGAGCAACAACGTTCATTTGAATTAAATGGGGACAATTTTGGCACAAACCACTGCACTATGACTAATTTAAAAACACACCAGTGTACTTTTTATTTGACTTTATTAATCCCTGAGGGGAACTTCTGGTTTACACTCTGTTATTTAGAGACATGCTTCTCACACACTTAGGCCCGAATCACACACATGCAACAGGACCTGAGGACACGCGTTGATAAAGAAATGTCAGGGGGAGCGCGCACAGGGAGCGCGCCAGAGCTGTTGGGGGTTTGATGCCTTGCTCAAGGGCACCTCGGCCGTACTTGGGAAGTGACCTGGCACCTCTCCTGCATCCTGACCAACTTTGGTCTGCACCAGGACTTGAACCGGTGACCCTCCAACCCGAGCCTCCAGCACGGTTAGGGGCACGTTTAACCCTTTGTGAGTTAGACTGTCTTTTTGTCTTTCAGTGGGTGCAAAATCTGTGAATCAAGCACTTAATTGGTGTTAATTGGTGCAGCTTTAAGAACAGCAGGCTAGATAATCCCTTTTTCAAAGTGCGTCCTCTGTGGTATGGCAGTCAAAACTTGTTTCTCGACAAATATGAGCTTTTATTTTGTCATCATTTCTGCTGTCTTCCTCTGAATAAATGTCAAACACGAGGAAAAAGCACGTTTTATTAGATGCACTTGCAGTTACCATGATGTGGGTAGCTGACTTTGTAAAACACCTTTTCTTGTGTCGACCATAAAAATACTGAGCTACACGTGAGGAACGGTTGGATTCGTTGCTCAGTCGTGTAAAGATTATTTTGGTGAGCACATTGGCGTGGCAGGAGCACGTATCAGATGGACTTAATAGTGATAGACACGAAGTGACTGTGCATAGTGGACACAAACCATCACTATTTCAATCGCTATGCTGCAACCTAGTGGACAAACAGAAAACTACAGAAACTGTGGTCACGTTTTCACCACCTCTGAATCTATAATAAATCCCTGGTCATGTTTTCTCTTGCAGAAAATTTCATGAAGTTTTTTAACGAGTCAAAAAAGGTCAAACGAGTTCTTTGTTCAGTTTATTCTTAATTATGCTCGATTTGAACCTCTTGAGCTGCTGTTTTTTTTAAATATGCTATTCAATTATTTAACTTACTTATCACTTTATTGAAAAAATGAAGCAACTTTATTATACTGATCTTGAAAAAGGACATAAGAGTGAAACATTTAAGCAGAGAAAATACAGACAGGTATCAACATCTGGACACAGCTGAGAGAGGGGAACCTTTATTCAATGATATTAAATCAATGATGTAAATACTTTAGTCTTCGTTGTCTTGGTTCAGTTTGAAAACCACGTTTTTTAAGACTAAACAGAAGATAGATACATCTGAGTCCACATAGTGAGGCCTGAGGGTGTAATGCTGATACTTTCTCTGCATGTTTGGTCGGACATTTCCTCATGTGAGAGTCACTTTGTGAAACTTGAAACTTCTGAATATGACTCCTCTGATCTGGGGCAGATTCAGACCGTAAACCAGAGGGTTGTTGAGGGGGGGAATTATAAGATATTCCAGAGATAGAACAACAATCAAAAACGAATCTTTCTTATCAAACTTGAGTCGAGTCAGTGCAAACTCACTGTAAACTGAGATGCAGTAGTTTACAAAGGTCACGATGTGAGGCAGGCAGGTTTGTAAGGCTTTTCCTCTGAATTCATTTGAGCTTCTCCTGCAGACGAGCATAATGCGCAGGTAGGTGTACAGGATGAAGGTCATAGTGATGAAGATGGTGGTTATGGTAAAAGCCTGACCTGTGATATTGTTCATAGTCGTGTCCTCACAGGAAAGCTGAACCAAAGGCCAGTTGGTGCAAAAGATCCTGTGCAGCTTGTTTCCACAAAAAGGCATAAAGATGAGCAAATAGACACATAAGCCAACAACACATGCAGGGTAAATCATAGAAAATATTACCAGATATTGCACCATCCTTGAAGTCATTTTACTGTGATAAAGTAAAGGCTGACAAATAGCAACAAATCGATCATAGGCCATGGCAGTGAGGAGAGTTAACTCGTGTCCTGCATAAGTGTTTATAATGTATACCTGTGTGAAACAAGCTGGAAGTGAAATGAAATGAGTGTCAGACACTAAGTCCATGAGAAACCTGGGGAAGAAGCCGAATGAGCCGTACAGAGAGTTGAAACACAAACAGCAGATAAATATGTACATGGGCTGATGCAGAGACTTCTCCGAGCAGACTGCAAGAATAATGGAAACGTTAGCAGAGATTATAGTCATGTAGATCAACAAACACAGACTGAAGAACAGATATCTGAGGGGTCCATAATCTGCAAATAGTGTGAACTGAAAGTATGAAGGATTCAGGCTGCTGTTTTTCTTCATGTCTGGTCAACAGCAGAGCTGGAGGAGGAGAAGTGAGAGTGAAAAAGACGACAGAGAAGAGATATACTTCAGATAGAACCAAACATTTCTTTACTGTTTACTCTAGTTCTATAGCCGATCTAACATCCACAATCACAGACAGCAAATATACAGACAGCAGTCATGTAGACATATAAAACAGTCTTTGCATTAAAAGATCAATCTACAGTTTAGAAAAATGCACAGTGTCATCTCCAGATCTACTCCAGACTGAAGCCACAGCTTAACTTGTTTTTGTGCTGCACAGATAGTTTTAATACAGTATGTAGGTCAAAGGGGAGGTGACGTAACTCAAATTGATTACATCATTGTTGTATTGTTCAGGTATACCTGAGTCCAGATGCCTGTAAGGTGTTGCACAATATTCAGCTACTCAGTTAACTTTAGGGTTAATATTGAGGTTATCAGGACTATGAAGGTGGTTATTTCTTAGGTGATACATCACATTATTTTAACCTACTCTAAAGCAGTTTAGTCTGAGATGAAAGATTCTGGGACCCTCTCTTACATCCAGCACACAATGTCATTGTTTTTTTCCCACCCAATGCAGTAGCAGTTGTCATTCTGAAAATGAACTTTGCCCATGTTATCACCACAGACTGTATAAAAAGAGGAACCACATGGCACCTTGCAAGAAGTGAATAAAAACCATTTGACTGGCTGTAGTATAGCTCATAAACTCCATAAAATACCATAAAATTAAAACACACATCAAATACATTTTTCTAATTTTTTTCAGTGCATGTCTGTCCAGGTGCAGCACCATGACGTGTCCCTTCCCAAGCATGCATCATGACCTCCAACAGCCTTTTTGAAGTTTTGAAGTTCAGGAGCCAGGTGATTTTAGCGTGATCATGCCATACAGTAAGGGGGAGAAATGCCGTTCAGCTAGGAACACTGCCAGCAGATCAAGTCGAGGGACGTAGTTGTTTCTTTCTGCCCAAGTCAGGGTATGTCTCTAGTAGGCTACAGCATGTTCTAGATTTTTTCTCAGCTGGGAAAGGATGACCCCAACCCCAACATTGCTGGCATCTGTGTCTACATTGAGTGGGAAAGGGACTGGGAATGAGCTTCTTGGTGAGGTTTTAAATGTTACTTTGTGTATGATAGTATTTTTAGCATATACCATACAGGTCCGATAAGTTAGTAGGTTCACCCTCAGCGTCAGCTCTGCAGGCAATGTAGTCCTACTGGAGACCTGGACCAACATCAGTTTGCTTACTGACCAACTCGCTCAACAGAGGACGCCATCTCAACAGCCCATCATTCTGCTCTGACTCACAACAACCTCACAGCAATGTGAGGATGCTCTTGTCACCCCAAATAAACTAGGACACCTGGTTGTTAGCAGACTGACCACAGAAAGACGGACTCGGCAGACACACGTCCTCCACCAATATCAGTGTTTCCCATTAATTAACTAGACTGTGGCGGCCCGCCAAAATGTAATCTGTCGCGTCATAATCTAATTTGCCATGCTAGCGTCAAGGAATTATTATCAACTATAAGAACTTTTTTTTTTAAGTACATTTAAAGTACAGTTTACCCAGTTAAATGTGATGTTTGGCTGCAGTAGCCGGATTGTGTGATTGTTTTTATGTCCGTTCCCTAAAACGGTTCATACCTTGTTTACCTGCAGATTGTTACAACTCACAGCCGTTCGGAGCTTTTCAATCGCTGCGCAGGTTTCAATCAAAGACGTTTTGATCTAGCTGAATATTCTTTTTAAACCTGCAAAACAACTTATGAAAAAGCGGAACAAATCCATTTCACCTAAAGACGTAGCGCAGCTCCACAGTTCACCTGTTGTCTTGAAAAACTGCACTTAAAGTTTACTTATACATTAGATCAGACCTTTTTTCAAGAGGTTCTCTTCCTCAAAACACGTACTTCATGTGAACAACACAGTCGATCCATATATAGAGCGAAGCAGTGGAAATGTTGGAAAACCTGAGGTTGCTGGAAGTCTGTGTCACATCACCTCTTGTGAATAAGGCCCAACAGAGATTCTTCTTCCTGAGTAAGCTTAAAGGGATACTTCAACTGTTGAAGTATGAATCTGTATTGACATTGGGTCATATATGTAGTAGAAATGTGAAATACATTTTGAAGTAGGTGCCTTCTTGGCCGAGAAAAGGCAGAAAGTTACTTTTTGGCAAATGTGGATGAAAGACACCAACTCCCAGAATGCACAGCACCCCAGGCCACTCCCACTGGAGCTAGGTTGCTTTATTTGCAGACATTTACTACTACACATACGGCCGTTCCTTCAACTGATTCCGAGATTTCTTCCAGAAGGAATTGGCATCTTGGAAATTCTTGGCAGAAAACAGACTCTATGTCTGTGTCCATAAGCAAACAGTGAGAGCACCAACACCACCAGTCCGCCCCAGCTCGCCCTGAGCCCGGGCTCCTCGTCCTCACCACCGCCGATAGGCGGTTCTTATGCCTCGGCTGCTGCAGCTGTGTTGAGTTTAGGTTCTGGGAGCGAGGTCCCACCCACTGATCTGTGATAGGTCTGTAGCTTCAGTGGTCGAAAATATGAGGAACTAGCGATGTAGTTTTACCCTAGCTAATCACAGCAGCTGCCGATTATGCAAAATGACGATTTTTTTCAGACTTAAAAATCCAAAGATTTCCCGTCTCGGAAAAATGAGGGCGGGATGCATGAACATTCAAAAATACTACCAGGTTTCTAATGATACAAAGCTTAATGCAAATGGGTGAAGTATCCCTTTAAGTTAACTGTGGAAAACACGTATCGTTCATAAAATCTAAATGGAGACGTTTTTGAATGGGTGTGTATGTGACTTCCTGTGCTTTTGCAGCCAGCCTCTAGTGGACACTTAAAGTCCCTGTAAACCAAAAAAAAAATGTTTTTTAGTTTTTTATACAAAAGAACAATGTATTATTAACCACCAGGCCACATTTCAGCAACGAAAAAACGTATAAGTATATAAAATTACGCTTCAAAATCATTAAAAATGTAGCTGTTCTCTCTCCTCTGGGATGCTGTGGGCGTGTCCATAGAATGCGCCGAAGCCACGCCCCCTCACTTTCCCTTCTTAACTGTCAAAAATGTAAATGACCTGACAATGGAGGCCTCAGCTCCTCTATCAGACCTACCCAGCCCTAAATATATGACCCACCAGAGACTGAATGTGATTTTGAACTGGAGAGTGAACCTATTTCCCCTCAGTCTGTCACAGAATGGTAATGTTTTTTTCTCCCATCATTTTACTTTAGCCTAACAATGTGTAATGGAAGCCTGTTTCTCAATAGCATAGCTAGCCAAATGAAATAAGTTTTGCTAACCACACTAGAACTATATGCAACTTTACCACTTTTTGCCTTGTATTTATTTATGAACCAGGCAGCCATCCTCACTGTAATTGCCTTTGAGTTTTAGTAATATTTGGTCAAGTTTAACATTTTTGTGATCAATAATAAGGGAAAACTAGTGCCCCATTTACAGCCTTGTGTTGTACCTGTTATTTTATTTACACAATAAAGGTAAAATAACCCCACCGTTATCAATATCACTTAGCCACTTAAAATTAAATGATGAAAAAAACAGTCTATTGTCAGTTGTATCTACATACCTGCAGGTCCTCATGCTTGATGTGTGAACTGCTGATTGTCATTATTACAACACACAAGCTATGCAACAGGATATACTGTTCTATTGAGATACATTTCTATAGTTTAACCCATATTTACGATATTGTAATCATTGTTAATTAAACTACATTTGAACAGGTGCACCTGTGGAGAGTGCAGGATGATGCCCACAGATGTGGAAAATGTGTGCTGCAAGCAGCTTAACGCCGTATGTAAAGACAATTTATATATATAGATATATATATATATATAGTTTCCTTATACAAAATGATCATTCAAAGTATAAATACACAAGATTAATACTTCTAACACATACTCCAACAGGTTCAGAATACATGTCTGGAGCCTCCAGAGGAGCCAGACTGCATGACTCTTAATCCAGGCCTTGAGCCTGTCTGCCTGAACCCCTACTCCCTGCAGAATGCTCTGAACATTTATCAGACAGACCATGGACCGCTGGAGATGAAGGAGAGAGCTGTTTAAGTCTGAAAACTGCATATTTATGTATTACAATGTATTACATTCACAAAAGTTCTAGATCAGTGGTACTCAGCCTTGTTAGACTTAAGAGCCACATTGACCAAAAAATATTTCAGTAAGAGCCACAATCAAAAAACCTATTTCTTACCTAAAATATGTGTGGGAAACACAGTGACATGACTTGCAAAGAATAATTTCTGCTGACAATGTTTCCCTTTTTTAAATAATTACTTATTTTCTTTGATTTTTCTTTTTCAAACTAGTCCCAAGTGAGCCACATGTGGCTCGAGAGCCTCAGGTTAAGTATCACTGCTCTGGACAGGACAAACACAAGGTAGTGAACATCCAAAAATTACAAATGTATGGTTGTGGATAATTCATGGAAGTTAAAACAGAGAAAGAAAAAAAACCAAATGTCCAGGCCAATCCATACAGCCAAATAGATTTCAGACACACTGCAGGTTGATCCATCTGTCATCTTCTTGGATCATAATCTACTTTATAAGACAGAAAACATGACAAAACAAGATTAGAAGACCACTTAACTCAAAATAAAGCTTGATGAATATAAAATCACATTGCTTTTTTGTGTTTGTCATTATAGGTGCGCTCGCTACCTGGCCTACAGGTCCTTTGTTTCCTGGTGCTGGGGATACCTAGGAAAGCACAACCGGGTAGTGATACCTTCCTGCGTCGTTGTCCGTATATCCACCAGGAGTACCCTGATGAAGGGGAAGAGTACACCGGTTTTAGGCCTCCACTTTAAATGATTTATGTCATGTATAGTTATGTTTGGACATGTGTTTTATAGAGTTATTTCATTTATATAATAAACTATTAATATCTTGATTTTACTTTACAGGGACTTTAAGGAACTGCAGGATTTTGCAATTCAGTATTGGAGGTTGCTGCTTGGTGGCATATCATTCTTATCCATGTACTTTAAATACACCCTAAAAACATTTCAGCTGATATTTGGTTGATATTTTTGAGTTTATCAGTTATTTTCTCTTTTCATGAGCTACCATGACAAATGAATTTCCCCTATACCAGATCAACTGAACTAATCAAATATCTTAATCACAATGTTTGTTTTATTAGAAAGAATTATATGATCACTTCATTGTAGATGACAGACATATTAGACTTGCTTTATATTATGAAAACACATTTTGACGTGTGTCAAGACAATTGGGATTTAAGGTTCAAGATTTCCATGGCATAGTGAAAACAATGAAATTCTCTGAATTGTTTTTCATTTTATTTATTACATCAGTGAAATCACACCAAGCTTTGTGAAAATGATTATTACCTGTTTGCATTGAATAAATGTGATTCTAAAGTTAGTTTAAAGACATCAGTTACATCAAGTGATAAAAAACTGAAACTTAATGTGTCCGACTAAAATATCACTGACTTTTCAATTTTGTGACCTTGTTTATATGAACAGCATACCTTTAAAGTCAAACATAAAAAAGGCAATTTGTCATGGTGTTAGTTTCTGATGCATTTGGTGTCACTTTGTGTTTGTTTTCTTTCCTTCTGTTTTCTGTTTTCTCTCTTGCAGTGTGTGTGCAGCGCAGGGCGTGGCTGGCTGAGCTGGAACGAGGAGCACCTGAATCTCATCAGATCATCACTCAGGCCTTAAAGACAGATCGAGACTCATCTCCTGTGCCAGATTATTCCCTTTGTAGTTGGTAAAGGTGGCACACTACTAAGCCTTACCTTGAAGAAGTTTGACCCTGATGTTTTGTTCTTGTGTCATGGACTGACCTGTTTTCTCTTTTTGTGTGCAGCCTGCCGGTGAACCTCACCTCCTTGTTTTGGACTTCTGTTTGGCCTTGCTGTTTTTTGAGTTCTCCTGCGCCAGCCCGTCCTCTATTGCCACCAACTGCCTTAAGCCTTTTATTTTGCTATAAGCTACATTAAAATGTCTTAAAGACTGATTTTCGTTTTTGTGCTCTGCATTCTGGGGTCCAAACCCTTGAACTCAAATGTAACACAATTCTAGTTAATGAGGAGTGATTCTTTTGCAAGCTACAATAGTCCCGAGTGATTGTAATTGCACCAACAGGGCGCTGGTGGATGGGGATTAGGGCACACGCCCAATCTACAGAGGTTGTAGTCATCGAAGTGTGCGGCTCGGGTTCAACTCTAACCTGTGGCTCCTTTCTCGCATGTCATTCCTGATTCTTTCTGTCCCTGATTTCCAACTATCCTCTATCTATAAAGGCATAAAAAGCCCATAAATGACATGAGAACAAAACAAGAAATCGAAGAGATTCAATTTGTAAGGTATGAAGTAAATGGAGCACTTCTGGTGGACAAGATTTGTCAACTTTGTGTAGTATAAAGGCAAAAGCATTATAAATACGGTATGTAAACAAATAAATGCTAATTAAAATGCCATTCAACACGTTTTACAGTTTGTCTTAACAGAACAAGCTCTTGAGGTGTTTATACATTTCTTTATTTCTTAAGCCATACATGATTGGGTTAAAGAGAGGATGATACAAAACCAATTGTAAAGTCATTACAAATCGGGCTGTTTTTGGAAAATCAGAATCAACTCTTATGATGATATCAAACACGTAAAGCTTAACAAAACCATCAAGTGGGGCAAACAGGTCTCTGCAGCTTTCTTCCTGACTTCTTTACAGCTATGATAGGATATCAGAAATATCCTGGCATATGTAAAGAGTATGAAGATCACAGGTAGAACTAAAATATTACACATAAGAAAAAAAATAACTATCAACATAAGTCTTGTTTTTACACAAAGAAGGTTTACAATTGAATTGTTACAAAAAAGTCCTGCCAAAGAAAAATCACAGACCTTTCTACGAGAATAGTGTATGGCAGACCCCAAAAGTACAAGAGGAGGAAGAAGCCAAGCAAGAACAAGAAGATATATAACAGTTGTTTTTGTCATAATGGTTGGATATAACAGAGGTTTACATATGGACACATATCTATCATAGGCCATGGCTGACAACAGTAGAAACTCTGAAAAAAGTAAATTCTGACAAAGACAGGCAGAATATGATACGATTTGTTTCTCAGATAAAAAGTCAACCAAAAGCTTTGGGTAAACATTAGTGCTGAATAGAACAGAGTTCAGTAACAGAGCTGCAATGAAAATATACATCGGCTCATGAAGGTTTCTATGACTTTCTGAGGCCCCAGCAGACCTCAGTGGAAACCAGAAGACTTTAACCCTCTATGATTCGTCTTGTTAACGTCTCTTTGTCCATTATTGTGGGAATGGGGAGGGAGGGTGTTCATTCTATCATGTTGCAGGTTATGCTACCACACAGACACATCTCCCCCTGCCCTTTTGCGCCGAAATGCTGTTGGAGCAGGATCATCGCGAGCTCGCTACTCTTGAATATTACACTCACACACATTTTAGCGCAGGTTTTCTCTGCTACAAAACATGTTTGGTAAAACGGTTTTAAAACCATCAGATCCTGACAAAAGCCGAGCTTAAATCAGCATTCAAAGGAAAAAAAATCACCAGAAGAGTTGAGAGTGAGAGCAGGGCATGACGAAAACAGAACGAAGAAAAGTTTCAGCCACAGTGACAGACAGCTGGAGGAGCTGGAACATGCTGCAGCTAAATTTCCCCTTAAAGTTAAAGACTTGATCCTGGTAAAGATAAAAGTTATTCACAAAGCATCTTAGCCCTCAAGAGAGCTCCTAAAGTAAAGATCTAAGGATGAAGAGTTTCTCACAGAGAAGAAAGAAGGAGAGAAAGGTGATCATAACATAACAACATAACAATTTTATAACTAAAGCTCAATTAATGAAATAAAAGTTGTAATTTACTTTTGCATCAGAATGGTTCAAGAGTAAATTGGTGACTGTTATTTTTCGAATAAAAAGTAGAGTTCCTGGGCCAGCGCCCTGCGGTTACAATGGCTGGGCCAGTGATCTTTGAAAACCAGTGGCCCGGAGGCATAAGCATTATAAATATATATATACGGTATATAAACAAATAAATGCAAAATACAGTGCTATTCAACACGTTTTACAGTTTGTCTTACCAGAACAACCTCTTGAGGTGTTTATAAATTTCCTTCATTCTTAGGCCATACATGATTGGGTTAAAGAGAGGATGATACAAAATTACTTGTAAAGTCATTACAAATCGGGCTGTTTTTGGAAAATCAGAATCAACTCTTATTATGATGATATCAAACACGTACAAACAGGTAAAGCTTAACAAAACCATCAAGTGGGGCAAACAGGTCTCTGCAGCTTTCTTCCTGACTTCTTTACAGCTATGATAGGATATCAGAAATATCCTGGTATATGTAAAGAGTATGAAGATCACAGGTAGAACTAAAAGATTACACATAATAAAAAAACTAATTATCAACATAAGTCTTGTTTTTACACAAAGAAGGTTTACAATTGAATTGTTACAAAAAAGTCCTGCCAAAGAAAAATCACAGACCTTTCTACGAGAATAGTGTATGGCAGACCCCAAAAGTACAAGAGGAGGAAGAAGCCAAGCAAGAACAAGAAGATATATAACAGTTGTTTTTGTCATAATGGTTGGATATAACAGAGGTTTACATATGGACACATATCTATCATAGGCCATGGCTGACAACAGTAGAAACTCTGAACCACCTATAGCATAAAAAAGTATTGACTGACAAAGACATGCTGAATATGATACAATTTGTTTCTCAGATAAAAAGTCAACCAAAAGCTTTGGGTAAACATTAGTGCTGAATAGAACAGAGTTCAGTAACAGAGCTGCAATGAAAATATACATCGGCTCATGAAGGTTTCTATGAGTCCATATAAGATACACAATGGTGAAATTAAAGATGATTATAAGAATGTACAGTGTCAATATGATCACAAAATACAGATATCTGTATTTATGGACTTGAACAAACCCATCCAGAGTTAGATATGTTCTATTGAATTCATTATTCATGAAGAATGCAGTCAATGAAACCATTGTTCAACACATTTGTATAACAAGTGTAAATTAATAAAGTGAGAAGAAAGTTTTACAGTGAACAATTCAAACAGTCAGATTGAAATCGTAGTAGAAAGATACTGACCAGGTCCCTCTGCATATGCGAGTAAACTAACAGTCTGAGTCAGAGACTATATAGTACAAGACTCTCTGACTCTCAGCAGACCTCAGTGGAAACCAGGAGACTTTAACCCTCTATGATACGTATTCTGATTCCTGTACAAACAGCCTTACTGGCATTTTACCGCCAACCTGGTGGACACTTTGTGTATCGCTTGTGTTTTCTTAAGTTTCATTTTCACCCTCAGTTTAGTTTAATTTACACAGAACAGACTCCAGTGTGCATGCAGCTCAGTTACCTCCTTACGTTTATACCTTGGAGTTGATATGTCCGTAAGTAACATGTCATATATTGTTTGAATGTATTTTTATGAAGAGATATTTCTGTTTATGAAGATTACATTAAGCCTCCAGTTGTGAGTAAACACGGAGATCTGTTTTGCTAACTGCTAAATAGCTAACACTGAAGCATTGTGTCATGTTGTATGTGTACTACAGAGTACTGACACTTTCCTGAGTTGTTTAGCTGCTGAATAAATGTGTGTAAGACTGTTATACAGCAATGTTACATGTGAATACATAGGGTTACAATTCATAAGGATTTAAAAAGTAGTTTAATTCATATTTTTTTCTCAAGCTATTAATGTACATCATACATTTAACTATTTACAGTTTCATTTCATGTGTGTATGCTTTACATGTGCAGTATATTGACACAATATTTGTACTGTATTTTCAGTTTTACAGAAACGACCATCACTACAGCCACTCTGTTCAAGAAAACGGTTTTATTGGAGTTTTTGTTCACTATCTGTCTAGCCTTGCTCAGAAACGCAATCGTGAGGACAAAATAATACGCATTATGATACTGAGGGAAAAAATGTTGTGGGTTTTTTTTCCTACTATTTTTAAGTTTGTTGCCTCGAGGCAACATTGTACCATAATGGACAAATTGAAATATTTGATATTTTCATGCTGAAAAAATGGATTGGATTTTTTAAAACATAAAACATATTTGCTTTCAGAAAACATTGTACCATCGTGGAACACAAATATGACCGAATCCTCATATCATTAATTGATCATATTAAATCATTACAATCATTGTTGTTTCAATGTAAAACATTAAATATCCCGATGACCTCATGCTAATATGCACCTTATCCTAACAAGCATTCACAAAGACACACACAAGGACCTGCATGTACACAAAAACAAACAAACAAAATTGGTGTCCTCACCAAGGCCCTGTGTCCACCTAGCGTTTTTTACGGGCACGAAAGCGCTGGCTGTGCGCTCGGGAGTGCTTACATGAAGCGTTTGTGTGCTGATAAGAAAAGCGCTGCATGTCTGTCCTGTCTCAGTGACAACAGTCTGTTGACAACGGCCGCTGTATAATCGAGACTGTTCTGTTACTTTTTACTGCATGTTTTATATTTGAGATCGTGTTTTACCCGATCAGACACGGAGTGAGAAGGATGTGGGAACAAGACAAGATCTGATCCATTAGCATGCTAATGATCCACAATTAGAGGTGTAACGGGAAACTAAAATTCAGTTCGGTACGGTTCTCAGTTTTGAAGCTTCGGTTCGGTACAATTTATGTACAGTAAAGGGACCTGATGCTACACCCTTTTTTTTTTTATTAGGAACATTTAGAATTTCCTTTTTACACATTGGGCTAAGTGCAGCATCGACAGTTCAGAGTTGTACACCTGCTCAGGTTACTTTTTAAGAACATTTTAAATCAAACATTGTATATATATAAAAAAACAAAAAAAAACATAAAATAAACTTATGCTGCATCCTTCAACCAAAAGAGTCTCCAATAAATAAAAGATATGAATGAAATAAAGTAGTTTAGAATGAAATGGCATTTGTTATGGCTTTGGCCCGTTCAGAATTATTAGCAAAAGGCTGTCGTTTTTTTCCGAGTTGCAGTGAAACTTACGTTCGCGTGGTGCCTTTTCAAGTGCTTTAATAAGTTGGACGTGTTGCCTGCGACGTAACCGATGTCCGCTGAACAACGACGGCCCACTACTCTCGTCTTGTCAACGTCTCTTTGTCCATTATTGTGGGAATGGGGAGGGAGGGTGTTCATTCTATCATGTTGCAGGTTATGCTACCACACAGACACATCTCCCCCTGCCCTTTTGCGCCGAAATGCTGTTGGAGCAGGATCATCGCGAGCTCGCTACTCTTGAATATTACACTCACACACACATTTTAGCGCAGGTTTTCTCTGCTACAAAACATGTTTGGTAAAACGGTTTTAAAACCATCAGAGCTTAAATCAGCATTCAAAGGAAAAAAAATCACCAGAAGAGTCGAGAGTGACAGCAGGGCATGACGAAAACAGAACGAAGAAAAGTTTCAGCCACAGTGACAGACAGCTGGAGGAGCTGGAACATGCTGCAGCTAAATTTCCCCTTAAAGTTAAAGACTTGATCCTGGTAAAGATAAAAGTTATTCACAAAGCATCTTAGCCCTCAAGAGAGCTCCTAAAGTAAAGATCTAAGGATGAAGAGTTTCTCACAGAGAAGAAAGAAGGAGAGAAAGGTGATCATAACATAACAACATAACAATTTTATAACTAAAGCTCAATTAATGAAATAAAAGTTGTAATTTACTTTTGCATCAGAATGGTTCAAGAGTAAATTGGTGACTGTTATTTTTCGAATAAAAAGTAGAGTTCCTGGGCCAGCGCCCTGCGGTTACAATGGCTGGGCCAGTGATCTTTGAAAACCAGTGGCCCGGAGGCATAAGCATTATAAATATATATATACGGTATATAAACAAATAAATGCAAAATACAGTGCTATTCAACACGTTTTACAGTTTGTCTTACCAGAACAACCTCTTGAGGTGTTTATAAATTTCCTTCATTCTTAGGCCATACATGATTGGGTTAAAGAGAGGATGATACAAAACCAATTGTAAAGTCATTACAAATCGGGCTGTTTTTGGAAAATCAGAATCAACTCTTATTATGATGATATCAAACACACACAAACAGGTAAAGCTTAACAAAACCATCAAGTGGGGCAAACAGGTCTCTGCAGCTTTCTTCCTGACTTCTTTACAGCTATGATAGGATATCAGAAATATCCTGGCATATGTAAAGAGTATGAAGATCACAGGTAGAACTAAAAGATTACACATATTGAAAAAACTAACTATCAACATAAGTCTTGTTTTTACACAAAGAAGATTTACAATTGAATTGTTACAAAAAAGTCCTGCCAAAGAAAAATCACAGACCTTTCTACGAGAATAGTATATGGCAGACCCCAAAAGTACAAGAGGAGGAAGAAGCCAAGCAAGAACAAGAAGATATATAACAGTTGTTTTTGTCATAATGGTTGGATATAACAGAGGTTTACATATGGACACATATCTATCATAGGCCATGGCTGACAACAGTAGAAACTCTGAACCACCTATAGCGTAAAAAAGTATTGCCTGACAAAGACATGCTGAATATGATACGATTTGTTTCTCAGATAAAAAGTCAACCAAAAGCTTTGGGTAAACATTAGTGCTGAATAGAACAGAGTTCAGTAACAGAGCTGCAATGAAAATATACATCGGCTCATGAAGGTTTCTATGAGTCCATATAAGATACACAATGGTGAAATTAAAGACGATTATAAGAATGTACAGTGTCAATATGATCACAAAATACAGATATCTGTATTTATGGACTTGAACAAACCCATCCAGAGTTAGATATGTTCTATTGAATTCATTATTCATGAAGAATGCAGTCAATGAAACCATTGTTCAACACATTTGTATAACAAGTGTAAATTAATAAAGTGAGAAGAAAGTTTTACAGTGAACAATTCAAACAGTCAGATTGAAATCGTAGTAGAAAGATACTGACCAGGTCCCTCTGCATATGCGAGTAAACTAACAGTCTGAGTCAGAGACTATATAGTACAAGACTCTCTGACTCTCAGCAGACCTCAGTGGAAACCAGAAGACTTTAACCCTCTATGATACGTATTCTGATTCCTGTACAAACAGCCTTACTGGCATTTTACCGCCAACCTGGTGGACACTTTGTGTATCGCTTGTGTTTTCTTAAGTTTCATTTTCACCCTCAGTTTAGTTTAATTTACACAGAACAGACTCCAGTGTGCATGCAGCTCAGTTACCTCCTTACGTTTATACCTTGGAGTTGATATGTCCGTAAGTAACATGTCATATATTGTTTGAATGTATTTTTATGAAGAGATATTTCTGTTTATGAAGATTACATTAAGCCTCCAGTTGTGAGTAAACACGGAGATCTGTTTTGCTAACTGCTAAATAGCTAACACTGAAGCATTGTGTCATGTTGTATGTGTACTACAGAGTACTGACACTTTCCTGAGTTGTTTAGCTGCTGAATAAATGTGTGTAAGACTGTTATACAGCAATGTTACATGTGAATACATAGGGTTACAATTCATAAGGATTTAAAAAGTAGTTTAATTCATATTTTATTCTCAAGCTATTAATGTACATCATACATTTAACTATTTACAGTTTCATTTCATGTGTGTATGCTTTACATGTGCAGTATATTGACACAATATTTGTACTGTATTTTCAGTTTTACAGAAACGACCATCACTACAGCCACTCTGTTCAAGAAAACGGTTTTATTGGAGTTTTTGTTCACTATCTGTCTAGCCTTGCTCAGAAACGCAATCGTGAGGACAAAATAATACGCATTATGATATTGAGGGAAAAAATGTTGTGGGTTTTTTTTCCTACTATTTTTAAGTTTGTTGCCTCGAGGCAACATTGTACCATAATGGACAAATTGAAATATTTGATATTTTCATGCTGAAAAAATGGATTGGATTTTTTAAAACATAAAACATATTTGCTTTCAGAAAACATTGTACCATCGTGGAACACAAATATGACCGAATCCTCATATCATTAATTGATCATATTAAATCATTACAATCATTGTTGTTTCAATGTAAAACATTAAATATCCCGATGACCTCATGCTAATATGCACCTTATCCTAACAAGCATTCACAAAGACACACACAAGGACCTGCATGTACACAAAAACAAACAAACAAAATTGGCGCCCTCACCAAGGCCCTGTGTCCACCTAGCGTTTTTTACGGGCACGAAAGCGCTGGCTGTGCGCTCGGGAGTGCTTACATGAAGCGTTTGTGCACTGATAAGAAAAGCGCTGCATGTCCGTCCTGTCTCAGTGACAACAGATCTTGTAGTTAGTGCTGGTGTAGACCAGCTCGTAGTTATGCTGCTATAGGCTTAGACTACCGGGGAAACTGGCACCTTGAGCTCCTCTCTCTCTCTTTCTCTCTCTCTCTCTCTCTCTCTCTCTCTCTCTCTCTGTGCATATACAGTACATCATATTACTGCATGAATCTATCTGTAAATCTCAGTCACTAACCACCTACTTTCCTGAGAGCTCTTGAGCTCTCTTAGGCTCCTCAAGATCGTTGGTTGACGGCCTGCCAGAACACTACCACTGTAACTTTTGCTGCTTTGCTAAAATGCTCATGATGGATAGGCCAGGTCTTTGTAATATAGCAATAAGTAAGGTCTTTTACCTGCTTTTTGTAACATAACAATGAGTAAGGTCTTTTACCTGCTCTTTTGTAAAGTGTCTTGAGATAACACTTTTTATGAGTTGACGCTATACAAAATAAATTGAATTGAATTGAATTGAACAGTCTGTTGACAACGGCCGCTGTATAATCGAGACTGTTCTGTTACTTTTTACTGCATGTTTTATATTTGAGATCGTGTTATACCCGATCAGACACGGAGTGAGAAGGATGTGGGAACAAGACAAGATCCGATCCATTAGCATGCTAATGATCCACAAATAGAGGTGTAACGGTAAACTAAAATTCAGTTCGGTACAGTTCTCAGTTTTGAAGCTTCGGTTCGGTACATTTTCGGTACAGTAAAGGGACCTGATGCAACACACGCGACACAGCTGTAAGAGAAACAATCTACAGAGCTGTCAACAAAGAACTACAAAATAGGTAGTGATACTGAGGTACAGTATTTCGGGATGTTTACGCAGTGTGGGCAGCAAGATAGGCAGTTTAACCAACCTGCCATGGTAGAGGAATGACCAAGAAGCAAGCTGATGGCTAACCAGTCTTTACCCGTCTGTTGTGCTTTGTCTTGTCTTCTAACCTCTATTACCCTAATTCTTCTCAGTCCTGAATCCTTCATAATCCTTCTCCTTTTCTTGTCAAATTACTCTTTCTTGTTGTCCCTCACATCTATTTTGTCTTTCTATCTAAACCAGTAAATTCCTTCACTTAGGAACCATCCGAAAGTTAGAGAACATTGCAAAATAAATCAGCCACTACAGTTTCAGGATTGGTATTTATATTAGCGATTTTGAATTTGTAGGGTACAGGTATGTGACTCCAGGTTTCATGAGTGCATGATTTGGGGTTCAGATTCAGGTACCAGGATTGAGGTTAAAGAGTGAAGGGTTGAGGATACAGGTTCATGGATCAGGTTTCAAGGTAAAGACTGCAGGGGCACAGGTTGAGGTACCAGGTTTCAGGGCAAAGAGTGTAGAGCATGCAGAATACTGCCATCCCATTCATAAGAGAGTGGTTGGGATTTTGTTCTCTTCATAAGATATTAGCCCAAAAAGAAAATGCCTTTGTACACATCCGTTGAAAGCTTGTAGGCAAAAAAGGACAAATTCAACAGGCATAACTCAGGACAACATTAGTAGAGTTACATTTACTGATGGGGAAATCATTATTTTGAGGACAAATAACATTACACTGTATATGTCACAGTCCAGGATTTTCTAAGGGGGGAAAGGGCACTCTCTGTAATATCTGCAGTGAGGAGCTGCCTTTGAGCAGTGCTGTTACTTCCACCCTAATAATAGTCTTGTACATAGTACACTTTCTATAGAATATCACTCCACTAGTACCTAATTTGTCATGAGGAACAACAGTAATGTCAAGGTTAGACTACAATCCTATCACATCAGGTTCTCAGCCAATTAATGCAGTGCCAAAATTTAAGCCTTTACTTTAGTTATGAGTGTCTGAAAAATACAGGGGATTTTTGTCTCCCAGGGTGCTTTAGAGACATTCCAGCCCCTTCCATGGACCTCTGCTCTATGAAAGATTGAGTTCACCTATGCAGAACATGTATAAAGTTGTTCCCTGCTTACTTTAAGAGTATGGCCATAGAGGTAAGGTTAGTCTGTGTGAGACAGAGGTCACACAATCCAACAGTAGGATCCTTTAGTACTCCTGGATGGCTCCCCAAAATAAGTGGTAGATTTCTTTGCAATGTCCTTTGACTTGGGGATGCTAATTAAGGGCTAAGAGTTGTCAAATTAAATCAACCTTGACATTGTATGACTGTAGCTGCTTAACAAGGTTCCCTGGTTGATGGAATTGTTTGCCACTCTAAATCAGTTCATTTGCATTTCCCAAGTTACAAACTAAACTAAACTAGATCCAGGCCTTCAGCTTCTCATCACAGAGGATCCAAGAAAACTAAAACAATAGTGACACAAAAGCAACAAGAAGTATCCTATTACTAACACCTCCAGACTAGACTACTGCAATAGTCTCATCTACGGATCACCATCAAATTCACTCAAGAATCTCCAATACATCCAGAACTCCGCTGCTCGCTTCCTCACACACTCCCGCACCAGAGACCAAATCACCCCCGTCCTTCATAACCTCCACTGGCTCCCTATCCCCCAGCGTATCAACTTCAAACTCCTCATCCTCACCTACAAAGCCCTTCACAACCTGGCTCCCCCTACCTGTCTGAGCTCCTTCACCCGCACACTCAGGTCCGCGGATGCAAACCTCCTGTCCCCCCCTGCAGGACAAAATATCAGTCCTGGGGGGACAGGGCCTTCTCCATTGCTGCTCCCACCCTCTGGAACTCACTCCCAAAAAACATTAGAGACTCCCCAAAACTCATTTCCTTCAAGAAATCCCTAAAAAAACTCACCTCTTCAACACTGCCTACCACCACCAACCCCCCCCCCCTTTCATTACTCCTTCGTTGCACTGTCCTCGTCGTTCTTGTTTTGTTTTTGTCAAACCGTCTTTGAGTATTTAGAAAAATACAATATAAAACGAATGTATTATTATTATTATTATGGTTGGTTAAATTCTGTTTTGGTGTTTTTCACAGACTTCTAAGTTCACAAACAGCATACAGGCATTGTTTTGTTTGGCAGCACAGGTTTGAACATATCTTACGGTTGAGTCTATTCATCCAGGTTCACAAATGGAATATTTATTTCGTAGAAAAGAAAAGAAAATGATCGATATTAAAGAAATAATCTGAATGTCTGTAGGTATAAAGATAATATTTTGGAAAGTAAGTGGACTTTTAAAACCTGCAAATAAAAAAAGAAGTGCAACATCAGTGGTTCAACAGCTTTCAGAAGTTAGCTGGTTGTCTATGGAAGCGATTAGTGATCAGAATTCAAATGATAAAGCTAATTTGAAAATTCAAATGAATTAACAGAAATGCTTTTTAATTTTCAGAATATGATTGTATTATTTGACTCAAAAATAAAATGATGATTAATTTATTTAATTAGAATTTTAGTTTTCAACTTCAAAAATGCACATTCCCCGCCACCCATCGTACTGCGCGTTCTGCCCGCTCGCCTCATAGACTGTAAACATTACGTTCACCTGCCTGGGAGCTGGAGTCTGACGTCATTTTCCTGCGCCGTCCACTTTGTCATTTCGTTTTCGAGTTGGTTTGAATTATGATCACTTTTTAGCACGGCAAGTTTGAAAAGGAAAAGCCAAAGCCCTTTTCGTTTTCATTTGAATGATGTCATACAATATGCATACATAGAGAGTAAAAGTATAATGCAAACTGGATGACTGAATATTCATTTTAAATATAGGTCAAATAATGCACCTAGATTCTGAAAATTAAAACGTGTTTCTGTTACTGTATTTTCGTTTCAAAATTAGCTTTTTCATTTGAATTATGATACAGATTTAGTGGGTCATTTTTTAAAAATGATAAAACAAATGCCATTTTCTTCCTCATTTTAATTCAGTCAAAGAATGTGCATTTTTGAAGTTGAAAACTAAAATTCAAATTAGATAAATTAATCATCATTTTATTTTTGAGTCAAATAATACACTCATATTCTGAAAACTAAAAAGCATTTCTGTTAATGCATTTGAATTTTCAAATTAGCTTTATCATTTGAATTTTGATCACTAATCGCTTCCATAGTTGTCAGACACAATCTGCCTTTCTTCACAATCCCTGTGGCTGAAAATGTCAGAATATTCTGTGAATAACATTAGTGGTGTCAGTGAAATTAAAATGCCCCCTAAAGCAAGCCCTGAACCCATGCCAGCCTTTCAACAAGACTAGGTAAAAAGCCTGAACAACATTGAAATAACAGAAATAGGGGATAAAGTGTGGGTCATAAAAGGTGACGTGTTTTTGCATAAGAAACATTTATTCACAATGACTGACTAATAAGGTTGCGTAATAAAAATATTTTCGATAACTGAAGCTTACCAGTTAGTCATTGTATTGTTAAACGGTAGACACTCTTTACTGTTTCGAAAATACACAGAGGATTTTATAGCATTGGATCGAAATAATTTCATGTAATATCTTCCAGAGATAAAAAAACACTTAAATTATAACAGGAAATGTTACAACATTATCATCTCTGGCATAATGATCTCAGTAAAATCACTTTCAATATATTAGATGACTTTAGCTTGACAGAATAACCTCTTCAGGTGTTTATAAATTTCTTTCATTTTTAACCCATAGATGATTGGATTTAAGAGAGGATGGTACAGTACTGCTTGTAAAGTCATTATTAAACGCACAGTTTGTGAAAAATTAGCTCCCAGGCGAACTATGAGGATGTCATATGCACACAAAATGGAAAAGCTGATTAACACCAACAGGTGGGGTAAGCAGGTCTGTGCAGCTTTCTTCCTGACCGCTCTACAACTACAATAGGATATCATGAGTATCCTTGTGTATGTAAAAAGTATAAACAGCATAGGGAACAGGCCAACATCCAGCAATGCAAAAATACCAAATATAGAAAGTGTTTTTGAACTCACACAGTGGAGACTATAAATTAAATTGTTACAAAAAATTCCATTTAAAGTGAAATTGCAGATTTTCATGTCAGCACTCAATAATACTGCGACTGCAGTCTGACAAGCGGGCACAAGCCAAGCTATACCCAGGAAAATATTCACGGTGGTCTTTCTCATGATGGTGGGATATTGCAGAGGTTTACATATCGACACATATCTATCATAGGCCATGCCTGCTAACAGCAAGAATTCTGAACCACTCAAGGAATACAAAAGATAAAACTGAAAGAGACAGGCTGGATATGATATGACCTGTTTCTCAGATAAATAATCAATGCACAACTTCGGGTAAATAGCAGTACTAAAAAGAGCAGAGTTAAGTAGCAAAGCAGCAATGAAAACATACATAGGCTCGTGGAGGTTTCTGTGTATCCAAATGAGGCACACAATGGTGAAGTTAAAGCAGATTATGAGAATAAATACTGTCAACATGATCAAAAAGTAAAGATATCTATATTTGTTAACTTCCACATGACCACCTAGAGTAATATACGTTACATTCAATTCTTTATCCATGATAAAAGTTACAAGTTAACGAAAACACTGAATAAGACAAAAGATTGCATGGCAAGAGGTCTCACTGTTAAGATTGCATTGACCTAGAATCTATGTTTCATTAACAGATACCTGATCTTAAACCCCACCTGGTGTGTGATAATCTACAGAAAGGAAAGCTTGAGTGAGACATTTTTTATGAGATTTCGTCACCCTCCATGGATCCCATTAAAACTTCCATGAAAAGCTGCAACCATGTGAACAACTTCTAGCTCTGAAGGGCGGAGCCCATATGTGTTGAACTTTTATTTACCCTCATGGGCAAGTTGTCTCTTTACATTCCCTACACACACTCCTTCAACATTGACCTCAACTCTTAACACGCTGCATTTTTGGTGCAAGTCAGTCCTGAACCCATGTCAGCCTTTCAACAAGACTGGGTAAAAAACCTGAACAACATTGAAATAACAGAAATAGGGGATAAAGTGTGGGTCATAAAAGGTGACGTGTTTTTGCTTAAGAAACATTTATTCGAAATGACTGACTAATAAGGTTGCAGTAATAAAAATAAACACTAAACTTTACACACACTTCTTCAACATTGACCTCAACTCTTAACACACTGCATTGTTGGTGCAAGTCAGGATTTTCTGTAACAGTCCCTCCAAAGCTTTATTTCAGATTGTTGAAGCCAAAATTTCTGATTTTGTGGCAGCATTTTGAAAGAATTCCTCTGAAATTTCCAATATAGGGGCTGTGTGTGGGTGTATGCATAGGGACTGGGTCAAAGCCATCTATTAGGCATTTTCGAACTTCAGGAACCTTTTTAGCTCCTGCTCCAGAGTAGGTACCATGGCGGTGCAAATGCCAACTGAAAAAAGTCCCCATGCTGTGTAGTTCTCAGGGAACTCCTTAGTGGATAGTTCCTCTTCAAAAAGTCCCCATGCTGTGTAGTTCTCAGGGAACTCCTTAGTGGATAGTTCCTCTTCAAAAAGTCCCCGGAACTGTTTGGTCTTATAACACATACTGATAACATTTTAAGGTACATGACCTTAAAATGATGGCGGCGCGAGCGCATCGCGAGGCCCAGCGTCTCTCTCAGATTTGCAATTTTGCAGTAATTTTATTGTTAATTTCGGGTCTGTTCGCACGGAACAGCCTCACCTTAACATCCTACACCCGACAGGAACTTTTGGATATTGGAATACACCTCCCTGACGATCTAATCAACAATCTTCGACTCATCCCTGAGATCGCCAAAACACCCGAGGCTACGCACTCTACCCGGCCGGGTGGAAGTGCTCGCAGGCGGCGTCGAGACCGTAAACAAAGGCGGGGGAAGCGCGGAGGTATAAGAGCTAAGCTAAAGCTAACACCGCACCGTCTCCCGTTACCCAGCATTTTCCTCGCTAATGTGCGGTCTTTGGTGAACAAAATGGACGAGTTACGACTTCGCATCATCCACAGCAAGAGAATTATGGACTGTAATGTCATGATCTTCACGGAAACATGGCTAAACAACGGAGTACCGGACGATGCTATCAAGCTAGCCGGTCGCCACACACACCGAGCAGACAGAACAGCAGAGGACTCCGGTAAGACCAGAGGAGGAGGGCTGTGCATTTATATTAACAAAGCTTGGTGTACAGATTCTGTCATTATTGGGAGACACTGCTCAGCTAACATTGAGTTTCTCATGGTTAAATGTAGACCTTTCTATCAGCCAAGGGAGCTCAGCTCCACTATTGTAACTGCAGCCTACATCCCCCCTGATTCCGATGTAAAAGCCGCTATGAAGGAACTTTACACCGCTATCAGTAAACAACAGACTGCTCACCCGGAGGCTGCATTTATAGTTGCAGGTGATTTTAATCACTCAAACTTAAAGACAGTGCTCCCTAAATTTCACCATCATGTTTCCTGCAATACAAGAGGAAACAAAACTCTGGACCATGTTTACACAAACATCGCAGGAGCCTACACCACGACCCCCCTCCCCCACCTGGGACAGTCAGACCATCTTTCTTTGTTCCTCATCCCCAAGTACTCCCCACTCATCCAACGTGTGAAGCCATCAGTAACAACGATTAAAGTGTGGCCAGCGGGGACAGACTCTGTACTTCAGGACAAGTTCCATCACACAGACTGGAGTATGTTTGCTTCTCAGGCTACCTTGGGCTCTCACACAGACATTGACACCTACAATTCTTCTGTGCTGGATTATATCAATACCACCATCGACAGTGTTACAACATGGAAGCAGATCACCACGTACCCAAATCAGAAGCCATGGATGAACAAGGAGGTGCGTGTCCTGCTGAAGGCCCGCAACACCGCCTTCAGATCAGATGATGCAATGGCCTACAGCGTATCCAGGGCAAACCTGAGGAGGGGCATCATCAAGGCCAAGCACTGCTACAAGCTGAAGGTAGAGGAACACTTCTCCAACTCCGACCCCAGACGCATGTGGCAGGGCATCCAGGCCATCAGTGACTATAAACCCAGAGACTCCACCCCGATAACCACAGATGTCTCCTTCCTGAACGAGCTAAATCACTTTTATGCTCGTTTCGATAGAGACAACAGAGAGACGCAGACCACGAACAGACCTCCTGCAGACAACCAGCCCCTCTCACTCACCTCCACAGACGTCCACGCTGCACTGAGCCGGATCAACGCTCGAAAGGCTGCTGGTCCAGACGTGCTTAGAGCATGTGCGGAGCAGCTCACTGGGGTTTTTACGGACATCTTCAACCTGTCCCTCGCCCAAGCAGCTGTGCCAGCATGCTTCAAAGCCACCTCCATTGTCCCAGTGCCGAAACACTCCAGCCCGACAGGCCTGAATGACTACCGCCCTGTGGCACTCACACCCATCATAATGAAGTGCTTTGAGCGACTGGTCCTAGCACACCTGAAAAACTGCCTCCCACCCACACTGGACCCATACCAGTTTGCCTACCGCAGCAATAGGAGTACAGAGGATGCAGTCTCCACTGCGCTGCACTCTGTGCTCACACATCTGGACAATAACAACACATACGCACGAATGCTGTTTGTTGATTTTAGCTCAGCATTCAACTCTGTCATCCCCTCCAAGTTAAACACTAAACTCGGAGACCTGGGCTTCAACACCTCCCTCCGTCACTGGATAATGGACTTTCTGACCAACAGACCCCAGTATGTTAGGTCAGGACACACCTGCTCCACCACCATCACACTCAACACAGGCGTACCACAGGGCTGTGTGCTGAGCCCATTCCTCTACTCCCTCTTCACCCACGACTGCAGACCTGTACATGGATCCAACACCATCATCAAGTTTGCGGACGATACGGCGGTGATTGGCCTCATCAGCAACAACGATGACACGCCCTACAGGGAGGAGGTACAGCATCTGGCCGCCTGGTGTGCTGACAACAACCTGCTCCTCAACACCAGCAAGACGAAGGAGATCATCGTGGACTTCAGGAAAGAAAGAGGAAGCATGCACAACCCCATTCACATCAACGGGATGGCTGTTGAACGTGTCTCCAGCTTCAAGTTCCTGGGGACCCACATCACAGAGGACCTCTCCTGGTCCACTAACACCTCCAGTCTGGTTAAGAAGGCTCATCAACGCCTCTTTTTCCTGAGGACACTGAAGAGACACCACCTGTCTTCAGCTGTACTGATGAACTTCTACCGCTGTGTGATCGAGAGCATCCTGACCAGCAGTGTCTCAGTCTGGTACGGAAACTGCTCTGTCACAGACCGTAAGGCGCTACAGCGGGTGGTAAAAACCGCCCAGCGCATCACAAGGTGTCCACTTCCTGCCATTGAGGATGTCCAAAGAAAACGCTGTCTGCGGCGAGCTCATGGCATCCTTAAAGACTCCTCCCACCCTGCCCACAGACTGTTTACCCTCCTGCCCTCCGGCAGGCGCTTCAGAAGCCTCCGGACCAGAACCAGCAGACTGAGGAACAGCTTTTTCCCAGAGCTGTTCTCTACTGAACTCTACCCCCGAACTCTGAACTCTGTCTCTCTCTCTCTCTCCCTCTCTCTCTCCGCCCCTGCTGACCCCCCCCCCCTTTCCCCTGCATATCACCTCACACCCATCATCCCCCCACCACTCCTCCTGGTCACACACACACATTTCTCATCCATCTGTATTATTGTATTATAGTATGTTCATATTATGTCCATATTCTTTATATTATCTGTAAACTAGTATAGCATGCTCACTGCATCTTAATCTGTATATTATTAGTATAGCATGCTCACTGCACCTTAATCTGTATATTATAATCCTAAAATACACTTATTTTGTAGCATTACTTATTTATAGCATTTATTTATTTATATTTATAGCATCCCATTAATCCAGCCATCCAGATATACCTAATAATTCACTTTTTTTAGTCTACATCTGTAAATTTTGTAATTACTGTACATAGCACAGACTCTTGCACTTTCTGCTTATTTGCACTTCTGGTGAGATGCCAAACCTCATTTCGTTACTCTATACTTGTATATGTGTAATGACAATAAAGTTGAATCTCATCTCATCTCATCTCATCTCATGACAATATTTTAAACATTTCTGTTGTTATAGAATTGTATAACTTGCAAAGCAGTCATTAAAGATTACTCTGACATTGGGCACTCTCTCTCTCTCAGTGCAGCAGGTTGGCGTAGATGCACTGACTCATGGACAAACGTCAGAAAAGTTATCTGTAATTGAGATTTTCATAGCATACATACAATTTATATCCATTTTGGTTTTGTTGTTTTATTGTGCAAGTCCTGTCTCGTATAGACACCTGACCTTAATAAAAGCATGGAGGATTTGGTTATAGAAACAATGAGTAAAGTTTTCTGAGATGAGAGCTATACTGTATCTTGTCTATATCTTATTTGGGTAATGGTTAATCAAATCTTATTATTAGTGACTTCTCTGTTATTGATGAAATATGCTGCCCATGTGACTCCATATACATCGACTGGCATTCCTGATTTGTTGTTTACTTTTGCTCGGAGGGTGC